AATGTTTTTAATGATACTTTTTAATGCTTTATAAGTATAAATAATATTATAATTAAGGTATAGGGCTATGTAAATTGCGGCTAAAAAGATAAGGTAATTATTTAAATATAATAAAAAGTTAAAAAATTATAATGTATTAAGGCTTAAACCTAAATTATTAAAGCATGGTTTAATAACTTATTAATAAATTATGTTAATATAACCTTAAATATTATTATTATATTATATATTATAAGGTTATTATATTAATATTAATATAATTAACTTAAGTATGTATATTATATAATTATAAAGATAAAAAATTGTTAAAGGTTTTTAATAAGGGATAATAAGATAATTTTTTTAATTAAAGGTAATGCATAGTAAAAGTATAAAAGTTTAGTTTATATTTATTAATTATTTATAAATTACCTTATAATATAATATAATTAGCTAACTTTAAATTATATTTCTTTTAAGGGCAAATTTTATATTTAAGATTTTTATAATAATGCTTATATATTAAGGGTTTAAGTAATAAGGGTTATTATTATTTTATAGGTACTTAAGTTGCTAGCTTATATTTAATAGGCGTTCTTAATTAAATTTTGCGGTTTAATACTTATATATTAAAATTAAGAGTATTGCTATTTATTAACTTAATTAATATTTTTTATTTTGTACTTTATTTTTCTCTTTATTTAAATACTTTATTTATTAATCCTTATAATTTATTAACCTTTATTTTAATAATTTATCTTTTAATTAAACTTCTTAATTTCTTTATTTAATAAGCGGTATTAAGTATAGTAAAGCTTGGGCTAAGCTAAATTAAGAAATTTTAATTATTTAAAGATTAAATAATTATGTTAATAATTTAAGGGTTTAATTTAGTTTTTATTTAACTTAAGCGTTATAAGTAATAAAAGCATAAGTTTATAAAATGCATTATAAATAAAATGTTTATATAATAATTATAACTTTTTAAGCTTTTTAATTTTATATAATTAAGATGTTTTAATATATATATATACTTAATTAACTTCTTTTTATTAATTATATACTTTAATAAATTAATTAACCTTTAACTTCTTAATAATAACCTAGGCTTTTTTATATGTTTGTTTTTTATAGTAATATAATATAGCGAAATAATAATATATTTATAATTTAACTTATATATATAATTAATTAATTATTTCTTAACTTTAAGTTTAATTTAACTTAATACTTTTCTTTCTTTTATACTTTTTAAAAGTAATATATATTTATAAAATAAAAACTGCTAATGTGGGAATAATGGGTGTTGTTTATATAAAGGATTATTTAGGATTAAGTAGCTTTGGCTTATTAAGATGCTTAGTAGGTAGCAGCCTTAACGCTGTATATAAAATAGCTAGCATAGTTAAGCCTTTTGCCTTCCTTCCTTTTATAATTAATAATAATCAATCACTATACCAATTAAATGTCATATTGCAATACGTAACCCAGCCAACAATATTAATTTAAAACTTTATTTATAATGTAAATTATAATTACGCGGCTAAGTTATATTTTTATTATAAATTTTAAGTTTAAAAATAACTCTTTATATAATTAAATTAACTTAAAAAAAGCTATTTTTAGCTTAGGAACTTTTTTATAAGCTTTAATTATTATTATTTTTAAATTATTTTTCTTAATATAATCTTAGCTTAATGCTTATTAATAAAGTTATAACTTATTAAATATTAAATATAAAACCTTATATAAGTTTTTATTTAAGTTTTATATTTTTATTTTTATAAATATTATTATTATTTAGTTTATATAATAATATTAATAATTAAGATTTATATTAAAATGCATTTTAATTTTAAGGTATATTATTATAAATATATTAATTTAATTTATAAAATAAAAGTAATATACCTTAACTTAATCTTTAAGCATTTAAAGAAAAATTATATAAAATTAACTTAGCTAAATTTTAATATAATAATAAATATTAAAAAATATCTTTATTTTATTATTTAATAAATTATATAAATTCTTAATATATTTATAAGAATTATTAAAGGTTTTTATAAATTATATTAATTTTATTAAATTTAAGCGCTTATTAAAAATATATTATAAGGAAAGAATTTTATATAAGTTATACTTTTTATTTAGCAAAAGTATTTTTAAGGCAGCTTAAGGTTATGCTAAGTATAAAGTATATCTTTAATATAAACTTTATTTTTATCTTTTTATTAATAATAATAAGCCTTGCTAGCTATATTAATTTTTAATAAATTGCATTATTAAGTTTAAATTTTATAATTATATACTTAAAGTTAATAACGGTAATAAAAGTTATTTTAAGAATTATCTTCTTAATAATTATTATTATTTAAAGCTTGCTTATAATACTTATAAAGATTATACTTATAATTATTATTTTTAAAATTATATGCAATATTTATTTATATTTAATTTTAAGGTTAATAGGGTATTATAAAGCTTATTATTAATTTATTTTAATTTTTCTTTAGCTTAAGCTATAAGAATTAATTATAATATTATAAATTAATTATTATATTTTATATAAATGCTTTGCATTTAAAGAAAGACTTTTAAGTATTATTAATAAGGATTTAGCAATGCTTTAAATATTACTTATATTTATATTATATAATTCTTATAATAAATAATAAAAAAGTTATTATTATAAAGATTTTATTATATATAGCTTATTAAAGTACTTATTAAGTAAGTAATTAAGTATTTTATTAATGCTTTTTATATAGGGGCTATAAATTATAATTTTAAATTAATATATTTATAATAAGCTAAGTTAATTGGAATTTAAGCAAGTATTTTATTAATTATATACCCTTTAATAAAAGCTAATAGCTTCTTAGCATTATTAGCTATGCTTATAAGTTTTTATAATAAATATTATAAAAAGTAAAATTAATAAAATAAAGAAATATTAATAAAATAAATAATATTTAAAAGTAAGTTAATAATAATAATTTAATAAGAAGTAAGTTATAATTATTAAAAGAAAAAAGTTATTAATTTCTTTAAGCCTTAAAAGCTAAGGCTTTCTTTTATTATTAAGTTTTTTTATATTAGCTGGAAGTATAATGTATAACTTATGCTTGCTTATAATATAGCATTGCATTAGCTTTAATAATTATAATAATTATAAGCTTTATTTATTTAATAATTATAATAATTATAAGTTTTATTTATTTAATAAAATAAAGCTTTATTAAGTTTTGCTAGGTTTTAAAAAGGACTTAAAAATAAGTTTATTTTTAATAAAGTTTTATGTATAATAAATATATATTTCTTAAATAGCGATAAATATATATATAGATATTGCAGAAAATACCATTTAATTTATTTAATTTTTGCAATATTTGCTTAGGGAGTTTAATAATATAAAGAGGCTTAAAAAAGTAGTTATTATTATATAATGCTTATTAATAAGGAAGATATAATTTTTAAATTAAGGAAATCCTTATAAGGTTGCCTTTTTTACCTTATTAATTTATAATACCTATAACTATTAATTAATATTAATAGGTTTCTTATATATATAATAATTATATAAGAAGCAATTATATATTAATATTATTTTATTTAAGTTCTAAGAGGCTACGTGCCCTAAAGGGGATAACTAAAGTAGCCTTCTAAGTGCGAGGGTCGTACTTGCCAACAGATGCATTCACGCGATCCTGGAAACGAACCTATCCAATTGTGCCAGTAATATCCTGGCCTGGCAGAAGTTTGTTGACGAGCATGGATGGGCTTGTTCGTGGGTTAAACCGGTTGCTGGAACTACAGCTATGGTCTAATTTCACAGGAACGGCAGGCCAGTGGATGACGTCAAGCTATGCTTACTTGCGCAAGAGAAAGCGGACGTTTGTTTGATACCAGGGAGGAAATGTTTCGGAGATGGTGTTCACTTTGAGGGCTACGTTCGGATTGGAGTTGGGCTGCATCCGACTCAAGTCACAGGAGGACTGTCAGCATTGGCTAAGTTTATGAAGGAGGATTTTGCCAGTGTTCCTTTTTCATCGACTTAAACTGACCAAATACGAATAATCATGATTCCTGTCTCTGCAAAACACAATTTTGCATAAGTTGTATTCCTGCTCAGCAACTGTCAAAAGTAAGCTGCATGTTCCAAGCGCCACGAAGCACGGCTGGCTGGCTGTCCTCAGAACTTACTCGCCGAGAAACTTAATTGAACTATCATAATGTGATGATGCTCCCTTTCTGCCCTTATTTTGCCACTTGTTTGTAGAGCCTCGCCGAGTATGACCGGTCTAACACTCAAAGGAGCTATCATAAGACCTGTTCAGCAGTTTCAAGACTAAATACCTAATCGGTACTAAGCAATCCACACACGCTTCTATATCACGCTCTAGGAGCCTTGTGTTGACTTACAACATGGTTAAAATAAGCTGTTTATGCATTGTGCCCTTCCCATGGGCTGAATATGTGTGGATGCCCTGCTCTATGAAGGCTCAATTTCCTGCAGCCCCCACGTTGCACAATTCCAGCAAGTTTTCTAATTGGGGGCTGGCAGAGAGCCCGCCCCATTTTCATCATCTGTTTCTGCCTAGCTCGATCTGGAAGCTTGCTGCCTCAGACACTTTGGGGGCTCTCGGTTTCTGCGCCTCAAAAGTGTGACAACTTATCAACAGCTGTAGCCATTAAAGCTCGAGCTGAACAACGTTCTCTAACGAGATGTTCCACTGCAGACTTTGTGGAACATAAGCCGCATCTCTTAAGGGATGAGCTTCGTACCAGATCATCAAGGTCTCTGCGATGACATGCCCCCTGATTTCAACCTTCTATCAATTTGGAACACCAAGTCATCCTAGCTGCGAAAAAAGGACGTCACCGCCAGTGTTCATCTGTCCAAATGAATTGCGATACTCTCACTGATCCAAGTGTCTGGGCTACGCATCTACCTTCAACGTTACTTAGTGTCTGTGAAGATGCGTACGCTGACTTGTGCTCAACCAGAAAGTGTGCCAATGGAGTCGGAGCCTGATGAAGCTCAAGTGTCTGTCTTGAGCCATGATCCAGACCTCGACTCCCTCTTAGAGTACCCATTTGGCGCAGCCGATATGGCCGACATCCACAGCCTCTACAATGATAACGATGCATCATCACATGGCCAGCCTTGCCTGAGTAACGGTAATCAGGGCCAACAGATGGAGCCACAAACGGAGTCAACGACAGCATGCTTTTGGAACCCCTTCTGGTCATCACCGGCACTACTTTTTGCATACTCAACTGTCCTTGCTTTGTTGTCCGCCGCAACAGTCGTGTTGTGGCGGCTGTCAGCCAGCAACCACGGCTTTCCCCTTCTCACGGCCAACAACTACTCATGGACTTACGGACCTACAGCAGTACTGACTGTCATCATGAGTATCTGGAATCAGACAACGTATTGTTGCAAGCTTCTTGAACCTTGGAGAGAACTCAAAACGGGTCCGCTGGGCCCCGAGAAGACCGTCCTCCTTGATTATATCTCCCCTATCCTACCAGCCAACCTTTGGAAGGCAACGCGATTCAAACATGCCACTGTTCTTGTCGCTATCTACGCTGGTATCATCCTCAGGATCGTGACAGTGGCATCCACTGGCCTCCTGAGCCCGGTCAACATGTCAATGCCTTTCCAAAATATCACACTGGAAGCATTGACAACTTTTAACACTGATAATTATGACCTTCGTTTGGGAAGCTTCGATACACTCAGAGAATCAGCCATTAACTACGAGGCATATGCCCTGATTGCGGATAATTTGCCCTTTCCGGATGGTATCCAGCCAAGTCTGGCCTTTCAGCGGTTCAGACTGCCAGCCAACTCAACTGCCAACAGAACGCTATCCTCGGTTCGGGCAACGGTGCAAGCTTTCAAGCCTTCAATCCAATGCGAAGAGGCGAGCCTGGTCCCCCTGAATGCAACCACTAAGCCCTATGACAACGGAGGCTGGCTTGAGATTTTCGCCAACTTGTCCTGGGCTTCATGTTCCTCGTCACAGTTACACCCAAAGGAAGCCCACCTTGGTTTTGCTTATCTGCCGCTCACGCGACAGTCATACGGCGGCATTCCTTCTGGAGATTACACATGTCGCGATGCGATGGAATCATTCTGGTCCTTTGTCACATTATTCGACGTTCGATACAATCGAACAGCCATCCCTTCCGCCATTCTGCGGGCTGAAAAATCAAACTCATCGGATACCTGGGGTATCCAGATCATGAAAGCAACTTCAGTTGCTTGCAGCCTTAGCTACTCCATGATTCCCGCGCAGGTTACATATGATCTCTCACGGGATCCCGTGACACCAGTTATCGACCTGCCGGATGGCTCTGGCACATACGTTCCAGGCCCATTCATCGAAGGTTTCCCAGCAAGTGACTTTGCCTACAGACTCCGCAGTGGTGCCGACAATGCGGACTTCATGGTCGGGAGCTACGTTACGAACGGAATGGATGAATTTGCTCCTAACACATTTGTACAAATGATGTCGATCGTTGGAAATACAACCCCAGCCGCTTTTCTGGGTAACCCTGGGTTGATGTCCTCGGCGGCCTCCACGGTCTTTACCTACGCCGGCGTTCAAGTCGCGAATGCCTTCCTTGTGGGGGATACGACAGAAACTCTGCAGGGAGAAATTAGCACAACCACTACAAGGATTCGGGTCTCTCCCCTCGCCTCACTGGCAATGGTCAGTGGTTTACTAGTTGTGGCCGTCGGCGCAATGGTACTCGTTCTCATCCGCGCCCATAACGTTATCACGCACAAGGTCGGGCCCATCGGAGGCATGGCCAAGACTCTGAGAGACAGCCTCAGTCTCAATGTTCTGCTTAGAGGATGCGGGCAGAAGAAAATGGAGCACATTGAAAAGGTTCTGAATCCTTTCACATTTCAAAGCACGACTGTTACGACACAAACTAGCTCTACTTCCATTATTGCACAACGCGAAGGCGCTGTCAAAGACGATTCGTCTGACCAGTCTCTCGTGGAAACTATTGCCTGGTGGAGACCGATTCCCCTGCGTCCTTTGATATTCACACTGATATCACTTTCTCCACTTGCCATCATCGCCACGTTGGAAGTTCTGCAACACTTATCCCGGCGAGCGAACGGCATCACAAGCATCTCGAATCCAGACACACTGCTTGTTACCTTTGGTACCAGGTTTGTGCCATCGATGCTATTCATGACCATCGCTACCCTGTACGAGTCAATCGAGTTTAATGTGGCGGTATTGGTCCCATTCGCACGATTGAAGGCAGGCAAGGCCAAAGGCAAGCCTGTGATTACTCACTCTCTCCTCGGACGCTTCTCTATCGAATCTCTGGGCTTTTCTCTGTGGAATAAATATTGGGAAATAGCTTTCGCGACACTGGCAGCCTTCCTTGGCAGCTTTCTAACTATCGCCGCCTCTGGCCTCTACACAATAGAGAGCAAGCCTGGCCCGTCCCCAGTTACTGTCTGTCGAGTGGACCGATTTGACCCCACATGGTCTGATAGTGTAAACGATGATGGTGGTGCAGCAATTTCTCTCACCAACTTTGAAGTCCTCAACCTATCCTACCCGTCATGGACAAATTACGAGTTGGCATTTCCGGAATTACAACTGTCGACAAAAGACTTGGCCCAAATCAATGCCACGTCGGAACCGTCGATTACTGTCCAGGTCCCGGCCGTGCGCGGCGAGCTGCAATGCGGCATAACATCCATGGAGGACACCATCGTTGATGTTCCAGGAGTTGGACCAGTCCACACTATACTAGTTGTGAATGGCTCAACTTCTGTTCCCGCTGCGTGTGATGTAGAGGCCTCGACGATTGGCTGGTCTAGCCGACAATTACTACGCCTCTCACGTCGGCCTTGGCTGCTGGGTCAGATGCTTGATTTGCATCCAGGTGACAAGAACCTCAGCTTCGGAGAGTTCTCACTGCCGCTGCAAGACAACAGTCCACCTGGATGCCCTTCGCTTGCCTTCACCTTCGGGAATTACTCAATAAAAAGCACAGACAGGTTGGAAACAACTTCGAACGCATCACCCGCCTGGTTCACAACAATGTCATGCATTCAACTTATGGCAGAGGTCCAAACGGACGTTACTTTGAGTATTCCTAACTTCACAGTTATATCCGCGGTTGCGGATGAGTCTACAACCAAATATCTTGCCAGCGGGCCTGGCGGGCAAACTGCGTTCCCATGGCGCCCGCAGCTCCACTTTGAGCTCGAAGTCATCATCTGGGACGGCAATATGACATACGGCGGATTCAACAGCCCGTCCGTGGTACAGATGTATCAAAACCCGAACTATGAAGTCGACGGCTTTTTCTCACTGCTGCTCCACCCCAGCAACAAGGTCTACCCAGAGGAGCTCTTGGGCCCCGATAATCACGGAAGGCTACTTGACGCCATCCAGGGCTTGTACCGGCGCTACATGGCCCAAGTAGCAAACACAAAAATGCGAGTCCCAGTCGCTGCCAACACGGCTCCCGAGACGTACACGGCCACGTGGATCAACACAAATAGGGGAGTGCTTCGGCAGGACTGGAGGTCGAAGCTGGCCCTGCAAATACTACTGGCCGTCATGTTTGTCTGCGGAGTTGCCTCTTACCTACTCATCGACACCGAGGAGGTCCTGCCGCATGACCCGTGCAGCATCGCTGGGCTGGCAGCTCTCCTGGCCGGCAGCTCAATCTGCAAGGAGGAGGAGCCTTTAGTAAATTCCAAAGGAAGCGAAGGAGGCAGGATCCACGGGTCCTCGTGGGACTCACAGCTCTTCGGTTTGGGTTGGTGGAGGTTGCCGGAAGGAGGTGAGCGGTTTGGGATTGACATTGGGAGTGCTCAATGGAAGTAATGGGGAGCCGAGACAAATCAATGAACCCCCAGCTTCGCGTGGCAGGTGAGGCGAAGTGGTTGTCAAGGTGCTCTGATTATGTTGGTTGACTCTCGCCAGATTCTCATATCCTCATCAACGTTATCAAGGGAAAACATGTATCTAAAACTTCGCAGATTTAACTCTTTTGTATGAGGGCGTTTTGTGGAACTTTGTGTATGAGAGCTACCTAGGCAGTACTCAAAGCTCAGTTTACTCTTGTATTGCTATTGTTATGTTTCTGTGTTTCTACTGAGTTCAGCTCCCCCCTCAAGGTATTACACTCATCCTATGTGTGCATTGCCACCGTTTTTCGTTCCGAACACCCTCGGTAGCAACAGCTGTCGATTCTCAGCCCGACATTCAACAGAACAAAATCGCTCCTCTCATCCCCAACCCCCTCTCACTACACAGCGGGATTTTGCATGGATGGACATGGGGCCACAAATATCTGTGCGAACAAAAGATTATTCAGGGATAATGTGTACTGCAGTAGAACATTGTGTTGGAAGGTGCGAGGGTCGTATGCCCATACGCTAGCGCTAGCCTACAAATAGGCTCTTTCTAAGCGTTTAATAGCGGGGAAATTTCTCTCCTCAACACCTAATAATTAACTATTGTTTGCTTAATTACTTTATTAAGTTATAAGCCTAGCATTACTTAAGATATCTTAAAATATTAGGAAATATTAATACCCTCATTTTTATAATCATTTTTATACTTAAATCATTAGGATTTTAATATTGCTAGCCTTTGCTTATATACCATTATTATACCTTATAATAGCTGCCATAGTTAATAATAACTTATAATAATTCAATACTCCTACTTTATTTAATATTTTAACTACTTACTCCTTTTTATTTATTTATTTATATTAATTAATGCTAATTATTATAAATAAATAAAAATATATAAATATTATTTAAAATATACTTAGAAATATATAAATATTATTTAAAAGATATTAAATATACTTAACTTTAAGCTTAACCTATTATTTCTTTTAAAGTTAGATTTAAAAGGGAAGAACTTTTTAAATTAAAGGATGGCATGGAGTTGCGGCTTTTAATTTATTAGCCTTAGTAAATATATTATAGGTATTAAGGAATAATTAAATAAGGATGCGGCCCTTATAAAATAAGAAAAGCTTAATAACTAAGCCTTTATTATGCTCTTAAGCTTAATATATTTAAGCTTTATAATATTTATTATATTATATAGAAAATCTTTTAATGCTTAGAAAATATTAGTTAATTAATTTAATTATAATATTAATAACTTAATTATTTACCTCTTTTATTAATTAATAAACTTATAATATAAGAATAGCTTTAACTTATAAGGCTATTTAAATGCCTTTTAAAACCTTTAAATAAAACTTTATATTAAAACTTTAATATTAAGATAATTAATTAAGAAGTTAATAAAGTTACTTTTTAAAAATAATAAGGTTAAAGGCTCCTTTTTCCTAATAACGCTATTAAATATTATAAATAATATTATTAATAACCTAAGCAGCCAAAACCTTATAATATTTTTTAAAATTAAACTTAAGATAATAAATATTATTTCTTATATAAAGGTTAAATAATTTAAAGCCTATTTTACTTTTATTTAAAAAAGGTTAATATTAAAAGGTATAAAAAAGGCTATAAAGTTTGCATTAATAAGTGTTAACTTTATATTAAGTAATAAAGAATGCACTTAATGCTATGCATAAAACTTTATATTTATTAATTATTTATATATTAATTATATAAAGCTTATTAAATATAAAGCTAATTAAAAATAAAAAAAGGGTAAGAAATAAGTTGCTATAAATTAAGTTATAAATAAAGAAATCATTAAAATTTTTAATAATAATAAAGAAGATATAATAGCATTGCATATTAATGTTTTAATATATATGGTAAAGCTATTAATAACTGCAAGTACTTTAATATTATGGATTTTTAATTTTAATGCTTTAAAGCATATAATAAAATGCATAGAAAACTTTAGCTCCTTATAATTATATTTAAATATAATTATTATTATAAGTAGTAATTAACTTATCATAAAAGGTATTAGCTTTATAAAGATCTTTCTATAATTATTAAATAAATTAATTATTAAAAGCATTTTTATTAATATTTTATATAATTATATATTAAGGAATATTTATTTATTTAACTAAATTATAATTTAAAAGAGGTTTTAATTAAATGCATAAAAAAATAATATCTTTTTATTATTAAAAGATAATAAATCTTATAGGATATTATAAGTAAAGTTTTAATATAGAAATTTTAAAATTTAAATAATAAAAAATAACTTTATAATATTTATAATATATAGTGAATTTTATAAAGCTTTTAGCTATAGCAATTTATTAAAATTAATTGCTTAATGCTTATATAAAGATAAAGATATTATATTAAATAAATTAATGGATTTTTATTATAAACTATACTAATTTATAAAGTTTATTAAAAAATGCTTATATTTATTATTAAAATAATAATTTATATAATTATTTAAGTATATTTAATTTAATTTATTAAGTAAATTCTTAATAAAATTATTAAAAGGTTTTTAATACTTTATTTTATTTATTAATAATTATATTTAATTTTATTAAATTTACTTTATTATTTAAAAGAATGATATTTTAAACATTATTAAGGGATTTTTAAATATGGTTAAAATTTAATTTAATATAAAAGTTAAGATATTTAGTTTAAATAATAAGGGTAAATATATAAATAAGATAATTATTATAATGTTTTAAAAATACAGAATTATTTATAAGAAATTACCTCTTTATTATTATAAGTTAAATAACATGCTTAAAAAATTTATATATATTATTATTATTAATGCTTATATAATGATTTATAATAAAGATTATTTATTTTTATAACTTAAAGCGATTTCTTATATAATATACTTATAAAATTAAAAATTATACTTAGCCTTATTATATTAAATAATGCTATTTAAGGTGCTTTATAAATAAAAGCTTAATATTAAACATTTCTAACTATATTTTCACTTTATATACCTTTATGTTTTTATTAAGGCTTATAAGCTAGGAATGAAATTATTAAATAAAGCTAAAAAGGCATACTTTATAAGATTTAAGGCTAAAAGCAAAACTATTTTTTATTTATTTATATTACTTTAAAAAGTTATTATAATTATAATATTAAGCTATATTACTTAATTTAATTTAGTAATAAAGATTATATAAATAATTAGCTAATTAAATAAAAATATGCTACTTAAGATAAAGGTATTATTAGCGTTTTAATTAATAAAACTTATTAATAATGCGAGATTTATAAATAAACCTATAAATAAACTGCTTAAACTTATAAAACTTATTAATAAATTACTTAAATTCACGAAATTTATATAATTATATAATTTTTAAGGATAATAAATTTAGCCTTTATAAAAAGTAAAAGAAAATGTAAATGTTATTATAAAATGTTTTAAAGATTTTAATAACTTAGCATTAATTAATGCAAACTTTATGTTAAATCTTATTTAATTAATATTAATTAGTGCTAACTACCTTAATTAAATCTTTACTTAAGCATTGGTTATTAATATAGTAAATATTAATAATATTCTTAATATATATATATAAGTTATAAAGAGTAGTAAAAGGGATGCTTGGTAATAGGTTATTAAAAAAGAACTTAAATTACTTTTAAATATAAGTATATAGATTAAAGTATTTATTATTATAAATTAATATGTTATTAATCCTTGCTAAGTATATATAAAGAAGTTTAATGCTTTTAATAAGCTTGTTTGCTATAAGGCTTAACTTATTACTTGTAAATATATATAAATCCATAGCGTGAATTATAATAATACTTATAGCTTTATAATATGTTATAATAGTTTAAGATTAATTATTATTATTATTGTTATAATGGGCTAGTAGCTTTAGTAATTTAATATTAAAATAGCATATTTACATAGTTATTTAAAATATAATATTTATATATAATTGCTATAAGGATATTAAATATTATTTAATAATTAGTAAGTTATTTTAAAAATTTTTAATGCCTTATATAAACTTAAATAATTAGGCTGCAAATAATTTAATACTTTTAAAGAAGAATTAATTAAATATTTAATGGAAATGATATTTAACCCTTGCGTTTTTATTAAAAATTAAATTATTATTGCTATTTATATTAATAATATTCTTATTATTAAAAGTCCCTTTTAAGTTAATGAATTTTGCATTAAGCTTATATAATGTTTTAAGTATAAGGATTTTAGTTTTTATAAATACTTACTTGAATTAGAAATTATATAAATTAATAATAAGATTTGCATTTCCTAAAAGGAATATGCTTAATGGATTTTAAAATGCTTTAATATATTTAATTGCAATTAAAAATAAACTTTTATAAATTTAAATTTATTTTTATAATAAGAGGAACTTAATAATATTATAATAAATATAATAATATATTAATTACTTATTAAATTTATTAATTTTCTTATTATTAAAATAAGACTTAATTTTGCGTTTTTATATATAATGCTTTTAATATTTAATATAAAGCTTGCAATTTATTATTTAAATATTATAAAGGGGGTGCTTTAATATATTTAGCATACATTAAATTATGCCTTATAATTTTTAAAATAAATATTATTATTTTAATTTACTATATTTAATATATATATTAACGCTTCCTATAATATTAATTTAAATAATTTAAAAGCATTTAATAAATATATGCAACTCCTTAATGGTGGCTTAATTGCTTAGTTATTAAAGTGTTAATTTATTATTATAAAATCCACTTATAAGGCAGAATATATAGTATATTTATTAGCATTATTATATTTTTATTAAATAATTTAAGTATTAAAAGATTTAAGCATTAAGTATATTAAATGTTTGCTTATTTTATATATTAATAATTAGCTAGCATTAAACTTTATTTAAAATTATAAAGTTAACGCTTAATTAAAATATATCGCTATTTATTATTACTTTATTTATAAAGAAATTAAAGAAATATATAATGTTTATTATATTGCATTTAAAGATAATTTTGCTAATATTTATATAAAAGCGTTACCTTGCTTTATTTTTAAAGAGGCTTATAAGAAATTAAGATTAAGATAAGTATAAGATTTATATTACTAGGGGGGGCGTTTAAATAGTTAACTAAAAATGATGTAAGTGGAATATATAGATATTGGATAATATTTATATAATAATCTTAATATAAATTATAGCGGAATATTTAAATTATATTTTTAGCTATTGAAATGGAATATCTTTTATTATTGTTAGGATAATAATATTTGCGATGGGGGGTGTATTAAAAGGTGTGAGGGTTATATGCTTATATGTTAGCGTTAGCCTATAAATAGGCTCCTTCTAAGCGTTTAATAGCGGGGAGATTTCTCTCCTCAACACCCAACAATCAACTATTGTTTGCTTAATTGCTTCATTACATTGGAATTAAATGTATGCCCTAGATCTCTAGGAAGACACAGAATTGTAATTTAGGATTACCGATGCCTATTTGCGTTCTCAGCCCAGCTTGAGCATGTACATCTAGAGGTCAAGCCATTGTCCAGTCCTTGTGCTGCTGCTCTTGACAGCACACCAAGGTCATTTTAGGGTGAGGCCATTGTGACTAAGTAACTCAAAACCTACAGTAGCTCATTTAAGATAAAACACTCACACCAACTATAGAGACACCTAAGCGAGGGGCAGGCTGAGGAAGTATTCATCAATTTATCAAGCAGGGGCCAAGGGTGTGCCTCTTCAATACATTGTCATGGTTTAATTTATACTAGATCACACATGTACATGGTATTTGTTGTAACATACCTAATGCCTAAATATTGTGTCAGTCAGCAAGTCTCAAGCGCATAAGTTTGCTTCGTAATGGCATCAATATAGGGGTCATTCCCATACCGTGGGTGATACATACACTAGACAGTGTGATCTATTTAACGCTTTCTCTTTGTTTTGTCTGTCACCAGCAAACCATAATTTTACAGTACAATAAGTACCTTTGTCCACAGCGTTGTATTCTGCAGAGAGCCATTGGCAACACCTCCAAGTATTTGTGAGATGCTCGTCACCAGGCAGATGGTACAATAGCCAGAAGCAAAGTCCTGGTGTCCATCCGACGCGTCCAGGACCATTCATCTGGATAGTGAATCTGATTTTATCTCACAGAATGGAACGAGGCCCGGGGTTGTCGGGGTTCTCTCATGCTCGGCGCAGTTGGCCTTTGGGGGCCCTTTCAGGACACAAGGCCCCACCGGCGATGTCATTGACGAGGGTCCCACGATAGCTTCAAGCGCCCATCGGTGCGCAGTGCTTCTTCCACAGGAAACTTTACGCATATGCCGTTTGAGAACTACTGATTTCCCAACCACACTCTCTTCCGTCAACACAAACCCGACTCCTAACCAGCCAACGCAAATCACCGTCAACATGGGGCACGACGCAGCCATCAACGGCGATTCGGGAGATACCGTCGCCATGAAGAATCCTATCACTGGTGGAATAGACTTGCCAGGCAAGGTCGCCGCGCACAAGTTCGCCAATATCAAGGAGCTCGTCATCAGGATGGGCGACCATGTGAGTCAGACCAACAGCTTGAGCAGACAGACAACTTTGAACAGCCTCTAACTTGTCGTCTCGTGCGTGCAGTTGCCCGACGGAGACCTTCCTGGGCTCTGCCTTGTCAACTCTGACTTCAACTCCATGTTCTCGCCGCGCCTGTACCGCCACATTCGCCTGAATGCGAACTTCTTGAAACCCAAAAACCTCGCTTGGGCTGCCGGAAACCAACGATTCCGGCACACAAAGATTCTCTCTTTTGACAACGCAAGTCGATTCGATGCCAGCAAGATTAAGGGCTACGAGGCTGGCGACGGTCCTTCTGAGGGACCAATTTTGCCTGAGTGGATTGCCTCTCATGTACAGAGAACAGCGACAAATATTGTGCGCAATTCCCCAACTTTGCACACTATCATGTAAGTCTCTGTTTGAATAGGCCCTGATATTTCCACCTGGAGATTCCAAATTAGCAGTCGTTCTCGGCGTCGCCCACAAGCTCCGATCTTGAAAGACCGCACGAATGCTGACACTGTGAAAGTCTTGATAGTACCCCAATCGGATCTGACAAAGCCGTCCTGATTATCAACAACGGCTTCAACAGCAATTGTCAGCAATCCAGGATTAAGTTGCAGTCCTTGGCCTTGAAATTAGGCCCGATTCCTTGCCGGGAGCTCTCTGCATCTGTCTTTCTGGAGCAAAGCCTCAAGTCCCTTTGCCTGATCCGCATTCCCACGGCGTCCTGGAGGGTGGGTTTGTTTTGCCGGATTCTCCTTCAATCTCCTGAACTCCGTTACCTCAAGCTTTCTTACCTGAATGGAGCGGAGCATCAATGGACGCTTGAGGAGATCTGCAAGCAATACAAGCAGCTGGGAGGTGTCCCCCTGAAGCTAGAAGTCGTGGTCTTCGGCCAGGGAGTCAACCTGAAACTGCCCGCAAACGGAGGAGATGGTTCAGCCCAGGCGAGCTATCTTTCCCTGCTCACCGATCCCGGATGTGTGCGAGATATGAGCATCATTGCCAGGAGGCAAACAGCATGGGAAACATTCGATTCATCATTCTTCCCGAACATGAATCGATTCAGCCTATATGCTTCCACTCGTTTTGAGCCCGTGGTTCACGGTTTCTTTGCGCTGCGCAAGACCCGCGACTTCTTGCGCCAGGTCCATTTCCACGTTGACGGTACTCTCTTCAAGAAATACTTTGACTTCAAAGGTATGTTTTACCGTTCCCAATGCCGCCTTGTATTGTGGATTATGGAACGCTTCGGACGACCTTAAGTCCAGCTTTAAAATATGATTTGGGAGTACTATCAAGTGGCCTCTAGTCAAGCCTCAATAGTGCTTTCCACTATTATACTACTCAGAGTGTTGCGAAACTTGAGAGAAGTATAATGGCACTGACAAAGTAAACAGACATGACACGACGGCTCTTTGGTCACTGCAATTTGAAAGAGCCTGCGTCTACCTTGAAGCCGACGGGGTTTTCCTTCCATTCGATACTTCCCTTGGAAGTCCACTACCAACGCAGTATCGCTCTGCCCCTGCCGACCACTCGTTTCCTTGACATCACCATCCATTACAAGCACCTTGTTGGCTTTTCTGGTGCAGGTCTGTCCAGGATGTCTGCACTCGAGTGCTTAAGCTTGAATGTCTACGTCTACCGTATCCCCGAATGGGATGATAGCCGCACGGTTGGCGAGAACTTGCTGAAAGCTTTAGGCAAGGCCGCCAAGAATTGCCCCAAACTGCGTTACGTACGCATAAAGATGGGCGCCACCGGCCCGGTGCGTGCTCCGATAGCTGGTCTCAGCTGCTCAAGAGAGATTGTTCGTGAGCGCAGGCCCCGTTTCAAGAAGCTTCAACCCGTCTTCAAGCCGCTCGATATGGAGACCGACAAGCTTCTGCGCCCTCAGAGCATGTGGACCGAGACGGAGAAGCGAGCACAGTACGTGAAAGAGACTCTCGACGAACTGGTTTTCTACAGGCCCTTGTTGATGGATTAAATTCGGATGGACGTGGCCAAGGAGTTTGGGAGTAACAGTGAACGGAAGGAGTTGGGGAAACAGGAATTTAATTTGTAAACCATGATAGGATACCCGAGTTCTCTGTTTCGACGCCCAGTGGCTGTAAGCTTGACCCATTGATACTGACCTCAGGTCGCCATGGAGGGCTAAGGCTTAAAACCTCTCGTTCCTTCCGGGCAGTTCGCAGGACTTAAAGCGGACGTGTGGGTTTGCCGAGTTGGAAGAGAAGGGACGCCCATGACGAACGCCTTCCTGAGCTGACATGCCCCATGATCTGCAGAGTATCGTGTCGGTAATGATGTATCCCAACTCCACAACTCTGCAGGAGCCTCATTCTTTCCGTACTCATTTTGCATCATCAAAGATGCGCAATATATCAGCTTTCCTTCCGATGAGCTGGTCTTCACTTGACGCAGGCCGGCCAATACATTTCTTGCAATAGACCAAGTCATCTTCAACAGCTCCAAACCACGATGGGCCCAATTAACAAACGCTTCGCAGCGAATCGGTTCTCACCATTGGACACAGACCTCGGCTTTCAACACACTGCTAATGGCATGACACAAGATGTCTACGAACTTGAGAGCGGACCCCCGAGCCCGGTGGTGCTATCACCTCCCAGGAACAGCCTCGGGTCGCCGACAAAGCATCCCATAGCCAATAACAATAGCCTTGCCGCGTATCAGAGCCAGTCTGCTAATTTGGATCCACCACACATCGGCTCAGTCAGGTACAGTCTTGACTTCTTGTTACAGTCACGGAGGGATTCCTCACAGCAGCAATACGTACCGGCCGAGCCTGTTTTTGCCGGCCTCAATCTCGACCCTCGTGGCGCAGGCCCAGGCGTCGACTCTGAGCCCGCTATCGCCCATACCGACGACATTGGAGTCAGCCTTGATGCCCCCGAAGAACCTACCAGAAATGACGCCTTCCCATACTCCAAGCTCCCCTTCGAACTGCGGCAGATGGTCCTCCGGGAGCTGGTGCCCACTAAATCCATCTGGAACGGCACCTCATTCCCCAAATCCTGTCAGTATTCCTCTTCTCCTTCTACAATCCCCCAGCATTTACTCCTTAGAAAGTTCCAGAATGTGTCACCTCGGGGACCCTAGCAGATGACTAAGAAATAGTAGGCCAGAAACAATACCAGCGGGCCTACTTCGAGAAGACAAAGTACCTCCAGAACCGCGCGCTGGCCCAGTAGAACATGACCACGACGCCGGACGAAGCTCCGCCTGGCAGGCCCCAGGACGCGTGGGGCCGCAACGAGCCCGCGATCGCCTCGCTCCTGAACGCCCGGCTGGTCGACAGGAGTTTCTGCCGAGATATTGACGCCTTCTTCTCCCACGAGTGCACGTACTGGCTGATGATGGGCGCGACCGAGTTCTTCCTCTTCAAGTGCCTCGCCTTCGGCCCGAGGTATCACCACCTGCTTCCTCGGCAGGCGAACTGGCTCCCTACGTGTTACGGTGATCAAACCAGCTGGGCGTGCAATGATGCGTACCACAGTCCACTGTGGCATCACAATACCTTGAGGACGAACCGTATGATGTGGAAAGACATTGTGGAAAAGCGCTAGGATCACGGTCCTCGGCAACCCGGCTATCTCAAGTTCATCGGCCGGTTCAGGAACCTTCGAATCGTCTGCTTCATGGGCCACATCCCTGATGCGGACGAGGCACTCGTTACAATTCTCGACGGGATCTCCGCGAAGCCTGGATGGAGGAACTGGGAGCCCCCGAGGTTGCCCAAGGTCCATTTCATATTTCACCACTACGTCGGATACCATTGCTCATACCTCTGCCCGGAATGTGAGGGCACTTGCTCAGCTTACAGGTCCTTATCGCAAGGGCGCGAGCCAGTCGTGCCCGGCACCGCGTTGTGGCCCTGCACCTCAGTCGGCATGGGGCGTGAGTCCTGGTTCTCGACCTGCGCCGGATGCGTCAACTGCCTGGGCTCGACTGAGTCTGTAGAGGTCTTTCCCTCGAACTGGCACAAGCTGTTGCTGGCTTGGGAACCTGGCCTGAGACACAGGGGGCCGTCAGCATACAACACAGCGCACAAAATCACCCGACTGGCGACCGAAGAGACGCTCTTTCATCCGTTCCTCGAGACCTGGGACGACCCCGTCAGGGCGGCGATGCTGCGGGTAAGCCCCGAGTTCAATCTCGACCCGGAAGCCGAGAAACAGCTCATCCAGCCCATGTACGGGAAGGAGGGCCTCGTCGACGCGTGGAGGATGTGGAACAAGTGGGCGCACCACGCCTGGGACCGAATCACCTTTGCAAAGCACCACGAGAGCGTCGGCTTCTACTGGTCCAGGGCCTTCCCAGACTCCACCCGCTTTCAGTTCTCTTGCAAGTTGGCCTACAGCGACCCGCTCATCCCGGGCAAGACGTACAGGCTCGACGTCACCGGGCAGTTCATCGGGCGGCATGATGCCACCCCGTTGCTGTCGGGCATTGAAGCGAAGGAGGAGGAAGCCCCAACGCCGGATGCGGGTACCTTGCTTGAGAATTCTCACTGAGAAGCAGCCGAGATGTGACTAGGAACCGATGTTGCATAATGTGATCGAAGGTGGAGATGCTCTGTCGGAGGATTTCACCAAGCGGTTTGTAAGATGACCAGTTGATCCGGTGTTATGGCAATCGAAAGCGAACAGACAGCAATAAATTTGTATTTCATCATCCATGTCTCGCAGCCTCTGGTCTGTAACCATGTACGGCTGGCATGGCACGGTCATCCGCACCGAACAGGCTCTGCGAGAGAAGGCGAGAAGATGACTGCACGCCCTTGTGAGTTATATCGTAGAGGAAGAAGCGAGAATCTGATACTGGTACCATCTCGAAAGAATGAAGGTTGAGTGGTGCCAAACACTCGGACTGCTGGCTCATAAATTAGTAGAATACTATCTCCAAGTATTTTCCCATCACCTACATGCGCCCCGATACGCTTGATATTGACAGAAACAAACGCCCGTGAACATGATGATATATATACACCACATACAGTTGAAAACCAGGGTAAAAGGGGGTGTCTCTGCAGGCTGAGATCGGTATCATTTAACGGACAAAGGAAACCCCACCAATCCAGACCCAAATCAACGCCGCTCGCCGGCGGCTTGCATCATGAGGATGGAAAATCAAGTTGGTCGTGACAACCCGGGAGCGTGTTCATAACCTTATCTCACCACGGCCTTTTTCTTCTCTTCTCTGCGTGCCGTCGCCCCGGTGACTCTCATCCAGTCTTCCCACTCTTTGCTGATCTCCATGAGAACCCCACCCATACATCCCGCAGAGGCCATCAGCCCGTGCCCCTCGCCCTCGAGGACTCGCACCTCGCACCGCTTCATCGTCTTGCCTAGCCACTTCACGTTCTCGACAGGCACACGCGTGTCCCGACTGCCGTGATGGATCACCACCGGCCTGGTGATGTCGACATACCTGAAGCCGATGGTATGTCGGCGCTCCAGGCACACCAGCAGGTCCACGGCGGGGTTGGCGCCCGTGGTCGCGAGCTCCCAGATGGCCTGGGTGAGGCGTGTGTCGTATGTTTCCTGCCTTACTTTATCTGCCATGGCTGATTCGGCAGCGGCAATGACGGCGTCCTGTTTGCTGTTGCGATTGCCTTTGCCACTGCTGCCTCCGCCGATACCACCGTACGTGTCGTTCGCCACTGCAGCTCGGATGGGTGACAGATTCCCCGTGGGGCTGGCTCCTTCAGGGCGGATCTGGTCCATTTCCTCGCAGGCGAACATCTCCCTGGTCAGCATAGGGTGGTCACCTGACAACTTCCCGCCGTTATGGTTCTCCTTATCGAGCATGGGTCGGTCGCTAGCTCTCGAGGCCGATGTGTCCTTATTATCTTTACCACTGGGCTTTCGTTTCGCTCGCTTTTGCCTTGGAAGGCTGCTTGTTATACTGCTGCTTGTGGCAGTCATGAAACTGGAATTGGCTGCCTTGAGAATCGGTGTTGGCAGTGCGCGCAATATCCTCTGAGACGTAGGTATCGCGTTGGTCGGCGGCAAAGGCGTTTGTGCGGAAGCGCCGAAGACAGACATCTGGGATGGAGGAATCCATGGTGCCAGCAGGTGGATCCGGCCACGGATGTGTTGGGGCATTCGAAGGGCTGTTGCCAGCGCATAAATCGCACCAGCAGAGTGCGCCAGGATGGAGAATTTGGTAATTCGCAGAGCCTGGCAGATTGCGTATACATCGTCTGTTCCGGTGGTCAGCGCTTTTGAACAGACATCTTCATGTGACGAAGTGTGAAGGCGAGAACGCGATCGCCGAAGGGTTGAAATCGTGACTTACCAGGCCAGCCCAGAGGCGTAGCGTTGCCGTCCGCACACGCCTCGCTGTCCCCTACACCAGGTCTGTCAGGGGTGATCAAACGCAGCTTCAGAGTCACGGCAAGTTCATCATAGAACGCCGTGATGTACCTCGTCAAGCCCATGCCAACACAGCAGAACACCGCGCTCCCCTCAGAATCTCCCACCTCGCTGAAGCTGATCACCCGGCCCGTCTGTGGGTGGCGGATCTTCTGGCTCAGACGAGGTGAGCGCAAGTACGATTCAACTGAGTCGTCGATACTATCCGCCGAAGGTGGACGCTCGTAGGATACAGCCCTTGACTCCGTCGTGGAGTCTCTAGGCTTGTCATCCGGTCGTGGGGACAACGGCCCGGACAGCCGCTTCAATCTTGAGCTGCTCCGCTTTACGCGGAGTTCCGGAGTGCTTCGACCGGATCGCCGCCGACTGGCCCGATCGTTGCTGACTTCTCGGTCTCGCCTTTTCCCTTGAGCAATATTAGGAGACGGAGCCCCGTCATCGTGTTCAACTTCGGTGTCTGTAATATGGTGATCGGTATGATGGCTCCCCTTGGCCTTGGCCGCCCGCGAAGGGTCCAGAAAGCCCTCCGGCCCCGGATCCCTCCTCCTTGGCCTTGGTTCTCTGGAAGTCTCGCGGGTTTTCCGAAAGCTGTTCCTCTGTTGCGGTATGTCTGCACTCTTCCCCTTCCCCTTGTCAGATCTGCCGAAGTAGTCCTCCTCAGGAATCGCACCATGATCGCTGTCGCGTTTCGATGAACGGCTGTTTCGTGCTGAGGACCGCTTCGCGTTGGAGCCCGTCTTCGACAAACTCGAGTCTCTGAGGGGTATTGATCGAGCCGACCCGTCTGCACCAAGGCTCGGCTTCGAAAGTGGATCGTCGATGTTCCACGCTGGCTCTTCTGTGATGGAGGTTCCCGCTAGGAATTGGTCCACTCGTGGGCTCGTCGTTCGTGCCATGGCGCTCGCGTCCAGCGCACCACTGGAACTTGCCCCGGTTCCTGAGGTTACCCTTTTCCTGTCCTCGTTGTCTCTCAGCCGCTCTTTGGAGCTCATGTACATCAACCCTTTCTGGGATCGGACTGTAGACTTCTTGCCCCAGCTATCGTATGACCGCTGTCTCTTTACTTCTGGAGACGACACAGGAGACAACCCGCGCTCGACGGAAAGATTGCCGATGCTGCGCACATCAGCATCCTTGGATGCGCATGAGCCTCTCGACGACGGGCGCGAGGACGACCTCCCGCTGAGAAAGCTCCGCAGTCCACCGCTCTCGCGTCTCTCGGGCGACTTTGGCGCTGTCAGGGGAGAGAAGCCGCTTGGAGGCTTCGCGGTCCTGATGGTCGGGGGGAGGGCCGCAAGGTCGTCGTAACCGGCGTCTTCTTCTCGCAGCTCTGCTAGTGTGGGTTGGTTGAGTGCGCCGTAGGTGACACCAAAGGAACCGTTCCGGTGGTCGTTCGGCGACTTGGGACTGGAGGGTGAGGAGGAGGTTTGGAGGAGGTCGAGTGGCAGGTCGAAGTGGGCGTTGGCTGGCCTCGATATCACGGAGAGACTGGTTATTAGGGAGGAGATGACTTCGGGGGAGGCGGGCGCGACAGAATCGTCTCGTCCGTGTGCTCGGATAGCCGATTGATTAGCGTGATTGGTGTCTGAGTGGGAATAAGATTTGTGTCAGTGACAAGATGCACAACGGCTGGAATGCAGATGCGAGACAGCTAAGGCATTGCGGACGGACCTTCAGGCGCCTGGCGGCGTGAGTGACGGCCGTGCCTAGAAATTGACGGAGGCGCTGCGGGGACAGCAGTGTGGTCCATCTTTGTTGCAGGGCGGCCGACGCGAGGTCGAGCTGCGAAATTGAGACCACCGTACAGACCGGAAAAGAATCGAACTGTGCTGGACCGTCAAGAATCCTTTCCCGTTGCGGCACGAAATGTGCCTGCGTCCTGTGGGCTAAGGCTCGATGAGGCAGGCCCAAGCAATATTACCTGCAGAGGGTGGTGCGTTGGGTGCATGCAGTTCCTGCGTTCCTGGGCTGACAAGACAGATGCACTCCCCAATCCAAAGGTGTGGGTGGGTGGGTGCCCCAGGTGGATCGGCGACGCAGGGGCCCGTGTAAGATGCGCTGCCCGTTAAGACCATATGCCGTCAACTGCCCTTTCGCCAACGACGGCGTGCTTCTGAAATGCGATCGAACCTAAAAGAGCGAGCAGGTGGGTTTCAAGTGGCTGGCATGGGAGTCAGGACCTCGGCAGATCGGACGACAGCATTGGTATCCTATAGGCCTGGCAGAAAATGACGGGCCAGGAACAGTACATCAAGCTGCCAAAAGGGTGCTGTGTCTGCAGGGGCTCGGGCTCGTTCTCGTTGGGCGGATGTCGACGTCTGCAGGTAGATATGCAAAGGGACCGAGTTTCCGGGCGCAACCAAAGGTATTCTGCTTGGGGATGCGCGCAGTTCTTTAATAATATCGCGGGCAACTTCGGCAAGCGTCGAATAGGGTCTCAGGCGCGAAACCTAGATATTCCAACCCTGGGTATATAAGGCGATGGATATGGGTGCAAGAACCGGGCGCACACCAAAGTCCGTACCTGGTCTCGGAAACCTGTCAGCCCTTTCAGCTCTAGGTCAGTGATTCTATCCATCTTTGACAGGCTGACCCCTCCACGGCTTGTAGGTGCCTCTTCCTTTTTGGTCCTCTTTGTGAGACCCTGCATGGATGTCCGTCCTGTGCAAGCCTTCGTACGGTACGGTGCGGCACGGAACACGATTGATGCACCAGGACCGGCGTGGGGAGGGTTGCAGCAATTGGCCAATCCTCATCTTGGTCCAGTAGGGGTCTCATCATCACTGGCGCACAGATTCCCCTGAACACGATGTAGCCTGTCTACCGGCATGAATATGCCTTGCAGGCCTTTTTCCCTTTTTACTCCTGGGCCTGCCCTGGGCTACCGAGCCGAATCGAGGTGATGGGTATAAAGAGTGGGCAACTTACCACATAGGCTTGTGGCCCGGAACCTGGAAGGGCTTCCGCGTGGCGCCAAAGGACGGACTATCGAAAAAACAGGTGTGCGCGTGTGCCTTAATAAATTGCAACGTCGGATTCGAGCAAATGAGGAGGGCGGATGAATGCCGAGTTCAGCGCAGAATATTTATGTCTTGGCTCTCCAGGTCGCACGCTGTTCGGGAGGATGCGCCGTTGATCTCGGTCGCAGTCTCGGTGTACAGACCGCGAAGGCTGTTGTTGCACCAGGTCTTCGGTGGCTTAGAAAGTTGTGCCCTATCTCAAACCCGAGCCTCCGGAATCTCTGGCGTTCGCTGCAGTTGCCTTGACTGGCTGCAGAAACGGGGCGCTTGGCGCCGTTGTCTTCCAGCCGCCGTAGTGCGTTGAAGAGAAGGCAGAGAGTCGCAGCACCGACGGCTTCGACTCGTTCTAGGGCGGTTCTAGTGCAGTGCAGGCTGGCGTTGATTAGTAGTTTGAAGCGTTGGGCTCACACTTTGGCGGGTGTTTCGAAAGGAAAAGGCGCGGATTGGCGATTCAGAAGGGTGTCGCAGAATGTCTTGGGCCGAGGAGCCAGCCGCAGCCGCAATTCTGTGTGACGTAGGGGTTCTCTGTGAGGTTCTGGTGTGGGCTTGAAGACGGGATGCGATGCGATGCGCTGCGATGCGCTGCGATGCGATGCGCTGCGATGTTGTCAGGGGAGTCGTGGCTCAGGGAAAAGAGACACAGGACAGGGGAGACAGAGTCAGGGACAAGGAGAAAGGCAATGAGAGGGAGGAAGAACAAAAGTATTGTCGCCAAGCTGAGGGCGAAGGTCTGTGTTGAAAGTCGTAAATCAATAATCAATAATCACCCTCGATAATGATGAATTTCGCAAGGCGCGCCGGGCAGGTACAGGTGGATCCGGATCCTCACCCAGGCTAGGACCAGGACGTTGTACTGCACGTAGGTACTCCCGGTGTCTCGCCCCTGTGCCACGTGGGGACGGACTGCAGCATGTCTGCCCAAAAAGCCCCGAGCTGGGAGTTTGAAGACGGCAGTTTACGACACCTGCAGTGTTGGAACGGGGGCAGACGGGCAATTTGTCTTGCTGCCCAAGTGATACAGTAATGACAAAGTGCGATGGGGGATGGGATATAATGTTCCTGGTCGCGCAGCCTCATCAGGGAGGGAGACGGTAGGTACATGCCCATGAGGGCTCTTGCGCGCTCGGCAGGCCCGAAATCAGCATCATGCCTGTGGGAGAGGAGCTCCCAACCCAACAGACACAGCGGGCATCCTTGCCTGCCACCTGATAGCGGCCGCCCATGTCGGATAGGAGCATCATGGGCAATAAATGTGAAGCTGGTGCTACCCCCCCAAATGAAATAGCCCGCGATGTCGAACTATCCTTTGAAACGGCCCTCTTGCACGAGGGAGGGATTGATCATGGGCGGTTCACACGCTGAGGTCGCAGTCGGCGCAGCGGCAGATCCCAAGTCGAGACCGCGTGCTTGTTTCTGGTCTGTACGGCTATGTATGACTCGGCGCCCGGATGAGCAGCTCCACAGCCAGCAAGGCATTTCGCAGGGACCGCAATGTCAAGCACTCTATGAGAGACACTACATATGTACATAGTATGAGTACAGGAGTGTAAACTGCAGGGTGTCATAGGATAAACTGCCGTGCCTGTATAAGTTTTTTTGGTTCCTCCTCGTGCGACCTCATGTGCATGTGGTTAAGCTTTGGGATGTCTGCGAGCTGTACATAAATACAGTTGATGTCCGTGGGGACTACTGCATTCCTAGATAGATCCATTAAGCACCTAGCAGACGATATCTGCAATGACCTCGACGCGCCTCAGTGTTTGATGAAGGGTCAAACACTATTCAACCCTGTCGACAACGACTTGACCATAAGGCGCATGACCCAGACACCTTGACCTTGACCTTGACCTTGACCTCGACCTCGACCTCGACCTCGACCCCTGACCTGGCTGGCTATCCACGGATCATTATTCATGTGGACTCCTCGACAATCGTGCCGCTTGCCCAATCTCCGAGATGTTGCGCCGACGCGGCACCGGCCGCGCACTCAATCTCGCCAAGTGGGGGAGAAGCCAGGGAATCGGTGGCCCCTGCTCAGGTGCTACGTCATCTCACAGTAGCATCCGGCAGTCGACAGACAACAGCCTTGCCTGCTGTCGCATTGAGTGGCGCGAGGATGGGTGAGCTCCTTATTAGCCGGGTGAAACTAGGCGTCGAGGTCTGTAGCGTGCGCCAAACCAGACAGCCACACGTCATCCCTCAGGTTGAGGCGCAGGCCAGAACGGATGCTTGATTTCGAGCTCGAGCTAGATGTTGCTGTGCGAGTATACTAGGCCGGTGCCTCGCCCATCTGGCTGTAGTTGTGGCACAGTAGTGCCTCTTTCTCGACATCACAGCCGCAGTACATCCACTTCAACGTTCATTATCGCAGAAAATCACAAGATAGACTGGTGACAACCAAGCCCACTTCACGGTCAAGGTCCTCAAGCCCGCAAAGATGATGGACATCCTCCTCTCCCTTCCCATCCTATCCGTCTTCCTCGGGGGCAGCCTGACCTCATGGTCCACCTCGCTCAACCTCCTCTTCTTCTACATGACATGGTCCACCCTCGTCCTGTCGCACAACCCCCTCTACGTCGAGCTGTTCGGATCACTGGCCATCCGCCTAGTCTTCTTCCTCCTGCCCTCCCTTGTGTTCCTCCTGTTCGACACTGCTGCCTTCCTTGGCAGAGAGCACCAAGTACGGCGGCGCATCAGCTCTCCCACCTCGCAATGCCCGCGCCCTAGGCACGGCTCTCCTTCTCGCGCTGCTCAACCTGGTCCTGGAGACGGCCCTCGAGGCGGGCGCCAGCCTCGGCTTCATCTTCCTGTTTGGCCGAGTCCCCTTCAAGGCAACCACGACGCTCCCGCTCCCGTGGGCCATCTTCAAGCAGCTGGGCTGGCTGTACGTCTCCCGCGAGGCCCTGACCTACTACATCCACAAGACAGTCCTGCACTCGCAAACGCACGCCTGGACCCGCAGGGCGCCACTGAAGTCCTCCCGCGGCTGGGTCGCGAGGCAGCACTCGCGCTTCGCCCACTCGCGCTCCGCGGCGCCCTACAGCCTCGCCCTCGCGGCCGACCACCCCGCGCCCTTCCTGCTCCACCACTTCGCCCCCGTGTACCTGCCCGCGCTCGCCGTGCGACCGCACATGCTGGTGTACTTCCTCTTCGTTGGGCTAGTAACTCTGGAGGAGACCCTTACCATGTCAGGCTACACAGTCGTCCCTGGGATCATAATGGGCGGCATCACGAAGCGCAACGCGACGCACTACGGCGCTGGCCACCGCGGGCCCTCGAGCGGGAACTATGGTGCCTGGGGCGTGTTGGACTGGGGTTGCGGGACGGGCCTGGGTGGGCGCGATATCGAGGATGATGTGCGTGATGAGGCTGAGAAGCATCAGGTCCGGGAGAGGGGCGAGAAGAAGGCGGGTGATGCCGCCGCATTCGTTCAGAACGGGATCGATGGCATTAGGAAAGGGGGAAAGAAGGGCAAGAAAGGTGGCGGGAGTGATTGAGTAAGGAGACCGCCCGACGACCCGAAGGGCATAATATAATGGAACGAGCTAAGGAGACACAGGAAGGCGTTCACTCGCTTAGGTTCGGCAGGTCTTCGTTCGCATTGCCCAGGTGCTTCTCTATATGTGCTTCAACGCCTGTTGGCAGATTGCTTCTTCTATACTTCGAGATACCCCCTCACAAGTAACAATACAACGCCACATTTCCTCATCAGCTTTGCCTCTCCTAAAAAAAAAATCGCCCATGCTCCATGTCCATAAATGCCAAACAAATGCGTCGTCTATGATAACACCCAAAATGGCTCTAACCCGTCATACCCCATGCAAAAGCCATACCCAATCAAGCCCAGTTCTTCTTCCTCTTCAACCACGCAATGCTGTCCGCACCAGTCTGGACCCTCATTCCGATCCTCGCATCGAGCACAAAGCTTTCCCAGGTCTTAACGTGGTCTAAATACTCCTGGCTCTCTGCGACCTTCTCCCGCCTGTACTCGTCAGCCTCGTCGGCTGCTGCTGGCCAGCACTTCGGGTCACACGCCTCCTTCCATGCCAACGCCGCCATCTCGTAGTGTGCGCACGGGAGGGTGTAGTCGTCTCGCGTGGTACCTTTGAACAGCGTCCTTGAAGAATAGTCAGTACAGGATTTTGTAAATCGTTATACGGCATTGCATCTCACCTGTCCTGATCCAGGTAAGGCTTCACCTTCCCCCTGGCGTCCTCGTACCGGCCCATATTGCTCAGGATGACAGCCTCAGCGACCGCCTTGATGGCCGCCTCGTCGGGGATAGCCTTCATCTTCTCCACGTGCTCCTTGCTCGCCGTGCACCTGTCCCAGCTCAGGTAAGCCAGGGCCTTGTCAAACATGTCGCCCGAGAAGCGCTTGGACCCAGACCAGAGATACGTCATCTCTTCAGCGGGGGAGACGCCCACTGCGTCAGCGAGATCGATGCCGTATTCCTTGGCGCGGTCCTCCCACTTCTGGACTTTGCGGAGCGCAAAAACCTCGAACGGCATCTGTCGAGCAAGGAACTTCTTCCGTCCTGCTACCGCGGGGCACTTCCGGAAGTACTCCTCAGCCGCCTTCTTGTGCTTCTTAGCCTCTGTAGCCTCGCCTGCCTGCAACGAGTCTCGATACAGCTCGAGCTCCGCCGACGCGATGAAAAAATAGTAAAGGCTGTGGCTCCAGTCGTTGAGTTCAATGCACCTTAGAAAACTGTCGCGCATGGTGACCCAATCCATCATGAACAGGGCGTTAGTAGACAGCTCGAAGTTGCTGAGCGCCGTGACCTGGCGCATCTTTGAGTCGCCGTTCGACTTGAGCATCGCCACTGCCTCCGGGACGCGCTGGGCATTGGCCAGGTTCCTAGCCTCTTCAACTTTCCACATGCCACTTTGGGGGTATTGCGAGCGCATGCTTTGCAAAAGGGCAGAGCACTGCTCCTTGGGATACCCTATGATCTCGCCCTCGTCCGCGAGCTCCTCGACGTCCTTCTCTGAAGGGAGGATGTCCGCGAATGCCAGGATGCCGTTGTAATATCCTAAAAGCATCAGGCCGGCCACTCCACCGTTGACGTTATCGAACTTGGTACTCTGCCACAGCATCTGTACCCCACGTTCGCGGTCACCCTTGAACCCTATGATATATAGCAGCTTTGAAAAGGCTGGCGGGACCATAGAGATAATAAGAAGTAAGATTCCGAAACACATATTCGCACCGCTATGCACGAAGACATCGACTGGGTTTGTAAAAGTTGACGAGTCTGGGCCCGCCTGGTCGAGGAGGGTTTGCCGGACTGGGCGGCGCTGGGGTGAGCCGTTCCGTTCCTGAGAATCCGGCGAACTTTTCCTTGATGCAGGCAAAGACGCCGTGGCTGTCTCCAAATTCAGATCGCTCATGTCCTTCTCGAGTACGGAGCTTGGAGCGGATTTGCTGTTCACTCTTCTCAGGTGGCCAGCATATGCCGCAGGTGCCTGCGACTTCTCAACATCTTCCGGGGCATCCACAAACTCGAGGTCGCTGTCAGACTCAAGGTTCTTCTGATCCTCAACGACTGCGTCCTGTTTCGAATCATCCGTGGCAATGGATGGTCCTCGAGCCACGCCGTTGGCCTTCCGCTCAGCCAAGACCCTCGATTCAGCTTCCATGATAGCATCGAGCGCAACGAAGGCCTTGCGCAGCTTATAGAAGCCTTTGATGCCCTCTGTAAGACTTTCATGCATGACGGATATTATCGCGCCCATGAGCTGTGCCTCTGCGTTTACCAGCTGGTACTCGCTTCCTGGTGGGTAGATCTGGCTGTTCTTCGCAGACCCTTGGCCGTTCGCAGTGCCGGCGCCCCTGAACCAACCACCACCATCGGCTTGCTTCTGCGCCTTCTTCATGTCGGCCCATGCCCGTGCTTCGCACTCGGCTAGTCGGTTGCTCGCTTCCAGCATGATCTCCTTTTCGAAGCCCAAAATCGACCTCATGAAGACTGCGATGCCGAGCCCGAGCTGGTGGAAACTGGATGAATCCTTTCGCGCCTTTAGCTGTGCTTCCGCGCCGTCGATATCGTCGTTGACGATGCGAGCAGCTGCTTCCATGGCATCTTGTAGATCCGACGCCTCGACATCCCGGGGATCTGCGACTTGGGTGGAGCTGGCATTCTTGCTGGACGAGACACTCAATTTCGAGGAATTGGCCGCGACGGAGCCTTTGAACCAAGACCTCATGACGCCAGCTATGTAATAAGCGACTTTGGATGAGTCTGGATCCTTCTCCGGGCCTGCAGCGGCGAAATTGTGGTGGACTGGGACACAAATGCTCGAAGCGTTGCACAGCGAGCCTCGAAAGCACGGTTGCAATTGCGCGAGTGTCAACGAGCTGTTTTAGATCCCCGATGTAACAGCCAGAGGTTCGGAACAGAACTCCGGGAGCGCTAGCCTCAGGATAAACTTTCGTAATCGCTTCAGGGCTGCTCCTGAGCGAGATATGGAATTCGGGTAAATGTGCTCAGCCGCTCTGTATAACAAAGAATCCCGAGATCTAGATTGCGAAGGAATCTCAGAGCAGTCAGGTAAGTCACCGACGCTGTCGAACTCGCGAAAAGGACGAGTCTCGCCTCGTCACAGCTCAAAATGACGTACCCGGTCCCCGTAGACGGCCAGGGTGAGTAGGATTGGACCGCGCCGGCTAGCCGTATGCCCTTGAGGGTCGCGTGCGGGTGCTGTGCGGCTGTTTATCTTGATGACTGGTCACCGCAGTTGAATGGGGGCTTGACTTCAGCCGCTTCGACTGCCTTGTCGTCGTTGTTTCTGGGCTGACTCGCCTGGTGCAAGGGCGAAACAGGAACCCGGCCGGAGAGTGAAGGAGTAGAAACATCGAGTTCGTCAGCATGAGAGAAGAGACGAGCCATTATGTATGCGTAACCCGTCCTCGGTCTCGGACCCTTTATCCATGTCAGTCCTTGACCCTTCCCAGAAAGCGTGTGTTAGCTTCGGTTATTGTCCAGGGCGAGAGGCAGAATTCCCTCCTGGGGCCGCCGGTAACTCCGGCCGCCGTCAGCCTCGTAGGGACGGTTGCTGACACCAGCAGCTTTGTTGTCTGTCAGTGGCTTTGGAAACGGTCCGAAGTCCTGACTCTAACAGCGGTATCTCCCAAGGTTACATTCCACCGTAGGTACCTGCCCACAGTACTTTAGCGTAGCGGAACAGGTACCCAGGTACCGTTCCCAGCCACAGCGCCGCGCCACATTTCGATGGCATCAGCAGCTTGGGAGCCTGCCGACAGTAAGTCAGTCAATGATTGAGCTTCGCTTCTGATCGCAGCTCCCCTCCAACCATCCACCCAACTTCAACATCTCGACACCAGCACTACTCCGCCCTCCACACACCACCTTGCACACACGCCTAATATCCGCTTGGACAAAGCTCGCGGTCATCAGCGACCTCACACATTCAGCATCAACAGCAATGGCATCATCACAACCCAAGAAGGACGACAAGCCGACGCCCTCCAACGAGGCCAAGCCCGAGGAGACCCAGCAGAAGTCGGCCGCCGCGCTCGAGGAGGATGATGAGTTCGAGGACTTCCCCGTCGAGGGTACGCGCCAGCCCATTCACTTTGCGTCATCCACTCCCTGAGATAATCGCATGGCTGACCCCCCAAGCAGACTGGCCCGTAGAGGAGACCGAGGCGGCCAACAGCAGCGAGACCAAGCACCTGTGGGAGGAGTCCTGGGACGACGACGATACGAGCGACGACTTCTCCCAGCAGCTCAAGTATGTCACGCCACTGCAACCAACCGACACATATATTCAATACACCTATACATACACATTCATCCCCTCTCCAGGCATTCGTCGCCTAGCTTTGCTTGCATAGGGTACCTAGCTGACCGCTCTGCTCACGTCACAGGGAGGAGCTCAAGAAAGTCGAGGAGTCAAAGCGCCGGAGATAGGAGACGGGCGCAGCGAGTGAGCCTGGCGCACAGAACCCTCCTGCGGGACAGCACGGCGGCGACGGCACGGGACACAGTGACAGCGAGGCTGGGATGAGCCAGTCCTAGGAGATGCTCAGCCCGGATCACGCAAGCGCCTCGGCGGACGGCGTTGATGGCGCTTCTGATGAGGACTACGTCAAAGTGGGCGGACGGCATGAGGGGGCGCAGGATGGAGAGTCTTAGAATCTGAACGAGCCGCGTTCGCGCAAAACAGTACTGAGGCATATGAGACGTTTCCGACAGTGCTGGCAGTGAGGGCAGAAATGACACGATAGACTACATTCGACGGCGAGTAGACGAACGTGACTGCTATAGGGCTAGTTCTTTCACGCTCTCATATTACAACAGGCTCGGCGTTAGGCATGAACAACGTGGGACGCATTTTACATTCTATAATGGGTTTTACCCTTGGAGTCGTGACACTAAAGACTAGCCTTGTCCATCATCCGGCCTACCATTTTGCCGTTGTGGATCCGAGGAGCCTGAGAGAACCCTCATTTGCTCGACAGGGCGGTCACACCGGGCAGCTCCTTGCCCTCGAGCAGCTCCAAGCTGGCACCACCGCCTGTTGAGACGTGGCTGAGCTTGTCCTCGACGCCGTACTTGGCCGCCACGGTCGCCGTGTCACCACCGCCGATGATGACGATCTTGCCGGACTGGGCACCCTCCACAGCGGCGTCCAGGGTGGCCTTGGTGCCGCTGGCGAACTTCTCGAACTCGAACACACCGGCGGGGCCGTTCCAGAGGATGGTCTTGGCCTCGGCGATGGCAGCCTTGTACAGCTTGACGGACTCAGCACCGCAGTCCAGGCCCATCCAGCCCTCTGGGATGCCCTCCTTGTCCGTGGCCGTGCCAGTGTTGGCATCCTTGTCGAACTTGTCGGCCGTGATGAAGTCCACGGGCAGGACGACCTTGACGTTGTTCTTCTTGGCCTTCTCGACCAGCTGGGGCACGGTCTTGGCGCCGGCCTCGTCGAACAGCGAGTTGCCGATGGACATGTTGTCCAGGGTCTTCTTGAAGGTGAAGGCCATGCCGCCCGCAATCACGAGCGTGTTGACCTTGTCCAGCAGGTTGTCGATCAGCTGGATCTTGTCAGACACCTTGGCGCCACCCAGGATGGCCAGGAAGGGCCTCTGGGGGGACTCGAGGGCCTTTGCGAAGTAGTCCAGCTCCTTCTTCATCAGGAAACCGGCAGCCTTCTGGGGCAGGTCGACACCGACCATGGAGGAGTGTGCACGGTGGGCGGTACCGAAAGCGTCGTCTGAAGCTATTGTTAGTACTCGTACTTGACACATGTGGGTGGAATCTTTAACTGACTGATGTAGACATCTCCCAGCGCTGTGAGGCCCTTGCGGAACTCAGCAACCTTCTCCTTGTCCGCCTTGACCTTGTTGCCGTCCTTGTCCTTGGCAGATCCCTCCTCCTCAAGGTGGAACCGCAGGTTCTCAAGCAGCACAACGCCGCCACCCTCGGTCTTGTTCACGATGGCCTCGACCTCGGGGCCGACGGAGTCGGGGGCGAAGGTCACAGACTTGCCCAGCAGCTTCTCGAGCTCGGGAACGACTGGCTTCAGGCTGTACTTGGGGTTGGGGCTTCCGTTGGGCCGGCCAAGGTGGGACATGAGCACCACGGCCTTGGCGCCGTTGTCGACAGCATACTTGATGGTGGGGATCGCACCGGCGATACGCTGGTTGTTGGTAACCTTCTTGTCGGCGTCGAGAGGGACGTTAAAGTCGACCTAGATTATGAGTAACGATATCAGCATACGATTCCGACCGGAAATATGTGAGTCTAAGAGTGGCCCAGATGGTCCAAGCTAGCCCGGGCATTCTGGAGCTCTGGAGCAAGCTCCCAATGTCTCGGGATAGCTAATGGGGCAGGTGATTGATCGAGAGCCAGGTTCAAGCAAGTCACATCAGAAGGATGATGGTAGGAGGCGCAGAGAACCATGTGCCATGTTTCCAGAGAAAAGCAACAACTTACCCGGATCAGGACCCGCTTGCCCTTCAGGTCGACATCAGTGATGGACAGCTTGCTGGACAGAGACATGTTTGCGTTTGCGTATGGGGGTATCAATTGAACACGGCAGAAATCCTCTGATGTCGAAGGTGAATAGAAGGCGAGTGTCAGTAGAAGAAAGGTCCGTAGGTATTTGTGTATGCTTGACTACAGGTGATCTCTTGGTGAGAGGGGAGGGCGGGAAAGGTTGGGTTTTGAAGGGCTGTTGGGTGGGGTGAGGGGTGCTTTGGAGGGGCAGTATCTGAGCTTCCGGTGACGTGAGCTCTCCTGATCATTCCATGCGCGATATTTCTCGCCGTTGACTTGTCAGACTCAGGAGGTCCGATACCGTTTGACTTGGCAGATTTTTAGCCTTCGCATCTCGTGTTTAGAACATGCAATTCATCTAAGACAGGATCTCCAGAGTGGATAAACAGTCGACACCCAAAGCCAGGTTCTCGGCCTCTGAGCGAGCCCCTGACAACCTGGTCTGGACCAGTCTTGAACATTCCCTCACACCGGGCCTACAACGGGCCCTGGAGATGTTGACTACACCTCTGTCCATGCACGTTTCCTACGTCACGAGGGTAATCTTGGACATTCTGGAATATGTAATACTTTGTCTTTCGAGTACAACAAACAGTCCCGCCAACGCCGTTGAATTGATCCTGGGGACCGAAGCACAAGACTCAACTCGAGTTTGAAACCACAGACAGACCAACGCCGTACACAATGCCGAGAGACCTACCGGCCAGACTCTATTGTACGATACACCGTTGAAAGCAATGACACACAAGGGAAAATTCGTCTTTTATGATATGGAACCGTTCCTATCTTACTCCAAGCGGATGTTGGAAGGGCTGAGAGCGGCTGGGTTTGGCTGGGTTGCCTCCTCAGCAGCGTTGGTGAGGGAGAGGTATGCAGTCCAGGCGATACCAACAGTAGACACAAAAGGCTAGACACGTCTCAGCAACCTGCATCGGTGGGTGAAAAGTTGCTTCTGGGCAGAATGGTACTCACGAGCTGGAACTGAACAGGCATCAAGCGGAAGTTGATGACTTGCACCGCAGGCCAAACGGCGTAGTTGGCCTTGAGGGTTGGCACGTACATGTCGCGGAGCTTCGACATGACAGCACGTCGGCCACCGCCCTCGGCAACAGTCATGACGCTGAAGAAGCAGGCAACACCTATCGCGTTGTTAGTAACGTGCGCACAGACAGGATCAAGCCCATCTTGGGATTTCCAGAAGCACCCTCTACCCGGAGCCGGTGTTGTTGTCGAGGAAACGTACCAAACGGAGCGAAGATGATCTGGTCAAAGGCAACCCTCTTCATAGCAGGCCCAAAAGCGCTAGTCTTGGTGATAGGGAAGGTCCTTGACAGGAAGCTAAACCATTTGAACTGCAGGGGTGCCATGGCGAAACCGTACGCCATGAACCTCGTCAGACGCTCAAGTCGAACGGCGGCGGCAGGCCCTTGGAATCGGGGATCAGCTCCCGCTCGGTAAACGGGTCTTTGACGTCGAGTTCGTAGGCTGTATCTCTTGCAGCCGGAGATGCGGGAGCCTTCCTAAGGGCGCGCTGGCGGACAGCAGTGATTGACTGTGCGACGGTGTCGGCAATGCCTCCCAAGACGGCGTTGGTCACCATCATGGTGAGGACTGGGTATTGTCAGTACGAAGGTCGCCTTCAACCCGGCATCGTGTCAGGGAGACGAAGAGGTTTCGGGTGATGAACGGGGCTCGAGGCGATGATTGGAATGGCTGGCACATACCAGGTCGTTCAGCGTAGAAGGCATTGTACCTGGCGACGAGGCGGGCGACGAGTGTCATCTCGATGAGAAAGATGATGGCATGTAGGAGAGGCTGCAGACGGTTGCGAAATACTGTCAGTTTTGAAAGTCTGGTTTCAAAGGTACTTCGGAGATTTGTAGTGATGAAGAGATGGGAAGCTGAAGCAAGACGGTAGGATAACAGCAGGGTGAGCGCAAGGCGGTTGTGGTCAAGATGACGACAGCGAGTCAGAAAGGACAGTGCACTGGGAAGGAGAGACGAGGCCAGGTAAGACATACGACACGGTCAAAGAGGTATTTGCTGTTGATGGCGCGGGTGAAGCGTCGGCGTGTGAGTTCCCAAGTCATTTTGAAAGGAGGACGAGGTGGCCGGCTAAGACAGGAGAATTAAAAATCGAAAGCGGTCCAAGAAATTGATTATGACGACGGCGTTGTGTTTGCCGGTGGATCTCTCGGGGGCGGGTTGGGCTTTGGCAGCTTGGAACAAGTGCGTTCTGGGAGGACCACAGTAAGCCGCGACAAATGACGTCCCTACTGCCTGGACGGTCTACTGTGTGCTGGGTTTCCGCCTAGCAGAGCCACCGATCCCGTTTCTGTCGCAGTCGCAGGCGCAACAGGCGGTCGCTCGATTTCCCGAGTGTGAGACGGCGTCGACGTGAGCGTTGAGATCGAGAGAGGATCCTGCCTCAAATTCCCTGATGGCGACGATAGGCTGCACAGATTCGATGATGGTTATGGAGATGGTGATGATTTGAGAGAATTCTAGGTGCGGAGTTGATGGTCGTCTGTCGCCTTTGTCGGGCAGGTCACAGGTCGTGTGGCCCGCAGCCAGCGCATTGGATGTGCGACCGTCTCCGTAACCGCCAACGCGGACCCCGTTTCGAATCCGTGCCGTGTGCCTGGCGGCCGCTATCAATCATGCTGCGCTTGTCCACTCTAAAGTGGTAGGCAGCAGGTTTGGGGTCACCCCTGGCTGTTCGTTCATAGGGTTGGGGAACGGGAGCCGCCTCGGCCCCCTCGAGCACGCTGTGATATTAATATACCACAGACGACATGGCAAACGTGGCACTGTCGCTCCTAGACCACTATATTCTCCTTGACGCCCGTCGACGTGGGATCAGATGGCACCTCCTCCTCTCCTCAAGCTTCCCTCCCCCAAGCAGCCAAGATGAACCCCGTGGCTGCGTCGCAGTGCATCCAGAGCGGCCGTTAGCCCAAACCTTGCAACAACCAGCTGTGAAACCGTGCACTCCACTCGCAACCCGGATTCTCGGCACTCACATTATCCCAGATCTTTGGCACCCTCTCTGCTTGGGTGGCGTGCACCATGCCGTGCCTGCAGCCGCCTATTCCTGTCGCACATGACACTGCCGAAAGTGAGCAAGACTCTTCTATCCTCCTGGAGCTTATCCTCCTGGAAGCAACTTGGAATCTTGCAACTTGGGGGGACCACCAGGATTACTAAGGGATGATGGTTTTCAGCGCAGCCCCAGGATTATACCCATAAACACAGGACTGCCGGGGGGGGCTTCATATCGGGGGCTGTGCAAGTTGAAGAGGGGGTTCCATTAGACTAGGACGGCGAAGAGGAAGGGGGGACGAGAAACTTCCCACGCCGAGGTTGACGTTGTGGACTCACCTCGTCCTGCTCGGGATGTGAATACGCAATACGGACTGGTACGGCGACTGGACTATCGTCTGCTATTTCGAACTATTTGGTTGCTTCGGCGTACGCCCAAGGCCGGAGACAATGAGGTCGGCCCGGATACAGTCGACACAGATTCCCGGGCCGCTGTCAGGTCTACGATCCTTCAGGGCCCTCCCTATGGGGCGTGTGCCATGACAGGAAAGGCTTTCTCGACCAACAGCCTCGGTCCCTCGACCCTGCCTGTGGAACTCATTTCCCTTTCCTGTATGCCTTCTGCTGTCACCCATCAACTGTCATGCCATGTGCTTCCGCAACGGTTCAAGCACCCGGGCGCTCGTGGCAATCTCCGCCCAGGGCGGAGAATTAAGCAGCGCCGGTGGATGCCAACTTTTGCACCCCTGGCCCCTGGTTGGCGAGGGACAGCGGGAGATCATCTTCGGTTACATGGGCCCGCTCTGGCACACTATCCGGACCACAACCCAAATGCGGAGGTATAAGACCGCGACACTCCTAAACCATACAGGAGACGATGTCACTAGTAGGGAGATTAACGACGCTTTTGCTCCCCATCCGCGGCTGACGGCCCAGTCTGGACATCCGAATCCTCGCCGTCGCCACTGGGGGTCTCGTATCATAGCTGCTGACCGACGATATAAAGACATCCACCATGGCCTCTCATGTCTTTGAGTTGTCAAGAGCCGTTGTCTCTGCAGCCCGGCCCATCCCTCTTTCCCTCGCCCCCACCATAAGGCTCTCACATTCTTTTAAACCGACAAGATGAAGTCCGCAACCTTCGCCACAGCGGCGGCCATGGCTGTCACGCCCTTCGCTGCTGCTGGGCTCATCTCAGACCGTGCTCCTGCCGCCACTTGTCGTTGTCTCCCCGGCGATGCCTGTTGGCCTGCGACATCCTCATGGGACAGTCTCAATAGCACCGTTGGCGGCAAGCTCATTGCTACCGTTCCCATCGGCTCCGTGTGTCATGACCCAACATACGACGAGGCCGCCTGCACGGCTTTGCGCGACTCCTGGGTCCTTCCGCAGACACAGTGAGTTCTTGGGCTACACCCACACGATTTCAAGAGCCAACATCTAATCCCGGTCCAGCTTTCCTTCGTCGTCCTCGGTGATGCAGGCCTACTTCGCAAACCAGTCTTGCGATCCCTTCACCGACCGGACTACGCCGTGTCGGCTGGGCAACTATGTCAACTACGCCGTCGAGGTCACCTCTGCTCAGGACGTTGCGGAGACCGTCAAGTTTGCGCGCAACAACAATATTCGCTTTCTTGTCCGCAACACTGGTCATGAGTAAGCTGGATCCCCCTCCCCCCTTCTCTGTCTCTTTCACTGCGGTATCCCGTAGCTGACCGGCGTGAAACTAGTCATCTTGGCCGATCCACCGGTGCGGGAGCACTGGCTGCCTGGACCCACAAGCTCAAGGAGATCACCGTGACTGAGTGGTCGGACGACCTGTGGAAAGGACCCGCCATCAAAATGGGCGCCGGCGTGCTCGGATACGAAGTCACGGAAGCTGGGAAGACTGCCGGCCTTGTCGTTGTTGGCGGCGAGTGTCCTACTGTCGGCCCTGCTGGCGGATACATCCAGGGTGGCGGCCACTCCGCCCTGACGACTAACTTCGGCCTGGCTGCTGATCAGACGCTCGAGTTCGAGGTCGTCACCGCCAACGGGTCGATCGTTACTGCCTCTCGTACTCAGAATGCCGACCTCTTCTGGGCTCTTAGTGGTGGCGGCCCTGGGACATTCGGCGTTGTCACATCGGTCACCGTTCGAGCTCACCCCGAGGCACCCATCATTGGAGGCGTTGGCTTGCAGACCGCAGCCTCTTACACTACCCAGGAAAAGTGGTGGCAAATGCTGGACGCCTTCCACGGACTCCTCCCAGGCATGACCGACCAAGGCGCAATGGTAGTCTTCCTGTACGGGAGCTCCGTCTTTGCTATCAACCCTCTTACGGCCTACAACAAGACCGCCCAGCAGGCACAGGCTATCCTCAACCCATTCCTTGACGTTCTTGCCAACCTGTCTATCCCATACTCCCTGTCTGCTACCAACTTCAGCAGCTACCGCGACCACTACAACCAGTGGATGGGCCCTCTCCCTTACGGTCACGTCGAGGTCGAGTCTTACAACTTCGGTTCCCGCCTTGTACCACGCAACATCCTCACAGACACAGCCTCCCGTGCTAAATACATCTCTGCCATCCGTTATGGCGCCGACAACGCTAGCGTTCTGGCAGCGGGAGTGGCCCTCAACGCCAGCGCTCCTGCTGGCGTCTCTAACGCCGTGAACCCGCACTTCCGCAACGCTGCGATCCACGTGCAGTACTCTACGGCTTGGAGCAACGATCCCGCGGACTGGGACAAGATGCTTGCGGACCAGAAGCGCATGACTGATGAGATCATCCCGCCTATCGAGGCGGCCACCCCAGGCAGCGGCAACTACGTCAACGAGGTCGACTTCAACATTCCCGACTGGAAGGAGAAGTTCTTTGGCAGTAACTATGGCCGCCTCCTCCAAATAAAGCGCAGATGGGACCCCGAGGGCGTGTTCTACGCGCTCAAGACGGTCGGCAGCGATGCCTGGAATGTTGCGGCTAATGGCAGGATGTGCCGCGCATAACGATAGCATATAAGGATATATAGCGTTGTCTGACATTTACTGCAAATTTTTAATGCAAGCGTTTTGTGACCACTGCCAAGACTCTGTTGTAGGACCTCTACAAATTATTAATGTAGTCAGCAACAATGAATACCTACCTGGGTTCTACGACGGGAAGTGACTGGCCAACGAGCTATGCCTCAGTGGTGACGGCGGTATTTCTGGACCAGTCCAAGCCAGTGTGCTTCAGGGCGTGTCATGCCTGCCACAGAAGCTCTAGATTATTCCAATGGGTGCATGCTTTATCTCGTCCGACTGGCCATCACCCGCATAGTGGCAAATCCCACAGGATCCTGTCCAGATCTGGCAGGTAGTACAGCTCCTAACTTCAAGTTGGGCCTATCTCCGTCCGCATCCCACTGTGTTCCCTGTTTGCTGCGCCGCTTCTCGACATCCCCCGAAGTCAGCACTGTGGTGTTCGCTCTTCTCTATGTAATCTCACCTCATATTTCGGACGGCTGGGGCGTTCGAGGCTTTTATAACAGAGATTTTTACATCTTCACCGCGTCGATATGAAGTCAAAGACGCTGTCCACGGATACACAGCTCAACCAGACGAGTAAAAAATAAAACTCACCGGAATCTTCAGTTCAATTGGCCAGACTCTGAAGTACAACCGGTCCTGGCAATGACCACTAGACCGGATGGACCGATAATCCCCTGTTAATATGACAGCGTTCTAAAGTCTCCACCATTGACGCGCAATACCTGCCTCTCACTCAAGTCAATTCAGCCGTCAATGCTTCTTCAGCCAGGACCTTGACCATGCCAACTCTGCTCGGGTTGGCCCTTTTGGTCTTTCCTCGGCTGTCAGTGGCTTACCCATCGTTTCAATGGAACGGTCAGGAGACAAGGCCAATTCTAAGTCACCCTCACCCTGCTCACATAGCACCTTTGACTGTCCGGAGGTCTCAAGGCTCGTATTATGTGGAAGCAAAGGTGGGGACCCCTGAGCAAGTAGTCAACCTCCAACTGCGGAACAACTCAGGGACGACTATATTAGCTCCATCACACAATGCATCGTGGGATGCATTATGCAACTCCACACGGAGCGCCTGTGAGTCCGTTGTGCTTCTTTATGCCGGGGCGTCTGCAAGATGCTCACGGGATGCTGACCTCTCGGTGGTCGATTCAAGTCTATCATCGACTTTCCATCAGACAGATGGACGAACTCCATGGCACCCTAACAGCATTACCGGCTCTAACGGTGCTAATTACATGTTTCGCGATAGAGTCGAGCTTGGGGGTCTCGCTGTCGCCAATGTGTCAATGACACTAGCTTCGGGGGACAACACTGATTCGGGCTTTCTAAGCTTGGGGCACGCCGCAGCTGGAGAGCCTTCGAACGCCGGTTTTCTCACTGCTCTTGTGAATCAAGGTCTCATCGCGACTGAGGCATTCAGTCTATGGCTGTCTGGGTGGAGAGGCCACACCGGTCAGTCAGGCTCATTTCTTCTCGAGAATTGTAAAGTTAACAGCAGGCAGACAGTGGAAGTCTTGTCTTCGGAGCCCTCGACAAGAACAAACATTCCGGCAGCCTCAAGATTCTTGATCTGGTCTACTCGGACCTGTCATCCCAAAGGCCTATAATATTACTGTCTCATGTTAGAGCGTCCAGCCAGACTGGTGATAAGACACTGATGAGTTACGATGACAAGCCCTATCCTGTCGCCCTAAACTTAGGTATAGACTTTTCAACGTTTCCCCAGCATATCGCGGAAGCCATATGGAAAGAAGCTGGAGCTGAGTACTTGGGACGACGCGGCTGCCCTGCTGTTCCTTGCGCGTTGACCGGGACCAACACTACGTTCACCTATGGATTTGATAGCGCGAATGGACCTCAGATCAAAATGCATCTTTGGACGATGATCATAGCTCAGAAGACTCACGACCTGCATCTCAACAACACTGATGGCAAGGCTCTCTGTGTATTCTCAGTATTGAACTCAACAAACTCTATGAGCTACACCCTTGGGCAGGATTTCTTGCGCAACGCATGTGTGGTGTTCGACATACATAACGAAAAGATAGCTCTTGCGCAAGGAAAAAGCGACTATGATGCCCTGAACAACTCGGATTTGGTTCCATTCGAGGGGTACGGAGCATCAATCCCAGTAGCACAACTAGTCCCTCAACGGCCAAAGGCTGTCCCGGCAAAACAAAGCACAAATACTCTGATAGCCGCCACTACAAATTTGTACTCAGCTCTATTACAACCGGGTGCAGTAACCGTCACCCGCTCAATCATGGGAAAGGATGACGGTGGAGATCCTGACCCGCGTGGAAAAGACGATGCGTTCAACTTGAGTGGAGATTTAGGAACCTGGTTGAGCATCGTCCTGGTAACGCTGGTTGGGCTAGCCGTCGCATACACGGCGAATTATCAACGGAAAAGTCGGAATCCACATGCAGGAATCAAGCCTTTGTGCGACGGGTCAAGTACCTCTGATCCCAGGGTGCAAGAGTCTGACATCGAACTCGGCTCAGCTCCATCAGCCACTTCAGTGCGCGAATCACGACCTCAAGCGCGCCCGCAGGAGTCTAGTGTCGCTTCCCAGGGCAATGAGATTATGCATACCTCGGCACACATGAGCCCTGCCCTGCCTCTACTAGTAGTGAATCAAAAGGATGAAGAGGAAGAGCCGAAATCACCTGCATTCCCGCCGGAAGCCAAACTCAAAAGTCAAATGCCGGAGGAAAAGATATTGGGTACGTGGTCAGATTTAAGGAAGACATACTTATGATAGGTCCAATTTTTGTCAATGGCGTTCCTCACGGGTCATATTTCAGCTACTAGAGTGACCCCGGACTGGTATTCCTGGGTTCGCCGGAGGTGCCACGTTCCTCTAGCCGCGCAACCGGTTCGAAGAGCAGAGGTATCCGAGTGGAAGAGAAGGTTTGTCGGGGAAACGAACCTGTCCCTGACCACCAAGCCATAGATAGATGCCTTGACCAGGCCGGGGAACCCCAATCTGTGCGCTCTCATTCTGCCGAGTGGTTCACTTGCACCATGCAGGCCAAGGCCCTACTCGACCCGGTCCGTGGCTCGAATAACACTGCAAACTCTTGACCTCTCTATGCAGCACAGCGGTGTGCACGCCCACAGCTGATTTAGACAAATTCCGGAACTCCTGAAGAAGCACATTGGTGAAGGCATCCTCATTTGTTTGCATAGGCACAACAACTCGACACTCGCGTCTCCCACTCAAAATCGAAATGCAGCATGGTTTTCTTGTTTACTTTTGGATGCCGCACAGTCATGCCCAAGCAGAGATCACCTCGCATACTCTCATCCTACGGGCCGATGTTAGACCACAAAGTTGACAGACAGCGTTACACCGCAGGCTCCGTGCATCACAGCCGCATCTCGGCACGCCGAAGAAGTAGCCCCTGATTGGGTCCCGTCAGCCTTGTTTGGACGATCACGACCGGCTCGGCAGTCGGCTCACTACCGTAACCGGTTCTTATATGGCTTCAGGAGCGGGTCTCGGTGTCTCTCGACATCATCCCAAGCCCCTAGAAAAGACTTGACGGCACGTGGTCTTGTGAGCTGTTCACACCGGCGGGAGATGCTTCGGAAGCCATGGATGGGCTTGGCCGTATTTCATGACACACATTATGTGACTTTCGTCGGATGTCCCCGCACTGTTGTCGTCCGCGACGGATGGCGGTGCTCCTATAGGCTTCCTCCCCGTGGATGGGACTCTGTATCCAATTGCGGCTCCTGGATAAGATTCCGCAGACGGTGAGCTGTAAACCAGGTACACACTTGCGAGACCGGTTCGTCCGATCCTCGTAATATTATCGTTCCTGCGGCGCCATCTCTAGCGACAGTAAGACAGGACCTACCCACCAGTCTACACGAACGGATCTTTTGGCTCCATGTGCCTCCCTGAGATGGCTGTTACCCGGGCCTGAGCGACGCTTTTCTATCTTGGTTCACGGCCAATAAGCTGATGGCGAGTCTGAGTAGTTACTGCTAAAATCAGCTATCGACTTGCCTCCAACATCCTTCGGACTTCATATTCTGGGCGCCCTAAGACATACTCCGATCTTACTGTAAGTCTTGGTAGCCGAGGGCCGTGCAGCAGAAGAAGCAGTTTCTACCACTCCTCCCCGAAGACTTCGACGATCAGTCAGAGTTAAACTAATGGATCACCGGGGGGGAAAGTCCGGACTGAAAGAAGAGAATGGAGGATCGTGAGGTTATAACACCAACGACTTGCTTCTGTTTTTCTCAAGTAAAAGCCAAGTATAGCTGCATCGTATGAGTGTGTCTGTCATAGACAATTGCATCACAGTAGTCACTACAAAATTTTCGAGCTTCATGTAATATTGGGAAGATTGCTGCCTCCGATACTTTGCACTCCTAGCCACAACTCGCCATCATGGTTCGTTTCGTTCACGAGACAGTCTCCGCTCAGGAGCTCGACCGCTCCTCTACCTACCCCCAAGTACTGGCGCTCGGGCTCCCACGGTGCGCGACGTCCTCGCTTCAAGCTGCCCTTGAGACCCTGGGCTTTGTTCCGTGTATGCACATGGCGCATGTGCAACCCAGCGCCGAGCGGCAGCGCCTCGTCACAGCCGCCGTCCTGGAAAAGGACACACCCAAGCGGCGCAAGATCCTCCGCCAGCTCTTCGCAGGCTTCGCAGCCACGGCTGACTTCCCGTCCATAATCTTCGCTGACGACCTCATGGATATGTACCCTGACGCGCCTGTCATACTCAACGTGCGCTCCGGCGGCGCTTCGTCGTGGCACACCAGCTTCTCGGAAGGGCTGCGCTTCTTCGACTCTTGGCTCTTCTGGGTCGCGACCTTCCTCGTCAAGTCGGACCGGGCTATGATGAGGATGATGAAGGCTACCGATGACCTGTACATGGAGAGATGGGGGATGACGTTCCGGGATCGGCCAATATATGACAAACACAACGAGTGGGTGAGAAATGAGGCGAGCAAGAGGGGCAGGAAGGTGTTGGAATTCCAGGCGGAAGATGGTTGGGAGCCCATCTGTCAGTTACTGGGAAAGAAGACGCCACCGACAGCATACCCGAGGATCAATGACCAGAAGACCATGAAAATGGTCAAGCGATTCATTATATGCAGAGGCCTATTCCACTGGGCTGGGTTGTTCCTCATCCTCTGGGTGGTGATGCAGGTTGGAGTGATGCTTCCACAATCTGGAGTTTCGTTTGTAAAGGCAGAAAGGGTCTAGACCATGGATGATACGCAAGCATGAGTGGTTGATAGGAATAAATCTGGATTTTGCTCGTTTCCGGTGCTTCAATACCACACAACCATTTGGTGTCTTCTTTCCGCCCCCATGTACCGTTCAGTACTATGTACCGGGCTATGCGATCTTGTACACAAGCTTCTCAGCGCTGACCCTTCCCTCCTGCTGCTCCTTGAATCCGGTGACGATATCGTTCAAGCCACCCATCTCGCGAATCCGATTGGGCTTGATCTTGCCGCTGCTGAGCAGATCGGGCAGCAGGCTAAGGTACTTCTCCCAAACAGCCTTGTCTCCCGGCGTCGGCCCGTCTCCGCAATTGTCGAAGGCTCCATACTTCAGAGGCCGCTCGAAGACTGTGTAGACGATGGTGCTCTCATACCTGACCTTCGGGTGCTCCAGCTTGTGCGGGAGCAGGCCGACGATGTGGCCGCCCTTGGTGGGAGACATCGCCTTCGCAATGGCCTCCTGCGTGCCTTTCTCAGAAATGCAGTCGAACGCGTGCTCCAGCCCGTCGTGGGTCACTTTGCGCACTTGCTCAGGCCAGTCTGCGTCGCTGTAGTCGACCACGGCGTCCGCGCCGAGGGACTTCAGCAGCTCGTGGTTCCTCTTGGAGCCCGTGGCCACCACGAAGAGGCCAGCAAGCTTGCCGAGCTGGATGCCGTACTTGCCCACCGAGGTGGTGCCACCGTTCACAAGAAAGGGGAAGGCGGTCTTGGCGGGCTTCGAGGGCTCGGGCAGCTGCAGACGCTGGGTCATGGCCTGCACGGCCGTTGCGAAGGCCAGCGGGATGACGGCCGCCTGCTGGTCCGTGACGTCGTCCGGGATCGCGAAGACGAGACTCTTCTCGACGACGCAGTACTCGGCAAAGACGCCGCGGATCGGGTTTGGCGGGATGCCGTTGGTGGATGTGCCGTGGACGAAGCCGGCGACGCGCTGGCCCTCCCGCCACGATGATCCGTTGGCGTCAGCGACGGCGCCGGCAAAGTCGCAGCCCACAGTACGGCCTGGAGGGGCACCGCTGGCCGCCTTCCAATCTGTGGGGTTCTGAGCACAGGCGGAGATCTTGACGAGGATCTCCCCCTCTGCCGCCTTCGGGATGTCGATCTCCTGAACGGCGACCTTGTGGTCCTCTTGGGTGACGAGAGCCTGCATTTTCGCCATTTTCGATTGTGTCCTGACTGCGAGTAATACAGAGGTAATTCGAGTTTCCTTCAGATAGACAAGGTTGGGTCAGAACGGTGGCCCTGTTTGCGTGTGAGGTAGGGCTTTCAGAGCTGTTTTGTCTTGTAGGCCAGGGGCTCAGATGATGATATCACCAACAGGTAACTACGTCTGTGGGGACACGGGCGAGAATTTGTCAAGGCCACGGCCCACGGGTAGACGTTGTTACAGCTACTGGTTGCTTTGTCATCGACCTGACCAAGCTGCAGGCATTTCCAATCGCCTGAAAATAACGTCTCACATTTTGAAATTCACAACTACAAATAGATATAGGCTCACTGCCTACCAAGGTAGCTAGGTGCGAGCTGCGGCTCCAAGGGCGCGATTCACACCATGGGTCCATATCTCAGCGCACAAACAGACCTTGTCCACAGACGCTAAAGCGGTCCCACCAGTACTCATCACAAGCCGTGTTAGTTGCACGTACGAGTTAGAGACTCGCTGCTTCGCTCCAAGTCACGAACGGAAGGCGCAAGCTGCGACATGTATCTCTGATGACGTGCTACGTTTCTGGCTAAATTGTTGATTAGCAAGCGAACTGCAGAGACAAGTGGAGCGATGCTAAGTGCGTGCTGAACTAACGTGCGACTTCTTTTGCCCGTGCATCTTCACGATTCGAGGTCAGCAGCTGGAACAGCTGGTCTTTCCTGTCGATGGACTCAGCGGTGGATCATTCTTCCCTCAGCATGCATATATCGTAATCACTAGGCGGATGAAACTTATAGAAATTGCAGGCTTGTCAGCAGTGGCAGGTGCTTCCTCAGGGCTACACTCAACCGAATGTCCAGAATTGTCAGCATCGATCCAAAAGGATCCGGAAGTCTGATATTCGTCCAGGCTCCCACAGGAATTGCGGAAAAATTTCAAATGTATTTCTACATCTATAGTAATGTGTTGACCCGATCGTAAGGTCAAGCTGTACGACCAGACACGGATGCTTCAGCGAGGAACGTCCCCACCACCCTTGCGTTAAACATTTGTTGGAACGCCCGAGGATGAGTATGTCACAAGAACTTTGGACTGATTTATAGGCTGCAATCAGTCCTCATGCAGCTCACAAAGACTGTCACGGGAGCCTTTTGTTCCCAGTGCTGAGTCGCGCTAGCAAATGTGAGATGGCGCTGATGAAACCCACTTCACAACTCATGTATGACGGGCATAGCCAGAAATACGCGGGTAGAAATCAGGGCGTCGTCCGTAGGAAATACACGTTACGATCTCCCCGGGCTCCGAAGGCCATTTACTTCATCAAACTTGTCTTCAAATTCAATTTCGTGTTTTAGAAATTAGTGTGGAAATGTTTCCTTAAGTATCAACTGAGCCACGAGTCCGTAACTGGCTGTCTCACCGGATAGGAGGCAAAAAGCCTGTATAGCTAATTACAAGCCACTTCTTCTATGCAATTCTTTTGGTAGCTTGTCGCCCAGTTGTCTTCAATTCGGCCCAAGGAAGGCATGGTTCATATGATCAGGGCCAGTGGAACGTCAAGCACGTAGTAGAAAATGGGCCATGTGTCACTCTTGTGTAGCGTGCTTGCGTACAGCAAACACATCTGACCAAGCGTGTCACAGAGTGCAGTGACAAGTTAATTATTCTCGAAAGCATATAAACCATCTCATATTGCCTTCGTCGGGCTGCGTCTCCATATTCTGCATCTTTCCTTGACCCCATTGGTCTTTCCGGCGAAACGAACAACCTGCCTGCGAATCCCGATACGGACTCTTGTGTAAAATGTTGATTCTATCCTCATTGACGGTACTCTTCGGCATTGCGGTGGCGAACCTGGGCTCGTACCGGAACTTCACCCAGACCTGCGAGAGCGTCTATTCCCACGGCGAGGAGCACAGAAACATCAGCGCTGTCTGCAGTCGGGATGCGACCGTCTCCCACCTGGATCTGAATGATTGCATTGGAAACGTCCAGGGCCAGCTTGTTGTGAGTGCTTAGTGATTCGTGTTTGACATTTGAGGCGATGCTGACTGCTACCACTGGCAGTGTTCGCATGGTAATTACCTCGATACCTGCTGGGACTGCACTTTCACCCAAAGCGGTGTACATGAGGCTGCGTGGCTGGAGTGCACCTGTGACACAAACACAGGCATATCTGAGAGGATAGCTAAGGACCTCGGTAAGAAGGCCAACGTGGCTCCGAAATCACGTATTAAAATCGATACATATAGACTAATGCATGTACTCCTGGTGCTAGATGACTGTGTGGGTAATATCAAAGGTCAATTGAAATGCTAGCAAGATTGAGCGAACATGTCCGCCATCGGGGGCTTTTGGGGTAGCAAGTTGAAAGGCATGAGATGTCGCCGCGCACTCAGAACGGGCTTGAAGGCTTCCGTCTTGTACTCTAGGCTTGCTCAAGTGCAAGTTGGCACACAGGCTAGATGTGCTTGGAATTTTTGCAATAAAAGACAGTGACTCATTTCTCAATGCCGTGTGCCAAACATTACATGGGTATGACAGAATTTATGAGAGCTCGTTTGGTGGTATCTTTACCCTCTACACGAGAACCCTATCGTATCACTGTTGTCGCAAGAGCCTGGTGCGCACTGGGAGCCCCTCTGTCGGTGGCCCGAGGCCTACAGCACCTTGGAAAATCTTGTCACCGAACAGAGTCGGTCTCATGTCGCTATTCGTACCCCTGAGTATGGAAGATTAGCTCTGGAAAGTCAGTGGGCGGAAAAGATAACTTACTGCAGTCGATCCCAATCTTCCAACGCGGTCACCACCTCTATCTCCCTAATGGTGAGAACGAGAGCCATCTTCAGCTCTACCATCGCGAGCTCCGTGCCTATGCAAGACATTGGTCCCCACTCAAAGGGCCGCCATGCATACTTGGCTTCGTCTCGAATATGCAGAAGGTCACCCGGGGGAGCTGTCCATCGCTCAGGCAGGAACTGTGTCGGCCTCGCAAACATTTCCGGGCTGTACTGCAGGCAGTCCACACCAGTGGCGACTATAAAGCCACCCATCGGGTACTCCACGCCGTCATTGCCTCGAAGACTATATCCTGAGTGTCCTTTTCGGATGCTCGCGGCGACGGGACACAGGCGCAGGCTTTCCTTCACCACCGCCGTGGTGAAGGGTAGGGAGCTCAGGAGGTGTGGTGACTGCCGCAGTATTTCGGAGGCTTTCCTTGGATAAGGCCCAAAGATACGGTTGTGCTCGTCTCTCAGCCGGGTGAGTGCATCGGGGCTTTTGTTAAGGAAGTGATATGCAAATGACATATTGACAGCAGTAGTATCGTGGCCAGCAAAGATAAATTGCTTGGTTAGTCCTACCACGTCCTCGATGAACTGGCCACTGGGCTCAGCCCCTGGGCTTTCCAGCTCAACCTCCTTGAGGGCCAGATCAAGGACAGTCTTCTGCGATGCTGAGTTCTTCACGAGGGAATGCCCTCTTACATGCTTCTGAATATGAGGCAGCATCACGCGTCTCAATGTCCGGTGACACTTCCACAAGTCAAGCTGCCAGAAAGGGTTGAGGCGTTTGTGAAGACTTGCCCAGCTCTTAAACACGAGATGCTGGCTGATTACGCGAAAAGCCTTCTGCATCTCGGTAGGCCCGTTGAGTTGTTCGCCCGGGCTGAAATCTCTAAAGCCATCCATCAGCTCCAGTTCAGGCTCTTTCTTCGATTGAAAACAGCAAACTCACAGAACAATCCTGCAGATGATGTCAAATGTCAGATCAACTGCCATAGGAAATAGTTGAAACACATCGCCTAACTGTCCATCCGCGCCGGCGTTTTTCTTCATTCGTTCTGCAAAGATCAACACTTCATCCACTGTTGGTAGGTCTCTCGTACGTACGATAATCGTATGGGAAGCAATCGTGTATTGGTATTGTTCTATCTAAGTTCTGAGAGGCTACGTGCCCCTAAGGGGATAACTAAAGTAGCCTTTTAAGTGCGAGGGTTGTACTTGCCAACACTTGCAGTTTTCTCTTCTTCTAATAAGTATATATAATCCTTATCATAATTAACGATCCTTATTATAATTAGCCCAAAATTATAATTTATTGCATATTAAGTATATATAACCTTCATTATAAAAAAGCATTGCTAAAAAGGCTTAAAATCATAACTCATAAGTTTCAAAATAAATCCTAGCAATCTTTGCTATTACATTACCCTTTAAACTTATAATTATTATTAATGCATTATACTTTAAACTTATAATCATCATCATTACATTACCCTTTAAACATTATACCCATCATCCTTAATACTTAGCTTTTAAGGTTGCTTTTTTATAAAAATTATTAATTTTTATATAATAACCTTAGTTTTAAATCTTTTCTTTGCAAGAAAAGTTAATGCTTATAAAGTTAATATTAAACTCTTTAGCTTATATCCATTTTTATTATATACCTTTATAATATAAATATTATTATTTCCATCCTTACTTTTATTATTAAAATGCATTTAATATTACTTTAAATTAATTTCCTTTAACTACTTTTTATTTTCCTAAAATTAAGCATTATAAGCAGCTTAATTATTTATTAGCTTTTTTCTTGCTTTTTATTATTCTTTTTAATTTCCTTAATAATTATCTTTTACTTAAGTTATTTAAGCAATAATATATATTTTTTAATAAATCTTTTTATATATAAGCCTTATATATGCTTATTAATAGTTTAATATAAAAAGTTTTAAAGCTAAGTTAGCATAGCAATTCAATCCTTTAATAGCTAAATCTTTCCAATTTAATATATATAGAAAATACTTAAAATTAAAACTCTTATTAGGTTGTTTATTGCGGAAATTATAATAATTTGGCATTTAAGATAGTGATTACCTTAATAATTCTTATTATTAAGAATGCTATATAGTTTTGTATTAAGAATTTTAATGCTTTTAATATAAATGCATAGCTTTTTAATTATATTATTAAAAAATATTTGCTTATTTTAATATTAAAAGTTATTAATAATTTAAATAATAGCTATTATTATAGCATTATTTAAGAAAAGTATTTTGGCTTAGGCTATAGCTATAGCCTTTAGCTTATTAATTTTAATAATTTCTTAAGAGTTTATTTTAATAAGCAGCTTGCTTTTTTTAATGCCTAGCATAAGAGTAAAGTTAAAGGCAATCTTTGCAATCTTTATTAAGATCTTATTAGCTTAGTTTTAGTTATCTTTATTATTAATAATAATTAAATTGCTATTAATATTAAGTAAATAAGAGTTATTATTATTAATATCCTTATTAATATTTATTAAATAAGCATTATTAATAATAACCTTGCTATAAGAATTAATAAAATTAATAAGCTTATTTTTATCCTTATTGCTTAAGGCAATTTTAAGCCTTTTTATAACCTTAATAATAATTACAATCTTTATCTTATTATTTATTAAGATTATAATTATAATATTTATTTTATTAATTAAAGTTATAATTATAATATTTATTTTATTAATTAAGGTTATAATTGCAATGTTTATAGGGGAATCTTGATTTTATTTAATAGTTGCAATAAAGCTACCTTTAGTATTAGCTATATTAATAGCAGCTATAGTAATAATTATATTAAGTATGTCTTTAATGCGGGTAATAAATATAATGTTTATTAAATAATTTTGCTTGCTATTATTATTATTATAAAGCATATTAATAAAAGTATTAAATAATTTTTATAAGTTATTATTAATGTTTTTTATTATAATAAAAAGAAAAAGATTTTATAAGAATTTAATAGCTAAAATATATATTTTTAATATAAAACTTTGCAATAATTATATAATAATTATTAGTTTATTTTATAATTACGAAAGAAGTTAATAAATTATAAATAAATTTAATGAAAGTTAATTTTAATATTATTATTAATAAATAATAGCGAAAGGTAATAATAATAATAAGGTTAACTTTAAAATAATAATTATTAATAATATTAATAATTATAAGGTTATCCTTATATATAATAAGGTATTAAAAAGGTTTGAATTAAAGTATAAAAGGTTAAAGTTTATATTAAGGGTTTAAGTTTAGGAGGTATAAAGTTTTATAATTAGCAGTAGCAAGATTAAAAGGAAAAGGTATTAGCAGTAAGTTGCTCCTTCCTTAGCAAAAAGGGGCTACTTTAAGTTTCTTAATTAACTTATTTACCTATATATAAAGCTTATTATTATTAATAAGCTTTTATAATGCAATATTTAAAGTTGGTTTTATTATTATATTAGCAAGGTTATCTTTTTTATTTATTTACCTTATTTTAATAATTTCTTTCATTTTATATAATTTTTATAATAATATAATATTAATTATAAGGCGCTTTTCCTTTATTATTCCTAGCTTTATAAGGTACTTATATAAGTTATATAAGTTTATATAAATAATTAAAGGTATGTTTAATAATAATAATTATTTTATAATTATCTTAATTATTATAGCTAAGGAGATTTTAATATTTACTTTATTTATCATATTATAAATTTCGCTTATTAGCACGCTTTAAGTAATATGTTTATACTTTATTAATAATTAATAAAAAATATTGCTTATTATTATAAATCCCTTGGTTTCCTTATAAGTTTTATTTATAAAGATAATAATATATTTAAGCTGCAATATTAAGTTTTAGTTATTTATAAATAATCCGTTTATAAATATAAAAAGTTTTGCTATTTTAAAATCCAAAGGTATATACTTAATTCTTTACATAACATTATTTATTTATTATAATAATTATACATTTAGGCTTTTATAATTTCCTGCCTTTAGGTTTTATACTTATACAGCCATTAAAAGATTATATAAAGCTTTTAATTAGCAAATTAAAGCTATATATACTTCGCAGGCTCTTTATTTAAGGTATTTCTAAAGAGTGTCTTTAATTATTATATTAATAAGGGCAAGTTTATCAGCCTATTCTTTTTATTAAGTAGTAATTAAGCCGGTAATATCCATTATTATGTAAGCCTCGTTATAATTTATTAAGTCTTTAAATATTAACTCTTATTTTAGTTTTCCTTGCAATTTTATAACTTTTATCTTAATTTCCTTTTTATTTTAAAATTTTAGCATGGATAAAATTAATATATTATTTATTTATATGCCTATTATTTTAAAGGGTTATATAGGCTTTATAATTAATAAGTAAGAATTATATATAAAGTAATTTATTTTAAGCTTTTATTAATAATATTTTTAATATATATTAAATTAATAAATACTGGATTTTATTATACTATATAGGGATTAAATAATATAAATAATTATGCTTAAAGGGTATTTATTCTTTAATTCCTTTAATAGCTTTATAAAAATTATCTTACATAGTTTTAACTTTGCTTAAAGGTAGGCCTAAGTAATATTTTAAAGTATAAAAACTATGCCTTTTTCTTAAATTAATAAGAGAGTAAGTATAAGGATTATTTATTAGCTTATTTTTTAAATAATTAAGCTTTGCATTAAAATTAATTCCTTTTTATTATTATTATAACTTTAAATAATAAATTAAGATTTTTTATATGGTTTTATGGTTTTACCTTTTACCTTTTATATTATATAGGACTTAAAGAAATAATATTTATTATATTGCTTTGCTAATCATTTCTTAATTTAAAAAATACCTTTAGCAATAAGGTTGTTAATTTTCATTTTATTAAACTTTTTAAATAATAAACCTAGTATTATAATAACTTTATCTTATCTTAGTTTAATCGCTAAGTTATAGTTTTTATTTTCTTTCTTTAAGATATATAATATAATAATATAGTTTTTTATCTTTAGTAATGATGATTATATAATAAGTTGCGTTTAAGGTTTTATAGCTAGATTTTTTGCTTATAAGGGTTGCATTTCCTTATTATTATTTTAATAATATAATTAAATAACTATTAATTTAAACGTTATAGCTTTATTTAGCATGTTTAAGGTTATATTATAGCTATTTATAGCAATAACCTTATATAAACCCTTCCATCCTTTTCTTTCTCTTTATATATAAACTTTGCATTAAAGCGGGTATTTTGTATTAAAGATAAGTCCAACCTTAATGTTTAATGCATCTTACACTTGCTATTTAGCTATGGTTTTTTATAGCATTTTTATAGCCTTTAAAATAGCCTCCGCTTGCTTTTATATTAAAGGTAATAATAATAACTTATATAATACTTATAGGTAGGCACTAAAAACTAAGAACGTAGGGATTAATTTATTTAATTTAATAATATTATTAACAGCTTTTATAATTATTTATAAGATAATATTATTATTTATATTATTATATAATTTAGTATATAAAATTTTATATACTTATTTAAGGGCTTAATGATATTTCTTAATTTTCTTAATGGATTAATGTGCCTTTATAGGAACCTATTTGCATTTAATTCCCATTATTTATGCCTTTAAATAGAATTCTAAGGATGTAAAGTTCATTCCTACGTTGTATTTAATGATATTTAATGGTTCTTAATATATATTAATTTAAAGCATTTACAGTGTTTGCTATATAGTCTTTATAGATATAGATTTTAAGAATTTCGCTTCCTAGAAAACAATAGCCCAATTTATAACATAAAGGACTAAGCATTTACTTAAGTATATTACGTTAACCAAGATTTCATAATTAAACTTATAATTATTGCATAACATAAACTTAAAACGCCTAAGTATAAATCCATTTATTTAATAATAATGGCATATCTTTTTAATCTCTGCCATTACTTATTTATTAACATTTAAATTGCTAACCTTTTCAAGTATCCAGCATAATTAATTTATTAATAAATATTCAAAGCAATAGTAGAGTTTCCTCATTTTTATCTTTAAAAGGAAATATATAGCATTAATAGTTTGGTTTAGGAAAAACCATAGGTAACCCCATTTTTTAAGTATTAATATAATAATTGCATTATTAAAGGAAACCATTTTATCTATAATATTATTATAATATACTTAAAGCCTATCCATATTTATTAAACAAAGCAAGAATAGGGTTTATATTTAAACAATATAAAAGTTAACACAACTAACTAAAATGGAAACCTTTATTATATTAAGCGAATTAATAATTATCTTATTACTAAATTTAACTTTAGCTTTTCCTATAACAATTATATTAATTTAATACTTTAAATCTTTTTATTGCAATATAAGGAATTGCTTATATTTAGCCATAAATACCGATAATGCTTTCATATTTAGCAGAATTCCTTAAAAATAAGTTTAATTATATTTATTTTTTAAGATAAATTGGCTGGCTGCAATAATTATCTTCATTTAAAAAACATTATTTTTAGTAATTTAATGCATAAACGCTTTATTAGCTAGGAAATTAATATTTACATAATAAACCTCCTTATTAAGTTTTACCTTTATAATATAAGTATTGCTATTACAATTATTATCTTAATCTTATTTATTTTTACATTTATAAAATTTATCTTTATTATCCATTTTACATCCTTTAAACTTACTTAAAAAAGTATTAAAGTCGTTATTATAATCTTTATATTTATATTATATTAAGTAGCTTTTTCTTGCTAATTATTGCTTATTAACTAAATATTTAATTAATTAATATCCTTCCTTTTTATAAATATAATATCTTTTCTTTTAAGGTTATTTTCCTTCTTTATAAGCATTATTACTTTAAGCTTCACGATTAATGCTATAAAATCTTAGCTGCCCAAAGCTTAAATGGCTTGGGTTTAATTAATTAAACCTTTAATTTCCTTAAAACGCCTAAAATTGCAATCATTATCCTTTCCTTAGCTTCCAGCCATTATACTTATAATTAATATAATATTAATTTAAAACTTCATTTATAACGTAAATCATAGTTACGCGGCTAAGCTATGTTTTTACTATGGATTTTAGGTTTAAAAATAATTTTTTGCATAGCTAAGCTAACTTAAAAAGAGCCATTTCCAGCTTAAAAACTTCTTTGCAAGCTTTAATTATTATTATTTTTAAGTTTTCCTTCTTAGCATAGTTTTAGCTTAATGCTTATTAATAAAATTGCAGCTTATTAAGCATTAAACATAAAACCTTATATAAGTCTTTATTTAAGTTTTATGCTCTTATCTTTGCAAATATTATTATTATTTAATTTATATAATAATATTAATAATTAAGGTTTATATTAAAATACATCTTAATTTTAAGGTATGTTATTATAAATATATTAATTTAATTTATAAAGTAAAGATAATAAGACTTAGCTTAGTTTTTAAGCATTTAAGGAAACATTACATGGAATTAACTTAACTAAATGTTAATATAATAGTAAATATTAAAAAATATCTTTATTTTATTATTTAATAAGTTATATAAATCCCTAATATACTTATAAAAGTTATTAAAGGTTTTTATAAATTATGCTAACTTTATTAAATTTAAGCATTTATTAAGAATATATTATAAGGAAAGAGTTTTATATAGGTTATACTTTTCATTTAATAAAGGCATTCTTAAGGTAATTTAAGGTTATACTAGGTATAATATATATTTTTAATATAAGCTTTATTTTTATCTCTTTGCTGATAATAATAAGCCCTGCTAGCTATATTAATTTTTAATAAATTGCATTACTAAGTTTAAGTTTTATAATTACGCGTTTAAAGCTAATGGCAGCGATAAAAGTTATCCTAAGGACTATCCTCCTAGCGATTATTATTAATTAAAGCCTGCTTATGGTTTTTATAAGGATCATGCTTATAATTGCTATTTTTAAAGTTATGTATAATATTCATTTATACTTAATTCCGGGGCTAATAAGGCATTATAAAGCTTATTATTAATTCATTTTAATCTTTCCTTAACTTAAGCCATAGTAATTAACTATAATGCCATAGGTTGGTTATTGCATCTTATGTAAATGCCTTGCATTTAAAGGAAGACTTTCAAGCATTATCAGCAAGAATTCAGCAGTACTTTAAACATTACCTATATCCATATTATATAATCCTTGCAATAAGTAATGAAAAGGTTATTATTATAAAGATTTTATTGCATATACCTTATTAAAGTACTTGCTAAATAGGTAATTAAGTGTTTTATTAATGCTCCTTATATAAGGGCTATAAACCATAATTTTAAGTTAATATGCCTATAATAAGCTAAATTAATTAAAGTTTAAGCAAGCATTTTATTAATTATATACCCTTTAATAAGAGCCAATAGCTTCTCAGCATTATTAGCTATGCTTATAAGTTTTTATAATAAATATTATAAGGAGTGAAATTAATAAAATAAAGAAATATTAATAAAATAAATAATGTTTAGGAGTAAGTTAATAATAATAGTTTAATGGTAAGCAAGTTATAGTTATTAAAAGGAAGAAGTTATTAATTCTTTTAAGCCTTAAAAGCTAGGGCTTTCTCCTATTATTAAGTCCTTTTGCATTAGCTAAAAGTATGATTTACGCTTATTTATAATATAGCATTGCATTAATCCTAATAATTATAATAATTGCAAAATTTATTTATTAATAAAACGGAGTTTTTATTAAGTTTTTTATTAAGTCCTAAAGAAGAGTTAAAAATGGGTTTATAATAAGTTTATTTTTAGTAAAGTTTTATATATAATGAATGCATATCTTTTAAATAGCAATAAATATGCATATAAATATTGCAGGAAATGCTACTTAATTTATTTAATCTTTGCAATGTTTGCTTAGGGAGTTTAATAATGCAAGGAGGCCTAAAGAAGCAGTTATTGCTATATAACGCTTATTAATAAGGAGAATGTAATTTTTAGGTTAGGAAAATCCTCGTAGGGTTGCCTCTTTTACCTTATTAATTTATAATGCCTATGATTACTAATTAGTATTAATAAGTCTCTTATATATATAATAATCATATGGGGAAGCAATTATGTATTAGTGTTATTCTGTCTAAGTTTTGAGAGGCTACGTGCCCCTGAGGGGATAACTAAAGTAGCCTTCTAAGTGCGAGGGTCGTACTTGCCAACATCCACGATCTTGCCACCGGCGATGTGGGACTGAAGATTTCGGGCGCTGAATCCCGGGTTGAGTCTAGCGCGCCATTTCTTGTGCTCATCTCCGTCGAACGCGAAAAGGTTTCGAGGGCCAGACATGGTCCTTGCGAGGTATTTGCCTTGTTCATGGCGGATTGGGAAACGGTCTGCCGTAACAGTCTGGCACATTGTCGGGTCATTGATGATGGCGATCGGCTCGCTGCTGAACGGCCAGAAATCCAGGTAGATCACGGACGGGCAAGTGGTTGACTTGGGGAAGTAGTCACGCCAGTTCATGACAATGTGTCGAGTCGCATATGTGCTCGTAGAATCCTTGGGGTAGAGGTCGCGGATGCGTTTGAGAAGCATGAGGTGGCCAAAGACGAGCGAGTGCTCTGGAGTGATCGCCTGCCATGGGTTAGTCTTACCGTCCGGTGATGCTGTTATGATGAGTGCTTGCGCTTACAATGCCTTCATCTTGGAGGTTTCGAAATCTCATCCGCACGCGCCAACCGCTGTACAAGAAGAGACCAAACCGGACAAGCAGCAGGAGTGCGAGAATGTTCAAGAGCCGCCTGGGCATGTCGGACCACTCCAGGGCAGGAAGCTCGTTAGAGGGCGCCATAATGGGGGGGTCAAGAGCGGACGAGGCGATCGAGCAGTGTTGACTGCGTCTTGACCAGACTATCGTGAAACTTAGTCCTCGGACGAACGTGTTTTCATTTTTCCCACCAAGTTCTTCTCTTCAAACTTTCCCCGCTCCATATATGTGAGTTCTCGAATCTGCGTGGCCCGGGCGTCGTATTGAAGCAACCAACATGAAGAAAGTGGGCTCGTGCTCCACCTATCTAATGCAAGTACGACTGGGCCACTCCATGTAGACCATCGTTTACGTCTTCGGATAACAGGTACTGATCTACTACAAATACACTCAAAGTGACGTGATGACGGGGCAATGCTGCACAGAACTTCCCGTCTCTCCAGCATGTGACATGACAAGACGTTGCAACCGGCTGCGGGTAATTGACCAACACGTTTGAGTAAATAAATACTGTACTTGCAATTCAGCAACAATACAGGCCTGTGGTCAAATTACATCACGTTAGCATGCAATGTATGGCCCTTTGCTTACTTCGGTCTTTGGGAAAGCCTAAGCCAGCGAGTTTGGGAAGAAACCTTACAAGGCAAGGAACACAGAATTATACGAAGAGAAAAAACGACCAAAGATTGAGTGGGCTGAAGCTATCATGGGTAATTATGGTGTTACCTGCCGGTGACGAGACGTCTTTCACATCGATTTCCAGCTGCCAAAATCAACGACTACATAGACGCTTGTTTAAGATGTCTTCCAGAATGATTGTTTGGTGTTGCTCATTCCATAATATGGCTCGCTCACTGAGAATGAACCTGCATTTCTTTGACGAATTTGTTTCAGGTCAGGAGCACAGGGAGCTCCGAAGAGACAAGGGAAACGGAAATGAGTACCTCGCGTCCTGCGACAGGGACCGTGTTGAGTCCATTGGGTAATACAACATAGGCAATGAGCTGCTCAAAAGGCAGGCGCGTCCTAGATGTTGAGCTACATGGCAATCGACATCCGTCTGGTAGGAACTGACTTCTCTTACCTCCCATCACAACAAAACACAACATTGAATATCGCATAACTTCGCTCATTTCAAGGTTCATCGTCTCACTTGACACCAGCCTTGGACCGAAACCAACCCAAATACGACATACCAGTAACAAGCATTCATGATGAATTCATTCAGACGACTTACCAGCTCAGCCTTTGTGAGGACGATCAGTCATACACGGCAACCAATACGCTCCTTCGTCGTCTCAAAGATCGTCCCTGTCGCGATGGGTGCCGCAATGTTTGGAATGGGGTGCATGGGTAAGTCTTTTCACGAATTTGTTTTCGCATTTCAACAAAAAGATGTCTCTTAACGCAACTCTCGGTTTGACCTTTGCCGTGCGTCGTTTCTGTGTCTTGGCTCAGGGGTCGGCCTGTCGCACAGGCCGTGGCGTGGGGGGAGAATCACTCGGGTCCTGTCCGAGACAAGCTTTCCGGCAATACCTACCACGTGCTGACAGTCCACTGACCTCTATTATCGTAGTGGGACCGCCCGCCTTCGACCACAGAACGCTCCCTGATGACAATCCTATCCTGCTTCCTCTCGACCCCACCAAAGGTGCTCACACAGAGGACAATCAAACGGAAGCAGCTACAAGCATCGACTACAATACCAATCCAAAGCCTGCCGCATACGGGGCTCAGCTCGTACAACGTATTGACCAAGAGAAGATTGGAGTCAGTCGCCTCATAGCCGAGGAGTGGAAGAAGCCATCCAATGAGGGCCAACTTGAGATTCAACGCAGGCTCGTGCGACTCAAAAGCCTTTACGACGCAGTCTGGGCGCTTCACATGATTGATATCAGCCATGACCCCAAGGTTTGGAAGCTGCTCGATCGGTATGCAATTGAATTGAATCAACCTGGAACGGATACCACGAGGACTTTGAAGAAGGCCCAAGAGGCGACCACTGTTGGAGACACCAGTAGCTTGGAAGCGCATATCAAGGAGGTTATTGAGCAAAATGCCCGGCTCGGTCATCCCACGCGACCAGTGTCAGAACTGGAGAGGTTCATGGTGCGAGACCCTGCTGGCAGTGCCGTCCTCTCCAGGCTGAGAATGCTGCAGAGAGTTGCCACCGAGGATACGGAGGAGAGTAGATTTCTGTTACAAGATATCATGTACGGGCTATGGTGGGTTCTTGAGAGAAAGGCCAGAGAGCTTGACAGGGTGGTCAGGAAGTAAAGCAAGCCCGATGACAGCGAACGGGGCCCAAAACAGCGACACATTCAGTAACAATGAGCTTTTCAGTCTTTATAAAACTTGGAGACTTTCTTGGACGAATACTGTGTGCCAGACCTATATTTCATTCAGTGCGAACTGCCTTAACAACTGGGTAGTCCTGATTGAGCAGGCGTTGTTTGGTCTGCTGATGGTGAAGAACAAGTCAATCGGTTCGTTCAGATCGACCACAATCGACCACACCTTTCCGTTCCTTGAGTGGTCTGGAAAACATAGGGGTAGTCAGAGGTTGTACAGAAGCGATTCTAGACATGCAGCTCGTCGCACTCAGGAAACAGTCAGTGGCTGGGCAGGACCCCAATCATACGTTCGGTTCGGTTCGGTTCGTTTCCGTTGTAACAATCAGCGCGGAGGATGCCGTCAAGAAAGCCATTGAAAGAAGGCAGATCTGTCTCCAAATCAAATCAAAACATCTTCTTTGGTCTGACGTAAATGTGGAATGCGACTTCCCTCTGGCGATCTGGGGCATTCGAACATCACTACGTCATCAGCCATCTCACCACATCGGTGGCGTTGTTCGGCTTTCTAACTTGAGCCACCACCTCTGTGCGTCCAACCCGATTCCTCACATTATCAGCAGAAAGTACCAAAAGAAAGATTCCGAAGCATCTCGGAGTTTACTCTTTTTTGAAATCATTCAAATCCTCAGTCTCTGGCCCCAGCCAAACTTTTTGACAAGACCGCCATCAACAAACAGCAAACATGGCAGAGACTCACCACTTTGATATCTCGAAACTGTTCTCAGTTCAAGGATGGGTGTGCGTTGTGACGGGAGGGGGCACGGGCATTGGCCTCATGGCAACACAAGCTCTCGCGGCGAATGGCGCAAAGGTGTACATCACAGGCAGGCGGACCGAGGCGATCGAGAACGCTGCCAAGGAGCACAACCCAAGCTTCTCGACCGGAGGCAAGATCATCCCGGTGGGACCATGCGACGTGCGCAAGAAGGAAGACCTTGAGAGGATCGTTGAGGAGCTGCAGACCACCCACGGCGAGAAGTACATCAACTTGCTGGTCTGTAATGCCGGCGTGGCGGGACCCAAGGCCGAGCCCGAGGAGGCGGACGCCTCCGACCTCAAGAAGAAGCTTTGGGACAACGAGAGCGTCGAGGCGTGGCAGAGCACCTTCGAGACCGATGTGACGAGCGTCTACTTCACGACTGTGGCGTTCCTGCCCCTCCTACAGGCGAGCCTCCAGCCGAAGGGGCCCCTGGAGCGGTTCCAGCCCAGTGTGATCACCATCTCGAGCATGTCTGGTCTGATGAGGCACGCACAGGGGCACTTCTCGTACAATGCCGCCAAGGGGAGCCACGGTTCATTTATCGAAACTAATGTCTGCTGAGTTCCAGCAGACTGGAATCAGGGTCAACTCGATTGCCCCAGGTTAGTAGACTCGAGAAACATCGGTCACGGACTTGTATTGACATTGATTACAACAGGTTACTTCCCCTCAGAGATGACGGCCAAGAGCTCAGACAACAGGCAAAAGAGCGAGCTACCTGCGGAGAAGGTCCAGGAGAAGGGACACGTTCCAGCAGAGAGGGGCGGAAGGGACGAGGAGATGGGAATGACGCTGCTTTCTCGCAAGGAACGGCTATGTCAACGGGGAAATCATCGCAGTGGACGGCGGGGTCCTGAATGTTGTGTCTGGCCGCTAATGGGAGAAAGATATTCACTTGAAGAGGATTCTTCTCTTCAGTCATTGAGACCACATGGGTAGACTAGCACAGGCGTCGGAGACATACAAGGATACCGGTAGCTCTTGAAAGGTTTTGGGGTTCAGGGATGAGTGTTTTTATCGAAGCTTCTTTCCTATTCTACCGCCGCATTCTTCTCACAGCCAGACTCGCTTCAACCAGTGTTCCTTCTCCTGTTGCAGTTGTGTGGCACTTCACTGACAGGTGGCGCTTTGAGGGGGGCGAATCCCACCTGCAAGTCCCGGCCATTCCAAGCAGTGTAGTACTGCTTCAGGAGCGGCGATCCGATAACCCAGACACCCCTTCCGTCGTCGTTTACCTGCCCATATCTCCAGTTGGTGATTGCAGCCTGGCAAAGGCCATCTCTCCCAGGATACGGACCAAGGTTGAGGGACTTGGACGGGATAGTGACGTTGGCCTGGCTTGCTCCATCATAGCCGAAGAGGAAGGTGACATCAGAAGTGATGGCCTCCATGTCGGAACATGGAGCTCCCCAGGCGCCGACAGGATCTATCTGGTAGATCTTGGGCGAGATGGTGGCATAGATGTCTCTCGCGACCTCGTATGTGGGAGCCTGCACATGCGCAGTGCCTGTGTCCAGGATACTGAGTGCTTGTGGGTACCCGGTCTTGGTGGTGCTCGTGTCGGTAGTGGTCTGGAGCTGCTCGCCGTTGATGTAGACGGTCTGTATGTCCATCACCCAATTTTGCTTGAAGAGCGACAGTTCATGATCCAGGTCGACATATGTCAGGGTCCCGTCGTACTTGCTGTCATCGAGACCTCCAAGGGTCAGCTGGCCACCGGTGAGCTGTCCGGATGGAGTGTATATTCCGAAGAGGGGGTTGGCAAGTAGTCCGGCCTCGTACAGCGCCCACTCGAGCCCCTTCTCTTCACTGGCCTCGACGGGAAAGCCCAGGACCCCGTCGATCTCGCCCTGGGAACTGAAAGCAGCGTCTTGCTGGTCGCACAGGAGGAACTGGTATTTGCTTGCCGTCAAGTCCTGGATGCCGACAGCGTCGCTCACATTAGTACAGCTGGCAAACACGGGGGCCGAGACAGGAATGGTGTTTCCGTCCGTTCCGAACGAGACTTCATTAAATGGCGTTGATGTCCAGGAGAACGTCGAGGACTTGGAAAAATCGAACAGCGTCTGCTGGCCGCAGGTGGTGCAGTTGCTCGCGGGGAGGAGGAGCGTCCTAGCGCCGGTATCAATCAACACATTGCTGGTCATTGCACGTCAGCCAACTCCCCAAGTGCCTGAGTGAGTTTCATCAACCGGAAGTGGTCTGCCCTGGGAGACTTACAATTCCTGAGGAGGCGTGCCCACCGAGACTTTCGCAAACCACTGCAGGTCGGTCTTCCCATCGCTTCTGGTGTGGTCCGTCAAGGGAACGTTGACGACACCGCCTCCTTGTTCCTTGCGGAATAACTGGCTGCTGCTGGGTCTCACCGCTACTCTGGCCAAAGCCGGTGCCGCAATGAGCACAGCCGCGGACAGGAGCATAGTGATCTTCATTTTGAATCCGTGATGTCTTGTAATAGAATCGGGGGTGGGGCTGAGTCGACTGGCGAGGCAATGCTCTTAAGACGGTGATGTGAAGCACCAGTAAGGATTTAGGAGGCAGAAGAAGACTTGCCGAGATGTCTGTCTTTAAATATCCTCATAATTCTCTTATCGGATTCAGGTAATGAAGTGGTACGGTGGGAGAAGAACGTGTGGCAAGCGGCATCTTATACGAGCCATAGGCGACGGGCGTCTCGCTTCCGCTTCTCACGGCCGTACTGCGACACGTTCCGCGTTCCAGGCACCCTTCTAGAACAATATTTGCTGTTACACGGATAATACAACCCCTTAGATATTGTACAGAAGCACACAAAGACATTACATTGCTCAGCACCCAGCCACGAGCTGTCGGCCCAATCAAAATAAGCCAAGACACGGCACAATCCTAAGGTACAATATCATCAAGGTGTCCAGGGTGTCTGGGTGTATGACAAGTCCCACCTTACTCGTTATATGTGCCCTCTCTTGAATGATTGATCATCAGAGCACACACTCGTCGGGCGTTTTCTCAATTTCTATTAGGCAGTTGCAACCTGCAGTGGGTAATCCTCGCCGAACACTCCACTTGCCGCACAGAATCCACGAGTCCCTGAGTTTCGAGGTGTCAGATTTTCCAGTCGCGTGTAGTTAATCTTGGATGTCTCTTTTCAAGTTCTCTCTTCTACCATAAAGCGGATATGTGCAGAAGCAAACGCGGCGTAGGGTGATTGCTCTGGACAGTTGTACTTCACTGCTGTGAAGCCTGAGGATGTAATTTGCCTTTGCAACAGTAGTCGAACTGTCTTCTTGCCGCAATCCCATCCTCTTTCTGTTGCCAGCATGAGCAGGCATCAGTGACAACGCAGGTCTCTGCTGATAACTCTCGAACACATTATCACAAGTAATGTCCTCTATCGACTGATTTCCAACACGAATCCCGCCAACCCAACGAGTATGATGTCGACATGCCCCGGTTCGATTCTGCGTCCTCAAATCTCAAAATGTGCCACAAGGTTGCCACCCGTTCAGGCCACAAGGATCTTTGGCAAACCCTGTCCACTTTTTACCAAATTGATGTTCCAGCAGGGAGTTGAACAACAGAACCCATTGGATCAATCATGGCGTCTGCCCCTGGTTTTGACATTGTCTAGGGACGTGGAGTCACCTAATGGCTCGAATATGTCGATGAAACCGTCCTGCGGTTGATCCCTTGTGTTCTCGTCGCTAGCAGGCTTGCGATGCTGCCAGGGTAGGAGACAATTGCCCGCACCGTCGTCGTCGGTCTGCATGCTCAGGAAGTAATTGCACTTCGAGTCGTGGCGAGTGTCCCAGTCCTGCCTCTCGGTGACGTTCGTAACCGACTCTGAATCTTCCATCAGCTGCGCGCTTATGTTTTTGGAACCCAGCGTTTGCCCGTTGTAGAGGAGGTTGCTGCGAAGAACCCTGACCAGTGCCGCAAGTTTGAGAACCGAATCCGCATTGTGACAGACATCATGACTGCGGGCGGTGAAACAGGCTCGGCGATGTTTGTGTCGATCCACTGAATACTTCGGTTCACGAGAACCAGAGAAGTGAATTGTGTGTCGACTGAGCATGGGCAATTGAGTCAATTCAGTAATGCGTGGATCTTGGCTTGGAACATCTCCGTCGGAAATCATCAAGGACTCAGCAGTGCCAGTGGCGTCGCTGTCACGAAGGTCGGCCAAACGCCCACGGAAGTGAAGGCCCAGGTGCTGCAGCTTCATGTGCGACTTGATGATGCCCATGAGGTTTTCCCAAACTTGATGGTCTAGAACCTGGAACCCATCGCACTCGTCCCAGCCGTAGAGGTGCAATTCGAATTGCCTGATTCGGGGCAGCATAGCCTTGGGCCTGTCCCTCAGGAACGACCACGCTGCGTTTGCGGATGTCATGCTGCAGTCAGATGCACCGAAATTGAAAGACGAAATTGCTCTCCGAATAGTACATTTCCATGGCCTCCGTTGAAATTTGACGGCAAGTGAGGAAGATGCTCAGATCTGGGTGCTTGTTTTCAAGGTCCCGTACATTCAGAGCCGGGTGCCCGAGAGCAAGCTTGTCGTAGTCCACCTCATACTGGGAGTCGCCATGTCCCTCATTGTCATCCTTATTCCAGAAGTCTTCAAATTTACGGGGACGAAAGTAAGTGCCAGATTGGTACAATTCTCCGCGATACGAATCTTTGTTCTCCCAAGACATGCAAGTACGGAGTGGGCGCTTCGGACAGAGCGCTCTCTGTGAAGGTCTCCTAAGCGGCCAAAGGGGACGAAGATTTCCGGCCGAACGACTGCGTAGCGCCAGACCTCGTCACGCAATTCGCGTGGTAGTTGCAAAATGGGGAAAGGCCTGCCGCTACTGGTACCCATGTTGGCGTAGCGTTGTTGCTGTTCGAAAGCATGGTGGGGATAGGTGCTTTTTGATGAATATCGGATCGTCTGTGCCTTTGAAAATTGAAAAGCAACTCAGGTTTCGGGCCCCATGAAGCTAAGAGATCTGAGATGACAGTAAATGTCAAGATGGATCTACTGGCCAATACTTGCGATTGGTTCTGACAGCCAGTTTCAATGTCGAGAGACAATGTTGGATGGCAGATAGAGGCTGATGATAGACTAACGACTTTTATTTGGATGGTGGATGGGCTCTTGGAGGAAAGTTGAAGTGTTAGCTGTGCAAGCCAATTCGAGCTGTGATTCAAAGAAGCTTACCTGAACCTATGGGAAAGTGCTTCTGGCAGCTTGAGTGAATGGCCGAGAGCAGGTGGGTTCGGCAAACAGACAGGCGGGGGGGGGGAGAGGGTACATTGATGAGGGAGGGAAGGGTTCGGGTATGGGGCGACCTGCCAATTTTTGAACGGCTGCGGTCATGACGAGGACTTACCTTGCTCTCCCTCCTCACTTCTAAGGTTGCCTTGTCGCCAAGGTTTCCAAGAGAGAAGAGATACAATTCCAAGCCCAGACGGAGTGCTCACCAAGATGGAGGGGCTACCCATTGAGCCACACGGCATCTTCTGGGAGCAGGACTTCATTACCTCGGAGCACGAGCAGAATCTTATCAACTTCTTCCGTCACCAGCTCGAGTGGCCTGACCGCACCGGCCGCATCTCCATCCATTATGGCTATACCTTTGACTACAAAACGTTCGGTGTTGACCCGAACATCCCCTTCAAGGAGTTTCCAGATTGGCTTCAGCCACTCATCCCCACACACGAGGGCCGACCACCAGAGCAAGTCTGCCTGCAGCATTACCCTCCGGGAGCCGGCATCCCACCCCACGTCGACACACACTCGACCTATGACCAGCTGTATGCACTTTCCATAGGTGCACCGGTCTTCATGCAGTTTAGGAATGGGGATCGTCGTGTCGATGTCGACTTGACTCCTCGCAGCCTGATGAAAATGTCAGGAGACTCCCGCCTACACTGGACCCATTCCATAAAGAAGCGCAAGACTGATCTTCTCGACGACGGGACTGTGCGAGTACGCGGGGACCGTTGGAGTGTTACCTACCGCTGGTTGAGGCCTGGCGCCGAGTGTCAGTGCGGCAACCTGGCGCTCTGCGACTCTGCCCAGAAGCGGATAGGTGTCGAGCGTGAATACCGCTGGAAGCAGTACGAGGCGAACCAAGACACTACCACCCCTGATGCAACAACAAACCCGAAGCAGGGACTTCCGCCTGCGCTATGAGCCTGGGCAAACGGCCCAATAGTCTCCGCTCACACGCACTCAGAGACAGACGCCTTGCCGGTGGGGTTATCCGCCGCAATCAGAGGTATAGTGCCTAAGCTCGCCGCTTGCTCGCGGGACATGCGACTCGTCAGAAGTCTGAAGCGAGTAAAGCTCGAGCAAAACTCACACATACTTGAGGCCAACCTTCGTCGTGATGGTGTCCTCCAATTGTCGTGGAAGCCCCTGGCCGAGACCTCTAAGTAGGTCACTGCACCTTATCAAAACGTCCCTTGACACAGTTAATGACACCACTCGACGAACTATCAGCAAGGCACGATAGTCCAGGATGTCTGGGCTGGCATACCCACAAAAGATCTGCCGATCTACGAACGGTAGCAAACAGAGTCGCTTGGATCTACCCGATCAAGCTTTGGGAGGCTGAAGGTCGCTAGTCACGTGGTTTGGGACCTGCTTGCTACCATGCCTACGTCAGAAGACGTGCTACTGCCGGCTCCGTTCGGTACTTGGGAGGCTCGTTCCTCGAGCAATTGCCCACGTCAGGCCTAGCCGCTTTCCCGCGGGTCGGGTCGGTCAATTGCGCAGAGGAAGCTTGCTTCCCGGTCGGCGCTGGGGCTGCCAATTTCCTGGGCTACGAAGCTCCTCAGTATAGCCAGGCAGAGGATGAAACGTATGTCCTACAGCGGCTTAGTCGAGGCTCATAAGGCAGTGCCAAGTGAGCTTGTCCTCATAGGTGGGGCCGGCATACAAAGTTCAAAACACTTTCAGCCCCAGATAGCCCTTGAGCACAGACACAACTATTAGACGACTTCACCCCTTATGCCGTCGAATGCGAACTTCAGACCACGAGCCAGCTTTCGCATGACACACACTGGTGTTCTTGTCATATAGAGTTTCGGATGACTCGCTCCCTTCATAACGACCCACGAACTCACCGGGAGCGGCACTGGCAACTGACGAACCGCTGCGCTAGGGGGGCCTAAGCGCGGCCACGTTGGGCTGTCTATCCTTGAGACGATCGGGCAAGGGGGCGCGCGGAGGATCATAAGCTTCTTGTTTGGTTTCGTCAGTCGAACCTATCGCGAAGCAGGCCGGTGTGGACTCTGCTACCTGCCATCCGTCCTGACTGTTCGCCTGTCCGCGCTGTCGCCCGGAATGATCTCGGCCGCAACCCAAATGGGCAGACGAGATCAGACGCGCAGGCGCAAGCGCGGATCTCATCGGAATTCGGGGTGCAACCAGTACATATGCTCCCCGTCGTCCGTCTTCTCTCTCTCAATAAGTTTCCGGGACCGTCTGTAGTTACATCTTCTTGCTGTCGCTCCCGCGCCATTTATTCACGAGCAAGGCTCGTCTGGACAAAGCTCCTTAAATATCGTTCGTGTCACTCACTCGATTAATACCAGGCCGGTCCTGTGCTGTACAAACCTGTTTAAGTGGCCAGCCCATTCCTTATACTCAAGATGCACGCCTCAACGTCAACTATTCTTAATGTCTTCCTATATTCGGGACTGGGCGCTGCCCAGATTATCCCTCACCAGCCCAGGGGGTGAAGTGATGGAGCCGCCAGTGGCGAGGAATGCCCCGGCGCCTGCTACACCGGTGATGGCCGACCCAGCCGCCGCGGCTGCAGCGGAGGCGTCAGGTGCACCGGCAGCAGGAGGCGGTGCCGCCCCGAACGCCGCCGGCGGCACGATGAACGCCCTCTGTGCGCAGGGCACGATCCTCGCGCAGGGCATCGCGCTCAACATCGCCGACCAGCAGCAGGAGCTCACCACTGCCAACTCGCTCGCGACGATCCTGGCGGCCAACCCGGTGGACACGGCGGCGTACGGGGCCGCGAGGACGGACCTGCTCAAGTTCATCAACAACGGCATCGCCATCCGCGAGATGAACCCAGCTCATCACCCCGCAGGAGAACCAGGCCACCCCCGGCATCGCCACCGTCGCCAACGCACAGCTCACGGAGTTGGGACTGGCGAACAACCTCACGGCCCAGGGCGGCGACAACGTTGCCGGCAACATGCAGATCGTGCAGACGCTGCAGATGGACTTCATGGGCGGCATCATGCAGAACATGAAGAATATGGCCGCTGTTAGTGGGACCTGACCCGAGCGCGCACCGTGACCCCTCAAGAGCAGGAGTACTGACGCACCTTCTTTTCTAGGCCATGGCTGCATGTGGTGGCATGGCTGCCCCGGCGGCCGCAGCACCCCAGGCGCAACCTGCCCCGGCCGCCGGGGGAGCGGGAGGAGGAGAGACGGCAGCCCCGAAGCAGAACGCGACCTCCACCTCGTCGTCATCATCATCTGGCACGAAAGGTTCTGCTGGGGCGAAGGGCTCCGGGGGTGCCAAAGCCGGCAAGTTCGTCACCACCAAGGTTGGCCTTCAGAATGAACGCCCTAACCTCGTCTCGAGGTCTGCCAAGTTCGTCGCGTAGTGGAAACAAAACAGCCTGGTACTGTCGGGGATAGCGTACTGGGTGGTGTTTGGGCTCTTCACGGGCGCGACCTTGTTGTAAATACGGTCATTATTCACTCACTCACTCACACACACACACACACACACACACACACACACAAATGTTATCCTTCTTTGGTCTCGGTAGCGCGGGCTCAAATCACAATCTGCTCGGACCTCGTGACCGGCCGCCCTGTGGGATCTTTTTTTTTTTCTTCAGATTGCACATGTCTTGGATAGTACTTATACATTAATGTTTGTCATTTTAAACCGAACCAGCCTTCCATTCGAAAACGTCGCTGTCATCTCGTCGTTTCATATCTCATTCACATCACATCTTGGTGCAGCAATCCGGTAGTGACATTTTCACACCCGCCGCGGGCTCTCGAGATTAAGCACCGAAGACTTGTCTCACCCCCTCCGCCTCGTCTGGCGTGATAGCCAGATCCAGCAGCTCGTTCGCCCGGTCGAGCGTGCCCTGGTCGATCCCGGCCTCCAGCACCAGATCCTCTTCGGCATAATTGAGCCGCGACAGTGTAAGCAGGTACTTCTGCGGCGCGCCGTGAGACGTCGAGAGCTTGGCACGCATATCTGTATATGCCGACGTCGCCGGGTCGGTGACGAGCGTGTGGAGGAGTAGTATCACCGACGACGCAATGGTGTACAAGAGAGGGGTTGGGCTCGGATCGAGGCGCGCTTGTGATGGCAAAGTTGGCGTTGACGGCGGTAGCAACTCAGCGTCGTCTTCGTCTAGGTTAATCGGTCGGTTGGCGGTGCCGTCATCCACCCCTTCCATGGCCTCGGAGTCAGCTGGTGGCTTTTCTTCTTGCATCTTCTGATCCGCTTTTTCGCCTTCGTCGTCGTCAAAGGCGGGGTGAAGCAATTCCACTGGAACGTCCATGTCATACAGCGCATCTATCGCTCCACATAGGACGTTGACTAGCCTTGGTATGGCTACATCACTGAGCGCCAGCTGCCTGGCCCCTACAGTAGACTGTGCAAAAGCCATGAGGGTCCTCAGAGCTGCCAGCCTGACAACGCACTGCCGATGCCCAAAGGAGCCTGACGACTCGCCCGGAGCGGCCCAGCTCCGAGGCTCGTGCATAATTTTGGAAACACGTTCTATGAGTGCCTGGGCCACGAAGGCTGGATCACGGTCCGGCTCGCTGGTGATCGGCCCTATAGACTCGGCCAGACAAGAAGTGCAAAGCAGGCTGAGCATACCGAGAAAATCGTCGCGAGGTTGTTTGGGGGAGAGCATCACCAGCACAAAGTCAATTTGCATGAGCTTCCAGTAGAGCCTCTGTGGCGAGTCCCGCGCTGGACCAAGATCCAGAGGATGTTGAGGGTCGAGAAGGTAAGAATCGGCGCAGCCCAGAGCGGCGAGATACATCAGCTGCAGTGTGCCTTCGGTGTCGATGTTCAGGACGAGGTGCTGTATTGTCTCATCCGCGCGGGACGCCAAATCACCATCCTGGCTTTCAAATCGTGGAACGGCGAGTAGGAACACCGTGGTCTGTGCAACTGGAACCAAGGTCGACGTAATATAAGGTGCAACTGAAATGGTGTTTAGTTGCAGAATGAACGTGATCAGTGCCACCAGGTCATATATAGGCTCGTAGTATTTCTCTCGAAGGCATTGATCCCACAAGTCTATGATCATGTCGCAGAAGTCGATCAGCAAGCGCACGGGATCATGTGGATCGCCGAGCGAAGGAAGCCTGTGAAATATGATGCCGGCAAATGATTGTTCAGGGTCCGACGGGAAGCTGTATCGAGCAAGTAGATCGAACGTCAAAGGCTGGCCATGAATAGCGCCATGGTCTAGGACGAGTCGCAGCAAGTCGTACGGAAGAGCACTCGGGCGGAGGCTCGAGCCTGGCGCTTCATACTGAGTAGGAGGAGCAGCATCGGCCACGACAGCATCATCTTCGACCTCCAGAGCGGTCACTGGACTGTCGATAGCAGCCCGTTTCCTCTTAGCCCTGCTCGGGGTCCTTTCGCCGGGCGCAAGTGCAGCGCCCTTTCCTTTACCCTTCAACCCTCCCTGGGCCTTGGAGGGACTGGGTAGTATTTCCACATCGTCGAAGCCATCTGCAATGTTCTTGAAGCTGTTCGTTTTGTTCTTTCTGGGCGTCGAGAATGTTGCTTCAGCGGGTTCCTTGCGGCCCTTCTTGGATTTCTGTAGCTCTTCCCTCAAGTCCTGCCGCGTGAACTGCAACTCCGTGGCAGCAGCCTTCTCCGCGTGCACGGCAGCCTCGACAAGACGTTCCTGTTTAGCCAAGGCTTCGGCATTCTGTTTCTTGAGCTTGGACACTTCGGCCTCGTGGGCTGCGACAGACCTTTCGTATTTGGAGCGCACAATAGACGCCTCCCCACGGGCCGAATTCAAGTCGTTTTCAAGGGCTCTGACACGAGCCTGGAGTGCCGAAAATTGCCCGTCCCGGTTCTGCTGTATGACAGCGGGCTGTTGCTGCGAGGCCTGGCTTTGCTGGTAGGTGGGACGGGGAGGTGGCGGATGGGGGCGATTATACTGGGGGTCGGACGGTCGAGGAGCAAAGCGGCTCGCGGTTGGTGGAGGAGGAGGTCCCATGTGATGTGGTATTGTTGGGCGAGGAGGGACCATTCGACTGGACGAGGAAGCGGACTGTCGCGCAGGCTGATACTGAGAAAGCCCCGGGCCAGTCGCAGGCTGCTGCCATCGTGGCTGTTGTATCGAGCGGGCGGGCTGCAAGCCATTGTCCTGCACAAGGGAGGGAGCTTGGGCGGGGGACTGCCTCTCGACCGAGTGGCGGACGGGAAGCTGGGCGGCCTCATCTATGACAACGGTGTCATCCAGATCATCGTCCTCGAGCCCATAGTCGTCATCGTTCACGGCCTGGGTGGGGCCGAGCTGCTGGGCCTGCGTGAACTGGATGGCATTGTTCTCCAGCTCCTGGAGAGTCGTGACGTTGAGCTCGTCGAAGTCATCGTCGGAGAAGTCGTCCATCTCTCCATCGACGCCTGGCCTGGTGGCGGCAGCGGAGCGGTCGTGTGTTCATGAGATAAGATGCAGACGAGTGTGTGGTGCGTCGCGATCGTTAATTCGACTCCAAAGTTCACGCGACACCCCTGTCCTCGACTGCAGCTGCAGGGTCCCACCGCCCTCCCGTCAGGCCCGTGCCATGGGTTAGGGGTCTTGTCTTAGTGCCTGTCGGACTGTCCAGCACTTGATGAGGATGAAGATCTGCAAGTCGAACGGACCTCGGGAAGCAGAGCATTGGACAGAGCTTGACAAAGGACAGTACATGAGAAGAGGGTCATGCGGAAACACAAATGCGAACCTGCGATGGAACACCGCCCCTGCCTCACAGTTCTCATTTGCTGTGCTTTGGACCGGGGCAAGGAGTGGCCTTCCTCTTCAACATATACCCAGTTATCCATTACACTGACCTCGTGGGCGCCTCTCCACCGGATACCAACCTTGCACTGGCAGGCTTGCTCGACCGAAGTCTCGTGAAGGGCCTGGACCAACCGCATCAAAGATGAGTAAGGACCTACAGATGCTGGCCACAAGTATAGCTAGCTAGACCCGAGCATGTGGGTGCGCCGTTAGCCTTGCGAGGTTCGGCGCCAGGGCCCGACGACAAAAGTCCCTTAATTTATGCCGGGCCCGCCGCGCATTAGATGAATCCTCTCGTGTGGGACCCAACAACGGTACCTTTGTAAAGCGTGCAAGAGCCGCTGGATCTCCAACCTGGATCAGGCTCGTCAAAATGCAGAGCCATAAAAGATAGAGGTGCTGCTGCGCATCAATAAAATGTGCCTCAGAGGCGCACGACCGACAATGTGTGCCTGTTGGTTTCCTCGGAATTGTTTGCAATTTGTTCGGTTGTGAGGCGCTCCCGACAGCACGAAACCGCCCCATGGACAGTCCAGCAAGGAGATTTGCTCGCGTCGAAGAACTGTTCGAGCACTTAGCCTGCTTTACAGACGACCACACTATGTTCTGGGCGCTATGCCTTACCAGCCGCGCGTGTTATCGAATATTCAGGAAACATCTTTGGGCGGACATTGTCTGGGACCATCGCAGCGATGGCTTTTTCCAGAACACCAACAGTCTTGAGGACTTCATCAAGACGCACGCGATAGACCTGGCTCAGGCGCGGTCACTGCGAGGCATCAGAAGGGTCGACGCCGGCATCCCACCTGGCAAGGACGACTCGTCATACTTGGCTGGTATGGAGAGGCTGCAACAGCACATGCCCAATCTGAAAAGCTACGAGTAAGAGCCTCCACTTTCTTTCTTGACCGGTATTCCCAGCTAACGGTTTTCGTCACCAGGTGGATAGGTCCGTGGACCCGTGATGCCATACTGACTCTGGCAAGAAACTGCCCATCACTCGAAAGCCTCAGTATTGGGGTTGACTGTAACGAGGTGCCATATGATCCCAAGCAACGGGTAAGCTGGGACCCTTCCCAGAGATCTCTGGCATGCCTCAAGTCGGTGTCAATATATCCATCGCCGACCTGCGAGACCATCGAGGACCGAGCCACCGTCTCCGGCTACATATCGAGGTGGATACTGCGACAAGCTCCAGTGCTGGAGACTTTGAAGTTTCACTGGCCCAAAATCAAATATATCGATGAGGAAACCCTGGTTGTGGAGGACTTTCTCTTCTACTTCATCGGCTTCCTCGCACTCGAAGAGGTCTCTTTAGACAGAGGCTTGCTGTCACAAGCTGAATCTGCCAGTAGTTGGCCACCGATGTTGCGAAAGGTGCAAGTCTGCGTGTGTCCATGTGACCCGCATGGGATGCGCATATGCCCTCGATGCATTGGTCACCGACAGAAGGAGACCGCATCGCGACTGGACGACAATGATGAGAGATCACTGTCTCTATCCAAGCGGGTGGGTGAGGCATTTGAGTGGGCATGTCAAGAATGTCTTGATCAAGTATCTTGTGCAGTATGGAGCGACAAAGATAGCTTCTGGCACGTCTCTGTAGTCACCACGGCCAGGTCATAATAGAAGGAGCGATGTCAATCTTGAGCATGTGGCTGTGACGTGCATGTGAAGTTCACCGTTACAATCTTTGTATGGTAGGAGCGCCGCACAGCACGGGCTGCAGGCCCGGGGTGCCAAGCTTTGGCCGACAGCGGGCGCCAACCACTGAAGCTACTTGCGCACATGCCAGAGCTTAGCTGGCGCGTTCCGGGGTTAAAACGGTGCAGGCTGGGGCAGGCTGGGGCAGGCTGGGGCCCTTCTAAACTTCCGCAATCAGGGGGCTTCGAATATTTGTCCACTTCCCCAGATTTACTGCCCCGACGACGACGTTCGCTGGTCCCCACGTGGCGATTATGTCCTCTAGGTGGAAATTTTAGGAAACCGGCATCATCGCGATCAAGATGGCTCCCGCCATTTGGCCCCAGCAACCCGTCGCCTTGCTGCTGGTGGTGCTCCTCGCCGTCGTCCAGCGTGTGAGTGCGTCGGACGCCGCCCAGCTGTCGCTGCCTTCCTACCACTATGGCGCAGCCATCTCTGTCGAGTGCATGAACCGGAGCTCGTGAGTACCCATTGCCTAGCTTCATCACGCGAATGGGAATGCGCCAGGACGTCCTGCGCATCCATTCCCGGGTCTGGGAGCTGCAGCGCGCCCGGCCCTGGCTTCAGCATCAGGTCGCTTTGCGATGGCTTGGAGGACAGATACGAGACTGACACCATCGCTGCGCAGAGAAACAGGCGAGCACATCGAAGATCCGGAGAACCATGAGCTCCAGTGGATCCCCTTCCCAGTCTGCGAAGAGACCAACAAGCCGCTCGAGTTCCACTACGGCATCGAGGCCGAAGTGAACTGTACCATCCCCATGATCAGCGACCCCTTCTTCCACCTCCTCGAGTTCTACGTCCACTCCGACGCGCCCCTCTCCTGCCGGCTCCCATCCCGCCCTCCGCCTCACGTCGAGATAGTCGATGAGAAGCCTGTGGCCCAGGAGTATATCCCGCTGGTCTTCGCCCTCGCGGGGACCCTGCAGTTCAGCCACATGCACATCTCGACACACATGAATGTGCTGCTGCACAGCACCCCAAAACACCACATACACCCCCACGACAGCGGCGTCCTAGACTCCGGGATCGCCTACAGCACCAGCCCGCTGAGCCACATGGCCGGCACGGCAACCAAGAAACTGATTATTGGGGACCCACTACCGTTGAGCTTCAGCGTGCGGTGGTTCCCCACGCCCGCGCTGCCCAAGACGGAGGGCAGGGTCGAGTGGCAGGGCATGGGAGGGCACATCTACGCAAGTACCGTGTTTTACAGTCTGGTGTCGTTTCTAGCGGGCATTTGTGTCACAGCGGTGTATTTCTTTGGAATGGTATTGCCTAAGAGGCTCAAAGGAAGAGCGCTGGGAGGCGCCACCCCACTGGGTTATGGATTGAATGGCGTTGGCAATGGCTGGGGAATCCCAATGGCGAAAAGGGCTATCGATTAGAGTTTTTGGCGCATGGCCAGTATGTTCAGCGTTCTATTGTAAATACTAGGGTCTCTGTTGGGACCGTGTCGACACGTCGACGCCACGGTCAATGCCAGAGCGTTACAAGGGCGGGTATATCAAGCAAAAATCTCGCAGAATCCATCATGATCAGCATCTGCCGGGCTCTACTGCGTCTTCTTCACAGCGTCCGTCGCCGAGAGCCGGCTGTACAGCCTCCAGTACATGTCCACAAACATTACCGTGGCTACCCAATAAGTCAGCCGAGTTTCTAGCAATTCATATCGGTTACAAATGAGACTTACGGATAACGAGCCACGAGCCATACAACTGGAACAAAAAGACCTTCTTCTGCTCCCACGAGTAAACCGCCGGGTCCCAATAGAACACGTCGTTGATGCACAGCAGGGTGCTAAAGGCCGTCTCAAAGGCATACGCTAGCAGCAGAAGCTCGAACGGGCCCGAGGTTCCCCTGCTGCCGCTCAGCCGCCAGACGGCGTACAGGGCCACAGGCAGCTGGAAGCCGATCTCGACGACCGAGACCAGGTGCATCCAGTTCGGCGCGGTCGCGGACTGGACGAGTGGGTCGTTGTAGGTCGAAATATAGAAGTCCTTCATCTGCTGCAGGAAGTACAGAGGGCTGCCTGGGGCCTTGTACAGCTCGGGCGGGTAGAATTGCACGGCATCGATGACTGGGCCTGCGGGTTAGCAATGGGTGCAAGGCTATTATGTGTGAGAGGTGAGGAGGCTGTGAGGCGTACGGAATATGACGATGAGCTGCATGATGAACCAGCCCAGCCAGGCCTTGTCGCGCTTGTTCTTGGGTGAGGCCGCCATGGTGGCTTCGTGAGGCTCGTATGAGTGAGTAGTCGAAAAATTGTTTTGCTGTCCTCAACACAGGAGTGATCCGGGATGAGCGGACCTGACCTGTCTGTTGGGACGCAGCAGATTTAAGAAACGGAATGAGGGTTTGAGACCCTGGTGATAACAGTGGTGGGGGGCCAGGAGGGGGTCGCTAAACTTTAAGCCCCTGACCATTTGATAATATTGTCACCTCGTGTTGGCATTCCCTTTCCGCAGTTTCCGCAGCGTGCTGATTGACTGTTCTATGGACTTGTGACTTCTCGCTGCGTATGTGTACACAGAATTTTGCATGTTGCGTGTTTCCTCACATCAGTTTTGACTTGAGTGAGAGAATCACAGAATATCTATTGAGATCCTCAGGATAGGAATTCACAACGACTGCTGGTGATTCAGAGACGGTATCGTCTTTGTCTGCCTTCCTGAGACCAGGATTAATATTTCACCAAGTTAAGGTTGCCCATCATTCTTGTCATCCTGGACTGTTACACTGCACAGCCAAATGTTAAAAAAGCAAACTTTCTATCGTGTCATCCTCGGAACGTCACCAACATTTCGCATCTAGGTCTTCAAGTGTGGGTTGCAAACTATCACTCTATGTAAAATGCTAGATTAGAGACACATCAACTTTACGTACAGTCTCTCCCCTATCCTTTAGGCTGATTCTACGTGAAATTTAGCTCCTTTCTTATATATTCGAAATCAACTTCATGATAAAGAGATCATCGGAAATATGATGGGTAGGTTGTAGGTTGATGAATTTATTTTAGCGATATACGTAGAAGCTTCATAACTTTGATTTCCGTGATTTCGGACACAGAATGGCTAGGTCAGCTTATGAAGAGCACTTGAATGGACCACTGAACGGTCGTTCTCTTGCACAGCTGCCGTCATTTTGATTGCTCAGACCGTGTCACGTGTAATTGACCCAAGACTTCATCTGACATGTCTCTGTGCCCGGATTCTTCCATTCAAGTACAATTCCTCTCCAAAACCCCAAGGCACACACCCCTTGGGCTTCAGCTCCTATGAGATTGCTTGGAAAGCACCACTGAGAGTACCACTGAGCTCATGGCACCACATCCTCTTCAAACAGCCATTAAGTCAAGACCTCCGAGGCAAGCCCAGCCCATCCTCGCACAACTTCCTAGTTGGACTTCACGACCTCTCCGGACAGGAGGATTGCTTTCAAATTGGTGAAGTTGGGGACGTCTGCAAAGACCGCGGCCGAGTCCTCCGCGGCGGCCGCCTTCTGGAAGGCCTCGAGCGACTCCCAGAGCATGGTGCACTGGATGGCATAAGGACCGTTAGATGGCCGCAGGTCCGCGACCCAGTATTGCTGAAGGCCGAACTTGGACCACTTCTCGGTGACCAGGCCGATGTGCTTGGTGTTGTAGTAGTCGAGGTCGAACTTGGCGTCCGGCTGGGAGGGGTAGGCCACGGTGACGAGGGCGGAAGGCATTTTGTCTTGTGGCTGTTGTTCTTGTCGTTATTGGGGGTATATTGCAAAAGCTTGTGCGTGTGTGTGTTTTGTCATATATCCTCGGGCGGGCGTAGAAGGTGAACGACCTGGGAGGACCGGTGCGTGATATTTATACTGCGTTTTTAAGGTTCGACACGTTCCTCTGGTACCCCACCTGGTGTCATGATTCCACTGCTCGGCATGAGCGGGCGTGTGTTCGGGCTCCACCTCTCCCGCTTCTCTTCCAGTGGCTCGCAGTATCAACCTCGGCAGGTGCGCTGCGAAGATAGCTGCAATCCGACAGGCTAAGTCTGCCTGGCCCTCGGCATGGAAAGATAGCTGCTTCGGAACCCACTTGACACGGGAATTTCTGTGGTTCCATGGTCGTCGAGAGGACAACACGATCCAGGGTACCAGGATTGAAGCATACAACCACGACATTAGTAATCCTGGGCGACGATGGGCTTCAGGACCAATTCTCCACAAGCTGATAAATGCAGCCATGGCATACTGCCGATGCTTAACACCGATCGTCGGCGCCGAATTGGCTAGGTAGACGCCGCAACCACCAGTGTTTAGACGCAATTTGATGTCTGGGCACCAGAGTTGTGATAAAGGGTTGGTGGTCGAGACGGAGTAGTTCCTAGTCCACATGCAGATAAGCTTCACTGCATTGGTCACCTGCATACTTGGATGCCAGAAATCCTCCGGAATAAGATCAGGGCAGGGTTTCCGATATGTCACTTCTGTAGATTCATCGATTTTGCCTGCATGATGTAGAACGATTTAAAACCCCTGAGAGTCCTTTCCAAAATTCTCACATCCTCTTCAGGAATTATGGTGTACGGCTTGGACCCATTAACAGACAGCTGGCCCATGATCACACAGCCGCACAGCATCTTGTTATGCAGATGGTCTCAATCCTGATGCTGCCAGTCCAAACACTCTGGCAAAGGAGTACTAGTATAGGATGGGCTGACTGACTGTGCTTTCTGTGTCGAAAACACCACCCACGAGACCAGAACTCAGAGATGCGAGCTGCGAGCTGGCCCGTGTGTTGAGATTCATCATGGCCTTCGCTGTGAGCATATTGTGTACCTGGAGGGCAGACTTTTGCGATTTCCACGAGGAAGTTATGGTTCGCCGTGGCTGTGCCAAAACGTGTTGTGTGAATGAGAGCAAATCTCTCGACGAAGGTGTACAGGGGCTTGATGGGTAGCTTGTCGTGACCGTGAACACCGTTTTGGTCCAGGCCCCAGAGCCTCTTTGCCCATGATTGCTTCAATTCGATCACACCATCCAGTCGCCAAGATTTAATGCCCAGGATTTGGTCGCATTCGAGGCTCACTTGCAGTGATGGTCATGGTTGAGGTGGTTCAGTCAACACACGAGCGTGGCCGAGATTCCTAACTGATTCCCCGTTGCTGGCTCCATATGAGCAGGATCTGTGGACTAGGACACCACTTCCCCAGAATCACCACCCATCAGGATCGCCTCAGCATCCTCATCATCGCCTGAGCCCGAGTCGTCGTCCTCCTCGTGCATCAAGTCGACAACCATCACCGCGCCACGGCTCAGCCCATCAAGCTGGAAGCCGGCTTTCACCACCTCTGCCGCGTCAAACACGCAGCCGGAGATGCTGAGGCTGATATCAGCATCTTTGAGCGCCAAGCAGACGGCCCTGACGTGCTCGTGGTGGCTGTCCTTGAGATCCACGCCGGGCTGCTCCGCGTCGAAGACCAGGACGGCGCCGCCGTGGCTGAGACAGAAGGCCTCGCTGACCCCGGAGCTGGCCTTGAGGGCTGCGGCGAGCCGTGACGGTTCGGTCTGCGAGCTCGTCGTCAGGCGCGAGAAGATGTGGCCGTTCAGCACGGCCTTGGATCCGCTGGGGTCCTTTGGGGAGAATATCGAGACGTTGGGCGGCAATGCTGGCTTGCTGGGAACCGCCTGGGCATTTGTCTCTTTATTGCTCTGTGAGACGTCTTGGTTGTGTTCCACAGACGACATCTTCCTTGGGCCGGATGGGGATGTTGGCTGACACAGCCTGAGCGGATGGCAAAATCTTCAGTCGTGCGCGAAAGCCTTTGAGCCGAGGATTGCTGTGCCGCCCGAGGTGAGAATCAGATGCTGGCGAACTATCGTACGCTGTTCATTGAGCCTTGGGGCGTAGGTCAAAATTTCGTTCAGAATTGTAAGTCAAAACCAGTCGTCAAGAGATGTCATTGCTGTTGGCTATCAGGAAATTCGAGCCTCTGGCGTCAGAAGTGTCGGAGCGCAGCTGCAGGGGCTGGGCTACCTGACGTCGCCACAGCTGCAGGCCTCGAGCCACCCACGTCTCCAAGTTGTACAGGTAGTGAACCCCCGATCCAAGGATAAGTTTTCCAGCTCATCAACAACGAAAACTTTCACTATGAGCAGGTTCTGACTCTTTCATCCATATCAACTGTTGGTATCGCATTAAATTACTAATATTACAAGCGCTATAAAACCCCTTCACGCTGCAAGATTTACTGTCCCAGACGGTAGACGACATCCTGCTTGAAATAATGGCTGATGTCGTTATCCTGGCCGCAATGCTGGCATTGATGCATAACCTTTGCCCCAGGATGGCCTGGACCGTAGTGAGAGCTCCCGGGGCCGCTGCTCGACGGTGAAGACTGACCTACGTGCGTTCCGATCCCTGAGCCCACGTTGGTGGGTGAGCCTGCTCCTACGCCGTGGCTGCCATGGTGAGGAGGGGAGCCGGTGACGCCCCGCTGAGAGCCGAGAGGGTTGCTGTGTGGGATACCAGAAGACTGGGTGGTGTGGCCGGGGTGCGAGCCGGTGACACCTCCAGCCGGCTCAACGTCGAGCATGCTGGTACGAGGGACACCAGGAGCGTGCTGGCCCGATGTTGAGTCGTAAGCACCGCCGTGGCCGGTGCTGCCTTGGCCGCGATGAGAGAGCTCGCTCGCGCCGTATCCTGCGGCAACGGCAACACCTGCTCCAGCCAGGCCCGCTCCAGCGTGGCTGTTGCCATGGCCGGTGGACTGGTCATGATGTGTGAGCCCGCTGTCGCCATATCCTGTGGACCTGCCAACTCCCGATCCCGAGAGTCCATTTCCGCCCAGTCCGCTCCCACCAAGGCCACCTCCAGTGAGGCCACCGTGGGAAGCGCCACCCAGACCGCCCTGGGACAGACCGCCTTGACCCAGTCCACGCTCAGACGCGCCAGCGCCGTATCCTGCTCCCACATCGCCGGCATGTGTCAAACCCGGCCCAGTGGTGCGGTCATCGCGGGAAGTCGGCGCGCCGGCTCCGCCAAGGCTTGTCTTGTAGTCATGGACATTCGTGCCCCTTGTGCCGGAGGTGAGAGGGTCGTGGACGGTACCTGCTGTTGTGTGAGGCTTGGCGCCGCCGTGTGAGCGGTCGTAGTCCGGGCTGCCGGCGCCGGCGACGGTGTTATATACACCTCCTCCAACTGCTTGGTCGCCATGCAGAGGGTTGTGATGGGCAGCGCTCCCAGATCCGTGGCCGTGGGTGGTCCGGTCGGGCAGTGAGGAGACATTCTGCCCAGTGCCAACGGGCGTGTAGTCATGGCCGTGGTGGCCGTGCTCAGGCAAGTCATTGTTCGGACCGTGAGTGTCCTTGCTTGCATGTCCGCCTGGGGAGAGGTCGCCCCAGTAGGCGCCTTCTTTGGTGTGGTCCCTGCCCGAAGTCTGAGCGAGACCAACACCGGAATCAACAGGCTGGTGACCTCGAGTGCCGTGTGTTGATGTTGATGTGGTCTGGCCCGTCTCTGAGGGCAGGTAACCTTCTCCTTCCTTGTGCAGCTTGTTGCGCTGAGCGCCAGCAGACAATGAGTCTGCGCCACCAACGGGAGTGGAACCTAGCCCTGATTCAACCATGTTAGCACTTGTTTTCTTCAGGAGCCATGCTTAGGATTGCCGTGACCTACCTGAGCCAGTTGTCCCCGTGGTTCCGGTGGTTGTGCCGGCGTGGCCTGTAGTGTTCCTGTTCTTGTCGATGAGACTGCCGTGTGGTGCAATGTAGTCCTTGCCGTCGGCGTGCTTCTGAGGAATGTCATCCTGAGGGAAGGCCCCTGGCGGCCTTGCGTCAGAGCTGGTCTTGTCGTGGTGGTCACCGTGAAGTGCCTCCTTGATCTTTGATCCTAGACCCATGATGAGTATATTTGACTTCCGGCTGTGGACTTAGAAAGAAGTTGTTTTGCCAGATGGAAATTGCGTTTTGCTTATGGGATATAGCAAATGAGAATTATTATGTTCTGCCCAGAGCCAGACGGTGTGATACTCCTTTATAAGTGCTCCCACCGTCCTCCAGCAAGCCCATCCGCCACTGAATCCTGCTGCAGTACATCCGAAGCTCTGTGCCACCAAACATCACGGCACTGACATCACAAGCGGCATTACCCCAGGTCGATCATGTAAAACAGGGTCCTGCCACGGTCCGGCCAGGGAACCATGATCTCATGAGCTGCACTTATGAGTATGCAATTCACATTACCACCAGGCTGCGTCGAGCGATGGCAATTGCATCCAAGATTTCATGACGTTGTATGACGCACCTTCGCAGGCCAATCGACTGTTGGAGAGTGCCGTTACATGCGGTCGGTCCTCTAGCCACCACGTTCCTGATCTGAACCGAACTAACTGCCAGGAACTTCCAAGTATCACGATGGCGGGGAACAGAAAAGCATTGGTCAATTGGGCAATCAAAAAAAAAAAAAAAAAAACTGAACTAACATCTAGCCGCTGCACACAATGGTCAGAGGATAGAGGGTCGTTGCTTCCTCCAATGAGTTCGTCAATTGAATCCTCGTAGTGAGATGATGTGTGACGCTCTAGGGTCCAACCCTGGGGAGTCAGAGGGAGCCGGCTCCTCGTGTACTTTCGCTAGCAAAGCGCTCCTGCCATGACATCACACCAAGCCACCAGCAACGTGTGCACATCGACATGTCTCACTGGCGAAAGGTGACGCGTGTTCTGTTCGAGGGAGTGTACGAGAACGGTACAACTTCGAGTTGCACCTACTGATGCGACCCTGCATCATCGCGCCCTCGAAACAGAACCTTGGAAGTGAAGATGTTTTCCAAGCTCAAGAACCTCGCCGAAAAGGGGCAGGGGTCGAGCCCCAAATCCGGCGACGACCAGGGGGAGTCGCTCACCACCATCCTCCCCACGCGAGAGGACAGGGCGAACCTCCTGCTCCTTATTGCGGACCTGATCGAGGTGATGCGAGTTCAGCTTGTCGACGCCTTCGACCCCAACAAGTCCGAGACTGCCACACCGCTCAAAATTGGGCGCTCACTGGAGGTTGGCGACGATGCTGCACTGGAAATCAAGCCCGGAGCCACGGAGCAGAGTGGACCGGACGAGGCTGCGGAGGAGCCATCCGAGACTGATCCTGCAGGCCAGACAGGCAAGGCCAAGACAGACGAAGAGAAGCGTAACGATGCGGCCGAGAAGGCGAGGAAGGCCTTCGAGAGACGGGCCAAGGAGCTTGCCAGGCCGGAGACTGAGGCCTTCAAGCAGGCCGCGCTGACACATTTCGACGACTGGCGTGACAAAGTCATGCAGCGTATTGGCGAGGCCGTCAACCAGCGCGAAGATGGGGATGAGCCAGCTCAACAGGGCCACGAGTCCCGCCCCTCGAGCCAACAGAAGCCAGACGCGGCCGGAGAGACCCTGCAGAACATTTTCCCACCACTTGAGACTCCACTGGTTTCACTCAGTGATGCCCGGCGCATTCTCATCATGCACTCGATCCTACTTATCCTGCTCGGACTGGAGTCCTACCCGGCGGAATCCAGAGTGCTCATGCTTCGGCTGGCAAGCTCACTGGGGCTGTCCGCAGAGCTACTATCTCAGGATGAGATATCAGTGGCCAAGGGTCTCCTTGAGGCCGCAAAACAGCAGATGAACGCAGACGAGGAGACCAAGAAGAAGGCAGAGGAAGGCTCAACCGCAAGGAAGTGGAAGGTCGGCCTCGGTGCAGTTGCGGGGGCTGTCCTTATTGGAGTGACAGGTGGGCTTGCTGCTCCTCTGCTGGCTGCTGGAGTAGGCACGGTCATGGGCGGTCTAGGACTCGGCGCCACAGCCACCGCTGGATATCTCGGGGCACTCGCTGGCTCAGCACCCCTTGTTGGTATTTTGTTCGGTGCCTATGGTGGCAGGATGACTGGAAAGACTATTTATGAATATGCTAAAGAAGTCGAGGACTTCGCCTTTCTGCCAATCAACAAGCCATCACTGTTCCAGCGAGGCAAGCAGGACGAAAAGAACGCAAGACATCTCCGTGTCGCTGTGGGCATTGCCGGCTGGCTTGTGGAGGAGAATGAGGTTGTTCTCCCATGGCAGGCCATCAGTGGGCGCAGCACCGAAGCGTTCGCTCTCAGATGGGAGCTAGACGCATTGCTCCGACTGGGCTGCGCTCTGAACACATATATCAAGAGCTACGCATGGGGCTTCGCCAAGAAGGAGATCCTTAGCCGCACCATATTTGCTACTCTTGCTTCAGCTCTCACTTTACCATATGCCCTCGCCAAAGCCTCCCGTGTCATCGACAACCCCTTCAGCGTCGCGGTGTCTCGGAGTGAGAAGGCAGGCAAGGTCCTTGCCGATGCACTCATCAACAAGGTCCAAGGCGAGCGACCAGTCACGCTGATAGGGTACTCGCTAGGCGCAAGGGTCATCTACACCTGTCTCGCTGAACTGGCGGATCGCAAAGCCTTCGGCTTGGTGGAGTCAGTCTGCCTCATTGGCGCAGCCGCACCGTCTGACCCCATTGCATGGCGGAAGATTCGCTCTGTCGTCACAGGTCGCGTCATCAACGTCTTTTCCACGAAGGACTACTTGCTAGCCTTTCTGTACCGCGCAAATAGCTTTCAGTATGGTATTGCCGGCCTGCAAGCGATTCCCGAGGTCCAGGGAATCGAGAACGTCGACGTCTCCGACCTTGTGGACGGGCATACGCAGTACCGCTTCCTGGTCGGTTCGATCCTGCAGAAGCTAGATCTTGAGGACATCGATGGCGAGGTCGTTGAGAACCAAATTGAAGAAATTGAAACGTCAGGAGAAAGAAGACAAGGAAGAGCGCGAGAGGAAGGCAGTAGAGGGCAAGTCCGCTGAAGAGGAAGCCGACGAGATGGAGAAAGAGGTTGAACAGAAGAGTAAGGCAACCAAAGCGATGGATTGGATGGGCAACAAGGTGTCCGGTATCAACAAGAAGAAGTCCACACCTACAGAGAACGTGATGACAGAAGACGATATGCTTCGCGAGGCAGAGAAGCGGTAGTTGGCCCAGGGAGGGTTTGGGTCCAATTGCCCGCAGGCTTAAGGTGCAGGAGAAACAAATCAGTTCGAGTAGCATACATAACTACACTACGTTACCTCGTATAATACAAGAGATAGCCAGACTCGCCCTATTTGAAAACTCTCAGCTAGACTGCGGTGTCCGGCTTGCTTTGTTGGCCCTCTTCAAGGATGCTGTAACCTCCTACGCGTTGCCATTATACTCTGTCTGTCTCTGTGGCAAAAGTCGACATCCAAGTGGCATAGAAGCAAAAGTTGCGGTCTGTGTGGATCCACATTCACCGCATAGTTTTCTTTTGCTCTTCAAAGAGGGTGTGAGTGGGTGGGAATTCAAAGCAAGATTAATCTGCAAATCAATCCTGAAAAATTTGGGCACGGCTGACAGCTGTGAGAAGTCCCTGAACATCAGAAGGTATGTGATTCCAAGGGGTAAAGTCGCCACGGATCGAGTCGCTGCGACTGAGAGAGGCACTTGTCATCTGTGTAAAAGACGAAGTCTCTATAATTCGCCTACAGGATGAGCGTCTATTGACAAATTCATGTCATGTGAAGGTCGAGGAAACTGACCTTCATTCTTGTCTCTATCGGTGCTGAAAGGTGCACCATTCCAGACAGCTTTGGGCCGAGGATGAACCATGGCTCGGTGCTCACACGGCAGTATGATCGCGTATTTGATGCAACACTTGGACGAGAGCAGCAGTATTCACACGCTAATAGACAAGGACAGCAACATGGGCATTGGGTCAGGAGAGATATGGTGCCCTTAATATACCTTTTCAAGATGATTCTACAACACGACTTGCTGGTCAATCATTTACGCCGTGTACCCTGAGTATAGGGAGCTCATGAATGACACTTCAGCGAGTCTCGGACCTGTAAGTATGGCCGAACAACGTGAGGCGACCAGGCGCAGACGAAGCGGATCCAATGATCTCGACAGAATGATTGTGCCTAACCTTCAATAGGGTGAATCGACGGATAATGCCTTCGGCGAATTCACAGTCTTCCAAACAAACTGGGATAGTGGACAATGTGGCCATGGCGAGCAGCAAGATTTACTCCTGGTCACGCAAAAGACCCCAGTCAACCAGAAGCACAACAGCCTCGAAGCGGTAGAAGACACCCGTACACTACTCCTCCGGGTCTCTGCCATCCCGCGCGATCATGTTGGCGCGCCAATCCTCCTCAGACTCGAGATCGAATTCCAGCGGCTTCGTGATAGGGGTGATGGACAGGCCCTTCTCCGCTAGCATCTTGAGCCTCGCCGCAGTCGCGGGCCGCGACCGGTTCATGCTGTAGACCTTGATGCGGTGGCACGACGATGTCACATGGAGGTCCCAATTCCTAGGAGAGTAGTCAGCAAAATTATGACCTGGTGAGTGATGAGATAGGACCCATGCCATATGCTGGAAGTACTCACCATGCTGACCTAACAAATGTAGGTTGTGTATTCAGGGCGTTGTCCCACGTCCTGACGCAGAATTCCTGCTACCTGTTAATCACCTGCTACGCATCCTGAAGTGATGCATTCTGTTATATTCCAAAACATGAGAGACGGTGATCTGTGAAAGGACAAGATTGGGACTCACCAGCCATCCCTCAGCATCCACCGGCATCTCTATCTCCCAGATCCTCCAAGCATGGAAGTACTTTTTGCTCATCTTGTCGTAGGGCACTTCATACCAGATACTGCCGCCGTCCCCGCTGACCTCGACGCGGACAGGCCAGCGGCCGCCCCCGCTGTAGGCCCAGCCCCTGAGTTTGATCTTGCCGTCGTGCACGATCTGGGCCTTGTCCACGGGCGACATAATGGCGCTGCTTACAGGCATGTCCTGGATGCTGAAGCCGTTTGAGTACATCGAGTTCTGCTTGCCCACCTGGGTGGTGTAGTATAGGTACTCCTTCCTCTGGACGGGCGCGAGCGACGGCTCGGAGATGGCGTCGATGCGGTACAGCCACTTGCAGCTCCGGGCGCCGATGTAGCCGCACACGACGGCCCGCAGCGGGTAGCCGTGAATTCGCGGCAGCGGCTGCCCATTCATTTTCCAGGCAAGGAGAACCTCGTTGACCTTGACCTTGCGCCAGGGAACGCTAACCCGGTAGTTCATGACTTTTCCCTTCTTGAAGTAGGTGTCTGCGCCGAAGAACTCGAGGTGGCCGGCCTTGGCCTCTGGGGTCAGCCCGCCGCAGTACTTGAGCACCTTCTTGAGCGAGACACCGGTCCAGGTGGCGGTCCCGATGGCACCCTCGCCCCAGGGAGCGTTGATCAGCTCATCGCCATCGCCGGGGTACTCGTGAATTTGCTCGATACGACGAGTGCCTGAACACTGCAGGGATACAGTCATTGTCTTGCGGGGGAAGAGGTCCTCATTTTGCAGGTCGGCCAGGGTGATGCGCTTGGGCTCCTTGACGAAGCCGCCGATGTCGAGGTAGTACTTCTCGGCGTCTACCTCGGGCACGCCCCCGTGGTTGCGGACGAAGAAGTCCGCGTTTGAGGTGATGGGGTTCTGAACAAGGCGGTCCCGGGGCGGCTCTCCGTTGTAGGGGAACTGGAGCACGTGGATCATGTCCTTGGACTTCTCCTCGAGGACATATTTCCAGCTGATGTCAGGGATGGACGCGACCGTAGGCCCCAGTGCGTAGTGGTATTGCTTGAACCTCTCGCCTGTCAACAGGGGGTTCTTAGGCGGCACATAGTCCAGCTGAAATTCAGGGGGCTAGGGCATTTCGATGTCAGTTTCGATAGTTTTAGCTGGGAAGCGATATCAGCTGGATGGCTGCTTCTCACATCGGGGAAATCATATTTCTCGAGGATGGCCTCGGCCTCCTTCTTCTTTTCAGGATATTTCTCCCACTCGATGTAGCCTTTCCAACCATCAACCTCTTCAGGAAAGTGGGGCTCCTGCCCCTTGGTCTGAAAGGGGAGAGCGTTTGGCTCAGCCGGTGCCATGTTTGTTGTGAGTGAGTACGGAAGTCTGTCACAGTAGGCGTGGCAGTAGAAGGAAGGGCAGCATGCTGGGGAGACGGTTAGTATGGCCACCGGTCTAGGCCCTTGTTCCTCTTATACAAGTTACAGACCTTGTCACCGTTACGGTGGTCATGGTTACGGTACAAACATGGCGCACTACGATGCAACTCATGCGTGTACGTGCACCTGTCACTGTACCCATGCCGTCGCTCATTACAGCACAGACAGATCGTGGGTGGTTGGATGGCTGGATCGTGGATCCATGGATTGGGCTGAGCGGTTCCTCGCGTGCAGCAAGATAGGGACAAGGGTCCCCTGCTCCGTACCTGCACATTCCTGAAGTCGTGTCGTCAGAGTGAGAGTTGCAGCAGCCTATCACTGCTTGTACTGCTGGGCCTGGGCCCTGTTGAAACGGGAACGGCCCAAGACCGGGCAAGAAAAGCAGGCACAGCATCTGTTGCGGCGGAAGGCACAACTGGGAGCTTATCTCGACGGTGCCACAGCACCTTGGAGCGTCGCGGCAGTGAGTAAGCCGCTGCTCCTACAGGCAGTGCCTACTGCACGGGTCTTAGTTCAGCACCTGCAGCGCCAACCCAAAACACATGCAACATGAGCAGACATACTTTCGAATTACCCTCTGCCTCTCATTCTCTCCCTGCTCTGCACCCAATTCCCCTCTGCCCAGGCGTAGTCGACTCCTCTGCTGTGTGCTGGCTTGGGTGGGTGCGACGTCGCGCCTAGACAGCTGGAACAAAGCTTCCGGGGGGCCCCACCAAGACGATGTCACTCCCATGACAAAGTGATGACCGTTACACTGCGCAGTGCTTTTCCCTTCAGCAATTGCTCCGTACCACGAAATGCTGGGACTTGGTGCGGAATTTGGCGCATTGTCAATGCTTACAACAAGCTAGCGCTCTCAAAACCGCGGATCTGCTGCGCTGCGGGAATGTGTATGTCCGTACATGTGCAGCCACCCCTGAAGGTTCATTATCTCCGAACAGCAAGCTACTTGAAGTAGGCCGGCGTTGAGATGCCAGGGATTGTGCAGGTGTCGGGTGCGCCGGCATGCCGCAGTCGCTTCAGTGCAACATCAAAGATGCCATCCTGGCGGCCCTGGCACGCCTGGGCTTCGAGAAACAAGACCGGGGATGCTTGTGATGGCAGTCTGCTGGCATGGCAGGTCCCATTCCAATCTGACCCATGGCGATTTCATCTCAGAGCAACCGTGAGTCTTCTTCAACTCTCGAGCCCAACAGACGTCGGACCAGACAGGTTAACGGTCTGCGTGTCGAACCAATTGGGATGACGTCCTCTTCCCCTGTGCCCTTCCCAGCCGCTGTCGACAGAGGAGACAGCCTACATCACACGAAGGCTAGGTCATCTCTCCGTTAACAACGAAATGCCTTTGGTGGGGTGGAGGAGTCACTCACTCGTCCAGACAGACGGAGTTTCCTTGCGACGACCGCCAACAATGGAGTGGCACCCATATCGAGGTCCAGCCATTGAGGCCCGCCGGTTTCTATCATCCGCCCCGTTGAGGCTTGGCCCGCGTGAGAGGCGTTTGCGGGGAGTGTCTGGGGTGTCGCGTGTGGGGGGACCGAAGGATTGGCCAAGCCGGCATTCAACACCATGCCCCCCTTGACAGGACCGCCATCGCCCTAACAAATCGAATCTTGCCTTTCCCCTTCGTTTACACTGCATGCCAGCCTCACGGCGGGGACAAGCAGACCTTGAAACTTCGGTGTGGAGTGGAATACGAAGGCGTCACCGCCCGTGCTCGAAGCAAGCAGCCGCCGTGATTGAATTTATCAGGACAGCTTGCCAACGTTGGACTTCAGGATGGAAGTCCAGACAAAGACGGCCGGCGAGACCTCCCACCCAAGCTCGAGTACTCGCTTTGGGCAGAATGACTGGCGTCTGAACCGCAAGTCAGGATGGAATCGGTCAGAGAAACTCTATACGTCTGTCGAACCTCAGACGGGGACATATAGGGCCGAAACTTCCACGCAAACGACCGTCTTGATTCTCCAGTGTAATCGATCAGCTCCGTACCACCCACAGTAGCACAAAGAACGATGACTCGAAATCCCTGTGAGCTTTCCGCTCCTACGCCTCAACGTCATTCGCTTTGCTTAGCCGAAACCAACTAAGTCGTCGCCGATGCGGCACACGATTAATCCTTCTAAGCGGGACTGCATCATTAGACCAGTTCGGCTGTCGCCCCAGTCTCTGGTGCGCAACCCCGCACGCCATCTAATCTCAGTCAGCCGTAGATGGAAGTGAATCCCAGTGTGTCGGGTTTATATATCAGGCTCTGGTGTCCAGTTGCCTTCCTGAAAATGACCATCCCGAGCCCTCTCTCCTCACTTACTGGCCTGTTGGGAGACCGATACGAATGCCCCTTGGTCAAGAAATACAGCCCGTCATCAGTCTATTCTGCCCGACATGTCGGACAACGAGAAGCCTACCACCGATCATGGACCTGCTGATACTCGGCCAGGCCCGATCGAGGACCACCACTTTGGCGACGAGCCTCCTCACCACGGCATGTCGGCTGGCCAATATATTGCATCCCGCTTCAGCAGCCTGAAGCCGCCAATGTCGAAACTGCCCAACCCGTTTTCTCTCCTCAGGATGCTCAACGGCCACCACTGGGCATTCTTCCTGGTCGCCTTCTCCGCTTGGGTACGAGAGGACCTGGGCTGATTCACTCTCTGATTCGCGTTTGCCCGCAATTAGACACAAACGCTGACTAGCCTCGTACAGACCTGGGATGCTTTCGATTTCTTCACGGTCTCGCTTACTGTCAGTGACCTCGCCGAGACATTTGAGTAAGTTCCTTTCCGAGACTCGCATCACTTACTACCTCCATCATCAGCACTCTGTCCCTGCACGTCTCTCATCACGTCCGGGCTTCATTTCTCCCGTTTGTGAAAAAGCACTATTCAGGAGACACCAGCTTCGGTGCATCATACATGTGATCCATTCCCGAGCTGACTCATTTCAAACCTTCCCGCAAGGCTGTTGAGGTTCTGAAGGGCTAACCTCGAGCAGTAAGACCAATACCGAGATAACCTGGGGCATCACCCTGGTGCTGATGTTTCGATCTGTTGGTTCAATTCTCTTTGGTATCGCGGCAGATCGTTATGGTCGCAAGTGGCCTTTCATCGTGAACAACGTCTTGTTTATCATTCTTGAACTGGTGAGTTCCTTCTCGTATTTTCCTTCCTCGAAACAAGCTTTCTGGGGAAGCTCCAGTACATTTCTTGGGGTGTGGATCGATAAACTTGGCGAAGCTTAATCTTCCAACGCCAAGATACGCCCCCAGCCTTGGCTTGCCCACATTCCCGGATGAGCCAGCCGAGTGGTCCACCATTCTCCCAGTATCCTTCAAAACCACAACAGTCGGCTGCACGATCCTGGGGCCCATAGTCCATCAACGAGAACGACGACAGCGGGGATAATGGTCGTGCTAACATCGAGGCTTAGGGCACCGGCTTCTGCAACACCTACAACCAGTTCCTCGCTTGTAGGGCCTTGTTTGGTATAGCGATGGGCGGTCTGTACGGAAATGCTGCAGCTACCGCACTGGAAGACCTCCCCGAGGAGACTCGTGGCTTGATGTCCGGTATCTTGCAGCAAGGCTACGCGTTCGGCTATCTCCTCGCCACCGCCTTCGCACGGGGTCTGGTCAACACCACCCCGCACTCCTGGAGACCCTTGTACTGGTTCGGAGCATGCCCGCCGGTCCTAATCATCCTCTTCCGCCTAATGCTGCCCGAGACGAACGTGCACCAGCAGCGAGAGTCTGTGCGTCGCACTGCGCAGGCCAGCGGGAGCAGCGTCTCGAAGACCTTCATACAGGAGGGCAAAGTCGCTCTCCGGAGACACTGGTTGCTCCTCACGTACCTCGTGCTCCTCATGGCTGGGTTCAACTTCATGAGCCACGGTAGTCAGGACCTGTACCCAACTATGCTCAAGAACCAGTTTGAGTTTGACGAGAATGAGGTGACGGTTACACAAGTGGTGGCCAACCTTGGAGCAATGACCGGCGGTACCGTTGTTGGCTTCTTGTCGCAGTCGTTTGGCCGCCGACTCAGCATCATTGTCATCAGTGTTGTTGGCGGAGCGCTTCTGTATCCGTACAGCTTCATCGAGAACAATCGCGTGATTGCCGCGGCGTTCTTTGAGCAGTTCTGCGTGCAGGGTGCTTGGGGCGTCATCCCGATTCACCTAATGGAGCTCTCTCCGGGAGCATTCAGGACCTTCGTGGTGGGAACCTCGTACCAGCTTGGAAACCTCGTCAGCTCTGCGAGCTCAACCATCGAAGCCACCATTGGCGAGCGGTTTCCCCTCCCACCAAAGGACGATGTGAAGCGCTACGGTTACGGCAAGGTCATCTGCATTTTCATGGGCTGCGTGTACGCCTACGTGATCCTCCTGACGTTCCTCGGACCCGAGCACCTGCGCCGCAAGTTTGAGGTCGAGCATGACGCAGACGTACGGGAGATTGCGGGCGAGGAGACGATCGAGCAGGCTATTCACCGCCGAGAGAGGATGGGTATGGGATTGAGTGACGAAGACCTTGCGGATGCTGCTGAGGTGAAGCGCATTGGGGAGGCAGAGAGGAACAGGGAGAACAAAGCGAACCAGATAGTTTGAGCCATTGTGTGATCAACGAGACCCTTGACCGACCTCTACATAAGCTACAGTGGAAAGTCTGGGGGACAGCGTCCAAGGTAGACATAGTCCACATCTAACCACCTGGGCATGCTCAAGGCAATTTCCCGATATACTTGGGTCATGATTGAAGGCTGAGCAATGCTTTTGGGCCAATTGAGGATAGCTTTGATTAATTCACCTTGTGCAAACAATAATGATACCCTGACTAGTCTGTTCACATTGTTGGCCTTGTGATTCCGGCCGGGGATACGGACGTACAGACGTTGACTGATCCATGTTGATCAATCTCGTCACTACTACCTTGGGTACCATTGTCTCTTACCATGTTATTCTGTACCCAACAATACCACCGATTTACAGAGTTGGCAAGCGTTACACGTCCAGCTTAGAAGGAGCAAACCGCAACCAGTGCTCACCATCCGTTTACAACGGGCGTGCTATGATTCCTCCCTTTTGATACGGTTCAAAACGACTCAACCCGCTTGAACATGGGGAGGTCAAATTGGACCATTCATGGAAATCCGAGTTGTGCAACGACTCCCGCCTAATGTTTTTGCAGCTCATAGACTCGATTTGTGCCGGCAGAGAAGTAATGCGCGCATGGTTGTTTTGGCCGGGTCTCGGCCACAGCTGCCTAACCACGACGTTGCTACTCAAAAGTCAGTCATGGAGGCGTGACTTCCGCGTTATTATATCTGCCTCAGATCGTGCTTGCCTAAATTCAATTGACCCGTCCCAGCTGGAGCTCACACGAGTGAGCTCACGAGCAACATCGGCGCTTTTCCTGCACCACTCTTTGCCTCAGGAGACATTGACGCCCAAATTATTCACTTTGTTGTAGGAAGTCTTCGGATTTCCAAGTTACCATGGAAGAAAATCAAAACAACGACAAACACGACTTGATATTGGAAGCAGCCAAGTCGTGTCGTATTATACAAACCCGGAACACTGGCTTCCATGGCTACACAACGACTACCGGCACGCCTCCAAGCAGCCCTAGCAGCTTTGCTTCTGGCAACTCCATCACCGGACCACCCTCACTGCCTCCCTCACTGCCTCCCTCACTGCCTCCCTCACTGCCTCCCTCACTGCCTCCCTCACTGCCTCCCACTGAGGATCCCACCGAGGATCCCACCGAGGATCCCTCTGAGGCTCCCTCGGACAGGAGCCTTTCCTTTGACCAAAGTGGCCCCTGGCTATTTCGCTTGCCCGCAGAGATTCGCCGCATGATTTACTGCGAATTACTAGTCACAACCAAAGTCTACATCTCCTTCACAAATTGTCGGCTTCTCTTGGCCCAGCGCGGTGCCAAAAGGAAGAAGAGGGCCACGAGGAGAGTATCAGGGTTCAACGAGGACCATGTTGAGTACTACGGCGTCCGGGGTGACAACAACAACGGCGAGGAGGCAGACGTGGGCACTTACTTCAGCCCCCGTCGGTGCCATGATGACTGGATCGAGTACGCCATGCGTATCTCAGCGCTACGACAGCCAACCAAATTTCGGGATTCGTACCACCCGAGGCCTGATCTCAACATCTTCCTCGCCTGCAAACGCGCCCGAAATGAGGCAGAACCCATCTTCTACTCTGAAAACTGCTTCACCTTCTGCACGTGCAACCAGCTCCACGACTACAACGCGGCGCGGGACATCAGTGCAGCCCATGCCGCGTATTGTTTCCTCCAAGATCGCTCCCCGGACGCGCTCAAGGAGATCAGGCATATTGAGCTTCATGTCATGCATGAGGGATCCATACCGGTTTTTCGCGAGCCGGCTGTTCAGATGTGGCACGAGACGGCGATGTTCATCAAATCCCACATGAAGATTCGGCGCCTGAGTCTAAACATTGGCGGGGTGGCCCCAAGGGATACCCGATATGCTGGAACGGGCAATTATATTCTGCGGACACCGAAGCATCCAGAGATCGACGAGTTACTTGTGTTGCCGCCGGTGGAGCGACTTACCATCCGGTGGGCTACCTTGGGCGTCCCAAGTGATGCCTGCGACAAGCACGGGGCCTGGTGCTTCGAAACAAACAACTTGATTGTTGGTTCGCAGTGTAGTCTCGCGCTCGAGAGTATGGCCATCGCTGCACTCATCAAGTCCATCCGTGAAAATCTCCTGACGAGCGGGCAACAGCTAGGGCTCTCCAAGATCCGTGGTGGGTTAGTGTTTCACGAGTTAAACCAACCAGACGAAAGTATCTACATTGTGATGGAAACAGATGACAGCTGCAGTGTTACCTCTCATCCCACCGCCCAGCAAGTCAGCCATCTGACAAATAGCCACAATGGGTCGCACACTATAAGATTCCCTCGCTGGCCGGGCCTCATAGAATGCATGGAGAGTGTCAGCGACGACTTCCATCAGTCGCTGAAACACTCTCAATATTTGGTTAGGCCGGCCTGGAAAGAAGTCACCTTCCACTTTGTATGGATTGACTGCCTCGCCGCAAATGCTGCTACTTGGGCCCTGGATTGCGAGGACTTTTGGGGGAACGAGCTCGTTCGGAGGGAGCTTCGCTTGGCTGTTGAGGCTCCTCATTTCACGACGAACACCGTCAAAAAGGGACACGAAGCTGATCCGCGAAATTTCAACGATTACGACCAGTGGAGAGACAGGCTCCGTCACCTGCTTCAGTTCTCGAGGTGGGCCCTCCGATTTGTGCAAATATTCTTCCTCCCGCGGACTGTCGGCCCATCCGAGCTTGATCTCAGCCTTTTCCGCACTGCTGATCGCCAACAACATTATTTGGGGGGACCGAGCAGCGTTCTAGCAGTCCCCGATACAAGTTATGACGACTTGGTGAGGGCAGTTGCTCATGGAGAGGCTGACCAGTAAGCCCCATCCTTGTCCTTTCACGGTTGCCCGTCTGTCATGTTTTGGAAGGTTCCAGAATGCATCACTTCAGGATCTGTAGCAGGTGATTAACAGGTACCAGGACCATTTTCTTTACATGCGAACCGGCCTGGCCTTGCTTTTTAAGACGCGGCGACATTTCGTCTCTGTGGGAATCGGATATGTACACCGATACGATGCAAATTCTCGATCGGAAGACTGGTCTTCTATTAGAATATTGAGAGCGGGAGTGGAATGTCTCAGGTGGGCTTTGCGCGAGGAGGAACCGCTTGAATCGGCTCAAAGACAGAAACAAGGTTTACCATCGTTTGGGACACAGGTCTGATGTAAACAGATTTTAGATCGAGCAATCGATTCAGGATTGTTAGGACAGGGCGCTTTGTCTGGCCAAACCACACAGCAGGCAGGACAATTCCCAATCACAACACAAAGATATCACACAGCACAAAGCTCAGAAATGCCCGACAATGCAGATGTCGGTGACAGAATTTCATACCCCGAATACCGTCGTGAAGCGTTGTTCGTGGCTTATGGGCATGTGGATGTGCCGCAGATTGACCAGACTAGTTATGTGGATGTCGTCCGCCCCATAGCTCCAAGCCAAGACGGCCTTGGCCCGAACCTGCATTCTACAAAAGGTCCGAATTTGACGTGAAATTAACAGTAGCTTATTCCCATGCGTTCACGATATACTGTGCTGGGAAGGAAGACATGCGCCCATCAGCTGCGGCGACATACCGTGCCTGTACTGCACTAGGGCGAGCTCGCCATCATCTCAACCATTTGCGTCTTGGGCAACCCCGACGCTGACAGCCCCCAACGGCGTTCTGGCATGGACTTCATTCAGTTGGCCCATGTGCCAGCAGCGATGTTGCATCGTCCGTTCCGCTTCACTGAGCGGAGAGAGTAAGGAGGCTGATAAGAGGGACTGGCGCATGCAGGTTCGTGGGCCGGCTTGTCTCGTTCTGGAGCTCACCCCCGCGATGATCTTCTGCCGCCGACATCTGATGCCATTCTGGCGGCTTGCGGGTGCGACTTGGAGGCCCTTCACCACACGGCGTATGCCGAGGCTTATCTTGGATGAATAAAAGGACGCGCAGGATTGCTAACTTCTGTGGTGTTCATACAGGGCGTGTGGACATTTGCGCAAGCGGGAATGCACAACGTCGGCGAGCTATACGCATTCAGGTTCTTGGTCGGGCTCTTTGAGAGCTCCTTCTTCCCAGTCCTCCTGTACGTACTGGGGAGCTGGTACACGAAGACTGAACTGGCCAAACGAGTTGCACTATTCCACGTGACAGCTCCTCTGGGATCTGCCTTTGGTGGGTACTTGCAAGCTGCGGTCTACGAGAGTTTGAATGGGCGCCATGGCAGGCCTGGCTGGCTGGAGATGGCTGTACATCATCTGCGGAGTAAGTTGTCTTTGCCGTGTGTTCATTGCAAACACTGATGGTGATGATGCCCGCTGACTCAAAGGCATGCAGTGCATGACCGCACCTGTTGGAATTGCAACTTACTTTGTTCTCCCTGATACACCGTACACGACCAAAGCGAAATTCCTGACACCCGCAGAATGCGAACTGGCGATTTCACGAGTCCAGAAAGCCGGGAAAGCACCTCCCAAGGGCGTAGATCTCCAGACTTTCAAGCGCGCCATGTCTAAATGGAGATGGCATGCTTTTGTTCCTGGCTATGTGGTAAGTGCCACCAGCACTGTTTGAGCCTGCGTGGACATGGATAAGACTAATCAGCTGGTACAGCTGTACGGCGAGTCCTGCCAGGCTGGAGGATACTTTGGCATCTGGCTCAAGTCGGAACATTTCTCCGTCGTGGATCGCAATGTCATCCCGACCGGATCCAAGCTGATTAGCGCGGCATGCATCATCCTGTGGGGGTTTCTGTCTGACTACACGGGCAGCAGATTCGCCTTGATTCTAGGTCCGCTGGTGAGTAGGCAAAGCCTAGCCTGTGATTTATGCTGCTAATATTGTGGTTAGCTACTCGGTTTGATACCGAATGGAATCCTCGCAGTGTGGCCTCCCAGTGTCCCGTTGAAGGAGTTTGCATTTCTAACTAGTAGTGTGCACCTGATGACGGCAGTATTGTGAGTGAATCGAGAGAAATGATTTATTCTTTTTGGATGTACTGACAGCAAGGATAGTTATACATGGGCAAACGAAGTGTGTGCTGGAGACAATGAAGAGCGCGCTCTTGTCATCAGCAGCATGAACGGCATGCAATATGCTTTCGATGCGTGGCTCCCTATTGTGATCTTCCCACAGACCATGGCCCCTAGCTTTCGTAAGTCCCTACAAAACCTATAATCTCAGGTGAATGAAGTACTTGACGGAAGGGAGCGCTGACCCGGATGCTTAGGTTATGGATTCCCAGCAACGTTTGGCTTTGTATTTGCGGCCATCATCGCCGTAATTATTATTCGCCTGCTTGTATGGCGCGAGAGTAAGAACAAACTGAATTCCTCAGATGATTCTGGAGAAGGAGGGGTTGTTGAGCTTGTCAGCCCCGATGAGAAGGGCAGTGTGGAAGAGAAGAAGATCGATAACAAGTGAACAAGACTCGAGGTAAATTCGACGAGCCAGATCGTGCCTCTTAATTTGGGATACTGGGGAGTACACGAGAGACGGAGGAAGGAGTTAAAGAAGTATAACTTACAGGAGGATATGCATTTGCCATGAGTATATAATATAGTACTTGGCACTCATAATTACCTCCTGATCTGTTGTCTGGATCTAGCTCCTGGAGGTCTTGTAAGACCACCTCAGATCCCTGCTGTGCACGGTCAGTGTCACCGCAGCACGGGCCATCCTGGGAGCTCAACAGCGGGCCAGCGGCGGGCGGAATGACGTCTGCTTCTCGACAGTTCCGCGCTTATCATAGACAACCAATCATGTCATAGCCGGAGGTGATTTGACCCCTCGAGACTGGGGGAGACCACCATCTACCTAGGTAGCCGCCTCGGTTGTGACCGCAGTGGACGGCCTGTAACTTTTCTTCCAACCATCTCACAACCAGATGCTCTAAACACCAAGGCATATCGTCCCATCACCATGGCTTCGCGGGGAGTCTCTACTCTCAAGTTTGTCGGCACCGTGTCTCTGGGGTTGTTGACCGTGAGTCCATCCTCTTGTCAATTCGCCGTCCTCGTCGGGCGGGGCGGCCAGGCAGTTCGACATCCCCGCATTTGGGCTACTGAGTTGTTGCTGTGCTGATGACTTCACCACTTCATTGCGCTGTCCTCAACCCCATCACCCATGGGCCAGCCTCCGCTGACTATGCTTCCATCCAGGGCCTGTCCTACACTCTGTCAACCCTCACCGTCCCAACACTCCTCACCCTGCCCTCCGCCAGCACCGCCGCCAAGGCCTTCCGGTCGCTCACCACGACCGCGAGGACGCACCTGCGCACCCTCGCCGGCATCTCGAGCACCGCATTCTTCCTCGCCTTCGCCCTGTCCCCCCGATCCGCCCGCCACCCCTACCTGCTGTACACCTCTGCCCTCGTTGTCATCTCCCGCCTCAGCGTGTCCGACTTTGTCGCCCCGTACCTGTTCGCCCACCCCCACGCGCCCGTGTCCTCGTCGCAAAGGCAGTCATCTGCCGCCCGCAAGGACCGGTCGGCCACCCGCCGCATGGAGGCTAGCTACGATGTGATCGGATCCGACGCACACAGCGAGGCTACGCTCGACTCGGCCAGTGACAGGAGCATCGAGGACGACGGCGCAGCGGCGGCCGATGTCAACGGTGAGGAGGTCCGCGGCGAGGTAGAGGCGTTCCTCAAGAAGCAGGTCGTCTCCGCTGCGACGGCGGGCCTGGGCTTCCTCATGGCCGTCGTCGGCATCTGGGGCGATGGCGCAGTGGGTTACGTGAGCGAGACCGTTGTCAATGTCATCGAGATCTGACGGGACGCTCTGATGACGCCAGTTGATGAGCTGTGGGATCTGGAGATGCTGACCCGAGCTTTGTATCATTCAAGGAGGAAGGGGGGCTCACTTTGGAAATGGCAGGCACACTAAAAGAACAGCTTCTGCTGATGGTCGTGGGGAGCTTGATTGGGAGGGATGTACCAGGCCAGGGTTGATGGTGGTTCCCCCCTTACATTTTCACTCCTCTCCACCCAGCCTCTAACAGACATGCTTACGACATCAATGATATCACTTTGGACCAATTTCCCTGCGCTGACCGTTGTTCTTTTGCTCTTGTTTGACCTCCCATCATGGGTGGTGCGCGTGACGGTTCGTTATGGTTGAACAAACGGTGGCCGGTGCTGACAGACAGGTTCAATACTGCCTCACTCCCTGGATGCCCATGATGTTGGCGAGTTGGGACGGACCTGATGCAAAAAAAGGATGCGACGTCCGGGGTTTGAACCCGGGTCTTCTCCTGACCCCTTTGGAGCTCGAGATGGAATTATCTCAAGTGGGAGGGAGATGAGTTGAACCACTACTCTAACGTCACCAATGTGGGATTGCAGGGGTTTCTAGGGTCTGATATGGTCCAGTCTGAGGTCGGTTGGCGGTAAGTTGTCCTAGCTGCCTGCCCTCGGTAGGCTGCTTGCTGTAGGCGAAACTGTGCCTGGAGATGACAACAGAGAAACGGGAGTGATGCCTGGAGCAACATCTTGGGCCCAGGCTCCCCTCCAACCCAATCAAGGTACTGTCATATCTCGCGTTTTCGAAATGGCACGAACGAGTCTCGAGAATGTGCGGAACAAGCACAACCCTTTTCGCCTTCGGCGTGTCTCTGCAGCACAGTTATATCACGGGCTCTTCCTCGTCACAAGTCACAAGTGAGTCGGTCAGTCAGTCAGTCTAGCGGATCTGACCGTCTCCCATGACACCTAGAACTGTAGTCTGGTTTCTCTACTCAATCAGCTCTTCGCAGTGACTGCCTTGGCAATCCATACTCAAGCCTGTTGGTGACTGTTGCGTGCCCGTGAGTCTCAAACATTTGTAAATGCAATCAACAACTCGCCTCCGTCATACTGAACGCTCAATTAGAAACACATTCATACGAAACATACTCCTTTTTGTAAAATAATAATGCTCTCATCTTCATATGCCGAACGGCCATCACCATCGAGAATGTGGCTGACTACGTTGGAAGCTGACCAAGCTGTCCAAGTGGGAGGTGGAGTTGGAGCAGCTCCACACCCAACACCTACCTCCCTTCTCCTGGCTTGGAGTCCTTACTTCGTGGCGGAGGTCATCCTAGCACTCATTCCTACATGTCTTTGCTAAAACTATTTCTCCCGGCAAATGACGACACCGGACTTGCGTGCCCCCGATCATCATCAAACAAACCCGGTGTTGAGGCTCTCCAGCCGTGATGTCACACACACAACCAACCACCCAACCACCACGCACCATGCTCTCCTTCCTAGCACGCCGCGTCCCCAGGACCACCATCTCGCACCTGGACAGGATAACCCTCGACGGCGGCCGCTCCGCGGCAGAGTTCAAGCCGCCGGCCGACCGCTACCTCGTGGCCAACCGCCTGCCGCCCGCAGCCTCGGCCCAGGAGGCCGCGCGCCTGGGCCTACCTCACAGGGGCGCCAGCTCGTCGCTCGCGCCGCCGCCGCACCGCCACCCCTGGCAGGACGAGACCTTCCACGTCGTGAGCGGGACGGCAAAGTTCACCCTGGGCCGCGGGCGCGGCGGGACGGAGCGGCTCGCCGGGGCCGGGGAGGTCGTTGTGATCCCTCGGCGGGCGGCCCACACCTTTTGTAATGCGAGTGAGGAGGAGGACCTGGTCGTGGAGTTCGTGCTGGACCCTGCGTCCCGGGACGCGGATGAGGCTTATTTCCGTGAGTGACGTGCTGGCTTCTGCTTTTCCTTCTTTTGCTCCTTCTCCGTTTGGGGGGATACTGGGCAACTCCCTGGCTGACTGGCGATTGTGGTGTCATCGGACAGGTAACGTCTGGGGGTACCGAGATGACTGCCGCAGGGCCGGCGTGAAGCGGAGCCTCTTACAGGCCCTGTTGTTCATGCACCGTGGCGGCGTGGTGATGGCTCTTCCCGGGCCCGACGGCATCTCCAGGGCTTTAGGTTTGCTGCTGAACTACGTTGGCGGGGTGTTAATTGGCAAGTGGCTGCTTGGCTACTCAGCCTGCTACCCTGAGTACCATCACCCAAGCTCCCGTTGAAGAACGACGTCTGAGAGGAGCCAGACCTTTCGGGCTTATGCCATGCCTTATGAGTCTGACACCATTGTCCACTGGTTGCCACCAGAGCACAGGATAATTCAGATGCTAATATGTGGCATACCCGACTTTTCGTGAGCTTGCCATGTACCTTGGTGGGACAAATTCCCACATTGAGTCTACCAGAGGAGACCAAACAGGTTGGTGGCCTGCATGTCTGCTTGCAGAACTTCTTCTGAACACGCATCGTGGCAAGGTTGTGCTTGGCTCCAAACTTACAGTCACAGGTCTGTCGACTTTAGCTGTGTCGACCTAGCAGACCGTGGCTGGGCGCTGACATGAAAAGGGAGACAATTTCTTCACAAGCTGTGCGAGGAACTTGGGACCCAGCAGAATTATCAGAAGGCACAGATCTTGTTCCAGACAAACTACCCAAATGCTTCAAAAAGGTGGGGGTATTCGAAGGGCAAAATGCTACCAGATTCCAATGTGCTCGCTCGCTTGATCGGTTCAGTGTGCCCGCTTCATGTCAAGCCCAAGTCACGCCGGCGCACCCAATCTCGGTTTCGTTCCATCGAATATTGTCATATCCGTCATATCCTTGTCGTCCCTTTCATACCCATCGAATCATGTTCTAATTCCAATCCCATCATAACTTCGTCACTTCAGTTGCCCTTCAGCTTTTTCCACCAGCTGCTGGCGCTGCTCCTGGGCGTCGTGGTGGCATACGCGTCCCCAACATAGCTATGCCTCTTCCTCTCTCCGCTGCCATCACTGCCCCCTGCTCTCTCTTCCCTTCTCTTCCTGCGCCTGCGCTCACCGTCCTCGTCGCCGACTTCTATGTCGACCACCCCATCGCCATACTTCCTCCGCCGCCTTCGTTCGTGGCGGGCGGCATCGTCCATGTCGTCCATGGCTTCGTTGGGCATCTCCGCGTCTTCGGGCGGTGGACCCGCGTCACTGTGGTCCTTGACCCAGCTGGACGTCCCTGAGTACGGCCACGGGGTTGGATTCGGTTCAGCCTTCCGGGACAGCTTGTCCAAGCCATCGGTGTGTCGACGCGAAATCTTGGACGGACGGCCGAAGTCATCATCTGAGCGTTCGGAATGCCTCCGGGACGATGATTTGCCCTCTGCCGGGTCACGAGCAGCGCGCCGCTCAGCTCGGCGTCGACGGCGCTCTTCGTCGTCATCGGCATGCCGTCGCTCATGCTCACGGTCGCTCTCGACAGCATGGGCTTTGCGCCTTTCGCGCCGTGCAGCGCGCCTGGCTTCGTCGTCTTCAACAGCGGTCTCGCCGTTTGCCGTAGCGCCTTCCCGCTCCTGTTGACGCTCGAGCCGCTTCTGCCTCTTGCGCTCTTCCCGGGCAGCCTCCTTTTCTTCAGCAGCTTTACGCTCCTCCTCTTGACGTGCTCTGGCTGCGCGTCGCTCAGCGCGCCGCGCCTCACGTTCTTCCTCTTCCTGCTTTCGACGCTTCTCGCGGCGGGCCTCGTCCTTGGCACGGCGAGAGTCCTCTCCCTCCTTGTCTGCGGCTTCCCTCTCGGCCCTCCGTAGGCGACGAGCAGCTTTCCGCGCCTCAGCGTCGACATCAGTTGCTGCAGCTGCATCCTCGACGTCTGTGCTGTGGTGCGTGTTCCGTCGGCGAGGCTCAGGTCTCGTGTCAGTCTTCGGGGTCGACAATATTCCACCGAATAAACCCCCAAAGCCCTTCTTGGTAGATCCGCTGGTATTCGACCGTCGAAGGCCTGGAGGCGGAGTTGCGTCTGCCGCGTCGACCATGACAATGTCGTCGTCATCACGCGGGTATTGCTGCATCAATGTCTTGTCAGTATGCTGAGCGCAACACGTGTATGCTGGTAGCTTGCGGCTTACCTTATGCCTCCGGCGCGAGGACTTCTCGGGGCTCGACTCCGCGGCATCGTTGGCACCAACCATGACGATGTCATCTTCTTCAGCTGCCCTGGAGCTCTTCTTGCGCTTGCTGCTGGACCTTCCCAGCGAGTCGCCGATGCCCACGCCCAGGATCTTGGCCGCCTTGGAGCTCATGGTAGGCACCTCATCCTCGGGCGGCGGAGAAACGATACCACTCGGCACATCGAATGAGCTGCGGCGTGACGACTTGCCCTCCTTGTGTCGTTTTTCGCGCGTTGACATGGTCCGAGAAATCGGGGGTGTGCTATTGAACACACTCATGAGCTTGGGCCGCACCGGGGTCTCCTTGGCCATGTCCTTGACGCGCTCGCTGCGCTCTGCCTTATCGGATGACGAGCCAGGGGCCGACAGCTTCTCCTCCTTCTCTGGCGAGCGCGACTCTTTTCACGCTTGGGCTCCTCGGGGGCCTTGGACTTGGAAGACTTCTTCTCCTTGCCGCTTGGTGTCGACGCGGACCACATTCCCCAGCTCGAGCCGCCGTCGCGGTTGATCTTGGCCCGCTCCTTCTTGCCCTCCCTCTTGGGCTCGACCACGACCTCGGGAGGTGGGGAGAGAGGTGCGTCTGGCACGGCGGGAGGAGGCGGAGGCGGAGGCGGGATGGAGGCGGCATCCTCGGTCTTGGACTTTGACTTCTTGCTCTTCTTGCTCTTGGGCGACATTTCGATGACCTCGACTATATCGTCTGGGAGCTGCTCATCGTCCTCGACGGGGAAGCTGCCAGGAATATCAGCAGCCCTGCTCTTGGATTTCTTCTTCTTTTTGACGTCCTCAGCCGCTGGCTCCACCGGTGGCGGTGGAGGAGGCGGCGGGATAGCGTCAACAACTGGCGCAGGAGGAGGTGGCGGAATGGTAGCCTCAAATGCCTTTAATCTGTCAGCAACCTTGCCACCCACGGACTTTCGACCCTTCATGAGTGTTGGTGATGGAGTAGAGGCTGGCACGCTGGGCGCGATGTCAAGCACATGTTGGTCGACCTCGCCCCCAAGTTTTGTCTCGTGCTTGGATCGCGACGATGGGTACGTGTCCTGCCAGGCGGACCAGGCACCAGCTACGACATCCTTGGACGTCGAGTTCTCAACCGCGGCGCTACGGCTCGTAGTAGCTTCGAGAAGCTTGTATGACTCAGCATGTGCAATCTCGGCTGGGGACCGACAGATTTGAACATGAGAAACTGAGATGAACACCACGACGCCAACAACGGGCGTTGGTGTTGTGGAAATTGGGAGTGCTGGGGGAGGGTGGTAGGGGGGGCAGGGGGGGTTGCAATGGACATGGACTTACGGGCTCAGCCCCAGGACTCTTGCCCTTTTTGGGCTTAGGCGACTTCTTGGATGCACCCCAGAAATCAAACGGGTCCACCTCCGCCGCCCTTGCCGTGGACTTTGTGGGGGGAGGACAGGAGCTGGTCCAGCTCGTCCAGCTGGTTCGCGTCCAGCTTGGCGAGATCCTTGTCGAGGTCGTCGTCGGCCTTGGGGGCACTGGCCGCTTCGGCAGCCTTGTCTCGGGCTTTCTTGTTGGCGCGCAGCATGTCGTACTTCTCCTTGTCCTTCTTGAGCAGCTTCCTCCCGGAGTCTTTCTTCTTCTGCAGCTCCTGGAGCTCGGCCTCCTCCTTCTCGATCTCCTGCTGGCGGGCGAGCTCCTCAGCCTCGCGTGCCAGCCTTTCCTCCTCGTCACGTGCGGCCTGCTCGGCGGCCTCCTGCGCGGCCTTCTCGTCCGCGCGGGCCTGGCAGCTGGCAGAGAGCTTGTCATACTTTTCCTTGTCCTTCTTGGTGAGTTTCTTGCCGGAGTCCTTTTTGGCCTGCAAGACGGCCAGGTCGGCCTCCTCCAGCGCGATAGCATCGATAGCTGCCTGCTTCGCCTCCTCTTCTTGCCTGGCCAGATCCTCAGCCTCGCGTGCCAGCCTCTCTTCTTCAGCCTTGGCTTCGGCCGCCAGTCGCTCCTCTTCTGCGATCCTCTCTTTCTCGGCCGCTTCCTCGGCCTCGCGCTTCTCGCGCTCCTTCTGCTCTTTCTCGGCCTTTTTCTTCTCCTTCTCCAGCTTCTCGAGCTCCTTCTTGCTGAGCTTGGGCTCTTTCGAGGACTTTTTGGAGTCCTTGTCGGACGACTTGGACTTGCTCCTACTGAGCTCCGTAGAGCCGCTCGGGTCGTCCCATGCATCCCCGGCATCGTGCGCGTCGACTTCTGTTTCTGTCAGATCCATACTTGGTGGTGTAGGCACTGGTGGTGGGGGCTCCATACGCGAACTCTTGTCCTTTTTGTCAACGCCAAATGTTGACCAAAAGTCGTCTCCCCCATCTTGTCCTTGGTGTCACCCATCAAATCGGGCTTGATCGGGTCGTCAACCACCTCAGCGGCGCTATTTTTCGACTTCTTCTTGGACCCGCCACCGAAGCTCCAGAGGTCATCAGCAGGCGTCTGCACGTCTTTCTTCTTCGGCTTGCCCCAGCCGAAGTCGAAGGCGTCCGCCTCGGGGATGGCTGGCGGCGCGTCCGGAATAGCTATAGGATCACTGGTGCCGTCGAACTCAATCAGAGGGCTCGACTTGTCCTTCTTTTTGGACTTCTTCGAGCTGCTCAGGCCCCAGTTCATCCAGTCGTCGCCTGCGCCGTTGTCGTCGGCTGGATCGTCATCGGCCCAGGAGAAGCCTTTGGAGACCTTCGTTTCGTCCTTCTTGACCTCGTTTTCGGCGTCTTCTTTGAGTAGCTCCGTGGCCAACTTGTCAGCTTCGGCCGATGCGCGGTCTTGAGCTCGGAATTCCAACTCGGAGAGCCGGTCCTTCTCAGACTTCTTGAGCTTCTTTTTGGACTTGAGCGAGGCGATCTCGGCCTCCTCGGCCTCGATTTCCTCGCGGCGCTTCTGCTCCTCGAGCTCTCGGGCTTCTTGTTCGGCTTTCTCTGCAGCCATCCTGGCCTCCTCGTCGCGTTGATCCTTGCGGTCCTGGAGCTCTTTGAGCCGCGCCTTTTCTGTCTTCTTGAGTTTGGCCTTTGACAAGAGATCTGTAAACTCGCTCTCCTCCGCGGCGATCAATGCGTCTTGCGCCGCGGTCTCGTCCACAGGGGCCTCGTCCAAGACCGGGCCACTGTCAATGGCGCCATCAGCCGGTGGCTCGGCGCTGTCGGGGCTCGGTTCAGACGCGGCTTTAGCAGCGGCTTCGTATTCTCGCTGGTCTTTGTTGTCCTGAAGGACCTTCAGGCGTGCCTTTTCCGTCTTTTTGAGCTTGGATTTGGACAGCAACAACTCGAGTTCGAGCTCCTCTTCTTCGATCAGCTTTTTGGCCAGCTCGTCCTCCTCGCTCGGGTTTGGCTCCACGCCATCGCCACTAGCTGGCGTATCGTCGGCTGGCGGTAGGCCTTCGTCGACTGCAGGCTCGATGGTGTCCGGGACGGCGTCAGCGTCTGCCTTGGCTGCGGCATCTTGCTCGCGTCTTTCCTTGTTGTCTTGGAGTTCCTTGAGCCTGGTTTTATCGGCCTTTTTGAGCTTCGATTTGGACAATAACAGTTCGATCTCCATCTCTTCCTCCTCGATGAGCCGGGCTGCCTCGTCCTTCTCGGCCTGTGCGCCGGCGTCGTCAACGGACGTTGGGGCCGTTTCGTCGCTCTTGGATTCGTTGCTGTCTGCGCCGCTCTCTGGGGCGGGTTCTTCCGGCTGAGCGGCTTGAGTTTCACGGGCGCGCAAGTCTGCATTTTCTTCGAGGATTCGGAGTCGCTCCTTGTCAGCGCTTTTCAACTTCTTTTTTGTACGAAGTTGGGCCAGCTCTTCCTCCTCTTCCTGGACGATCCTGGCCTTTTCATCTGCTTCAGCTTGTGCAGCTGCAGCTTGAGCGGCATCGGCTTCTGCCTGCGCGGCGGCGGCCAATTCCTCTGCCTCGCGAGCTCGACTTTCGGCCCGGTCCTCGAGTTCCTGGAGCCTGTCTTTATCCGCTCTTTTCAGCTTCTTTTTGGCCCGGAGCTCGGCCATCTCTTCCTCTTCCTCTTGAGCGATTCGGGCCTTCTCGTCCGCCTCGGCCTGTGCGGCGTCGACTTCGGGCACAGGATCTTCTGGGGCCGTGTCTCCGGATGGAGCGTCGACGGATTCAGGGGCGGCGTCCTCTTGCCCGTTGCTGCCGCCGGCGGCTGCTTTGTCTTCGGCTTCTCGGAGGCGTTCATCGGCGCGGTCTTCCAGAATTCGTAGGCGGTCTTTGTCGGCCTTTTTCAGCTTCTTCTTCCCCCGGAGCTGGGCCATTTCTTCCTCTTCCTCCTGGATGACCCGCGCCTTTTCGTCCGCTTCGGCCTGGGCGGCATCAAAGGGCCCGGAGCCGTCTGCTGGGTCAGCGTCTGCTTGCGGTCCTGCATCATCGAGCAAATCAAGGGTGTCGCCAGTCACGGGCTCGGCGGACTTGGACCCTGCTGCCTCCGCCGCCTTGGCCGCTTCTTCGACCTTGTCGGTCAGGAGTTTAAACCTGTCCGTCTGCTTTTTGGTCAATTTGCTGCCGATATCCTTCTTGGTCTGTAGCTTCAGAAGCTCGGCCTCCTCGTCCGGCGTCAAGGCAGCTTCTGGGGGATTCTCGCTGATTTGAGGAGCATAGGGCGCCTCTGGCGGTGTTTCCTCTTGGAAAGCATCTGCTGCTGGTGATTCGTCTATAACAGCTACCTTGCCCTTTTTCTTTTTCTGCAGAATACATGTGTTAAAACAATATTCAACAAAGAGTAGACTATACCATAATGGAGATAAACCCGGGTAAGACTTACATCCTTTTTCGTCGAGGAGAACCCCCAGATATCATCAGCGGCCTCCTCAACTGGTTTCTCGGGCTCCTTTGGCGGTTCGTCCTTCTTGTTGCCCAGGCTGCCCCAGAAATCATCATCGCCCGTCTTGGGTTTGGGCGCGCCCCAAGTGAACACGCCCACGTCTTTCGTCTCAGGCTTGCTACCCCCTAAGAAGTCGAAGCTGTTCGTGTCCTTGGATCCGTCGTCCTCGTCAAGAGCCCCAAAAGAGAAAGTAGACGTTTCCTTCTTCTTTGGCTTCGGGCGGTTGATGCCCCACGGGCTGTCGTCAACCGGGTACTCCGTTTTCTCTTCTTGAGCAGGCTTGCTGGATTCCGTTTGTGAGCCGCCGAGACCTCCCCAGCCCCAGCTGCCGCCACCCCAGCCCGACGTCCACGCGCTGATGCCCGTTTTCGGCTTGTCGGTCTTTGGGCTCAGACTGAAACCTAGGCTGGTTGCACCCCCCGAATCATCCAATTTGATCTCGTGAAAGTCCGTAGACACCGGTGGTACCTCTGGCAGGCCAAACGCATCGCTGGTCTTGTCCTTGTTCTTCTTCTTCTTGCTGCCGACGGTGGCAAAATCGCCCCAGATGTCATCGGCGTCGGCTTCTGCGGCGGCCTTGTCATCCTCTTTCTTGCCGCCATCGTCGCCTCCACCGTCTCCGCCGGCGCTGCCACCCGCGCCCGCATCGCCGCCATTTGGGTCTTTGTTGCCGTCACCGCCCTCCTCGGTACCGTCGCCGTCTTTCTTGTCGTTCTCGTCTTCGAGCCAGTTGAAGGAGGTTGTCTGTTTCTTCTTTTTCTTTCCTGCGGCTTGAAAGAATCCCTCATCCGAGTCAAAATCGATCAGATCCATGTTCGGGTCAGCTAGTAGCTCGACATCGCGATCACCACGCCGCTGTCGTCTGCCTGCTGGGGAGCTCGGCGAGGGCACGTCACGGTCCTCGGGCCTCAGGCAGCGATGTCGCGCGGATGAATCTGTGAGGGTGAGGTCGTGAAGATCGGCCGGTGGTTTCGAATCGTCCATTGATGGAGCTGGTTGTCGTCGGACACGCGACCATCTCGGCGAGCAGAAGTCGGGGATGATGAGTGGTTTTGTCGGGCAGTCTCTCAAACTGGCGGACTGCTGCGGAAGACATCAGTCAGTATAAGCTTCGGCAAGAACCAGTCGCATGGGTTAACTTGTGGCAGCTGCAAAGCTAGTTTAACGGGGAAGTGCTGAAATTGGGACCGGCTTAGGAGAGAAGCGTTCTCCAACTGCGGCACCAGCACTATGCACACAGGACCGCAACGCGAACCAGATGGTCGGAACGCTCAATCAATAAACGGGCTAGGCCGTGCCCACAACAATACAGAAACGGACGGTGCGCGGTGTCCAAGCAAAGACCTGACATATAACGGAAACTCACGGGTGCGCTCCGCAATTGGATCCACGCCTCAGAGATGAGGCTCAGTCGCGATTGTAGTCGTATATCAACCTGGAACCCCCTTTCACGTCGAATTGTCCCATCGTGGCGAGTGGCCCTACAGAAGTGCTGGGCCGCCTGCCAGCCATCGCTTGCGGCGAAAGCTAGGACCTCGGCCGCGGCCATTCTGGATGTCTGAGGAACTGGGCGCGCGATGTGCTCGGGTTGTAAAACTCATGAGGCTTGCTGCGCAGTGGCGGACCAATTGTAAAGAGCTTGAATCGCAGCGCCGGGTTCGACGAGTTCGGAAGAAGGAGACGTTTCGTGCGCTGCTTGCTGTTGTGGTGGCGCTTCCAGAACCCGTCCCTATATGAAGCGCATGAAGACGGTGATTTTAATAGCTATGGTTGTGCGAGGTCTTTCTTTGGCTCCCGATGGGTCGGTTCATGCAAGGAGGCCGAGAGAGGATGTAAGTAAAGGGGGCCAATGAGTCGTTGCGATCGCAAGGGAGGAGGGCGTCTCTTGCTCGGGATTGGCGGTGGGACAAGCTGTGTAACCCCAGTCACTGTTATTTTTGCATGCCTTCGTAGCTTGCAGTTCAGCTTCGCCGTCGAGGGGTGTCGGAGTAGGACGGCGCTGAAAGCCGTTTCGCTAATAAGGAGCCAGGAGTCGTGGAAAGTTGAAGAACGGCAAAAAGTTCGAGAGTGACGAGTTCATGGGTACAACAGAGGACGAGAAAATGCGCCAGACCCTAATCCCTGGCCGTAGGGATGGACGGCAATGTGTGGCAGGTAGGGGTGTCTCAACCTTCAGAGCGTGTGACGGACAGACCGACAAGGTGAGATCGCACAGGATCGAAGAGTAGCACGATGAAATTCCCGTCACTGTGATGTGCCCTTCTCTCTCCTCTTGAGCTTCCCTACTCTTATTTTCGCGACAAGTGGGGAGAGGCGACGAGAAATCAAATGGCAGAAGTGACAACAGGAGCAGCCATCATGTCATATTGTACATAGTCGGTCTCCCCAAGAGCAGCGCATGACGGGTGAAATAGAGACACCCTCCCAGGAGACTGCAGGGCGCGGGCAGGGCAGGGTGGTTTTTTTTTTTTGATTTGGATGGCTGGGGGGAAGCTTCATTGGCCTCGAGGTGTCGCACCTGCCCAGACAATCTTGGGAACCCTAGTCCGCCCTCTGCACGGCGGACCCATCCAGCGCCGGAGCTTCGGGCAGCCCACCACGGTACTGTGTGTCTGTTGTGTGCCGTGCCTTGCCTATCCTGCTGTGCAAGTACTGTACGTACACCGACCACACCATCTTTTTCTTTTCCCACCACATCCACAATATCCATCATTTCTTCCTCTTGCCCCCAGGTCACCCGATGCAGCCAACCAGCAGCCAGCATGCATGCGGGCGTACAGGCAGGCATGGCGCACTAAGACGTGCCCAGAGTTGAGTATTGAGACAGTACGACTGTTTACCCTCATCTCATTGTTATCGCAATCTCGTCAGGCGGGACCTTCCCTTCCTCCCGTACTGCACTGCACAATCGACCTGGAAGCCGGCAGCGTGCGGGAACTCTGGTCAGGCCGGGTGCGGTCTGGCATTGGCGTGAAGACGGCCACCCTCGTCACACATCTGCACGGTCAGAAAAACCTGTGAAACATCTAGTCCGTTATCAACGCTTTTCCTTTGGCCCTGCCGCTGTTCGCGAAACGAAACGCACCCCGTGCGCAACAGACCCGGCCGACTACAGGACAGTAGTCCCGCTGTCTGTGCTCCCACCGGCCCGCGGATGATCTTGGGGAAGTGGGAACACCGTCATCACCATGGCCCGCCAGCATAGCAGTTTCACCGATCAGGGAGGCAAACAAGCAGATAGGGCTGGCAGGCCACCCAGAACAGCCAAAACATCCTGCGCGTCCCGTCTCTTCTCGCATGTCCGCTGTGGCCATCTATCCACTCTTCCATCCAACCATCCACTGCTGGACGGGAGTCACCGCGCCGTGTCTACCCCTCCAAAGTGGATGCGCGAAGTGGGTTCGACAGGGATTCTAATGGGACACCTACCCTAGCCTAGTATTGTGATCGCATGGCGGGACGGTCCAGTGGGTGAGTGCCATCACGCGGGACCAACGACTTGATCTATTGAGTGATGAAGATGAATCCCCCGTACTCAGTATGCACAAGTACAAGGAGGAGCTGTCTTGGCATATATCCGTTTGTCTGATTATTTATTACGGTTACCGGCCTGTTCCCTTCCGAAACTCGTCTCGGCTGCTGTTGGACTCGAAAGGTGGTATTTGGCAGAGAACCCAGGCCAGCCGCCCGAGGACCCTTCCGGGACTCAGGGAGCTAATCTTGCATGGGGACAATGCGACATCGACACACACCTGCAAACCATTGCCACCTTCTCCTGCAGTGGCCGCCCGGGAGCTAGCATTGACTTGCATTGAATCAGTCGCGCTGGAGCTGCAGCCCAACTGCTGGAAATGGCATCGCTTCACCTTCACCGCCATCTCCTTCCACGCCGCTTGTCGCGCTGGCAGAACAAGAGGGAAGACTAGGAAAGAAATTTCTTCTGGTCTGCTTTTGGGTCTACTGCGCGACATCTGTCGCTTTGATGCAGAAGCAGCAGCAGCAGCTGGGTTCATAGACGAGACACGCTGTCCGCGTCGTGTCGTGTCACGGCTGCCATCGGCGGTGAGGGCTACTCATGCAACGAGACCATATTTGGGTTCCAAGATGGCCAGATGGCTGTCCCGTGAGGTATCAACGCAGGACTTGTGCATGCTAGGCATGTTTGAAGCCAGGCGCGTCCGTCGTTGCCGACTGGCATCGTCAGCTTCACCGCGCTCTCTTTTGTACTGGACTGCGTGCTCGGGGCCCGGAGGCCCTTCCACGTCACAGAGGATCCACCTGCCATGAGTCTTTCGATAATCGATACCCAGTTGATCTCGCAGATCGTTGAGCGGGCTTTACATACATCCAAGCAATAATGTGGAAACTGACGTCCGACGGGACCTGCAGCAATTGGTCGTCAATCGCTCGGCTAAGCATGCTGTATGCGTATTTGAGGGTGGCGGTGGTTGGCCGTTCGTCAAGTGTTTCCGGCTGCTTCGTTATCACCGACGTTGATCCTCCGTGAGAGGGAACCCGACAACACGGACGAGGTCAAGCAAGGTCAAGGTTTCCAGACTTCCGAGGCCCCGGTAGCCGGCCTCGGCTCCGGGCGTTCCCAGATTTGGCCGCTTGATCTGTCTGTACGCCGGCATGAGCAGATACACGCATCTTCACTCGTAGCAGTCCTTCGTCGCCGGATTGAAAGAACGGGGGCACTAGAGCAGCTAGAGCATCTCAACCGATAGCTGGTTCGCCCAATGCACGGCGCAGCAATGGCGGACACCCCCAAATAAAGCCTTCCAGGCCTGTTTCAGGACCCAAAGCTGACGTTACTAGCGCTGTCACCATAACCATTTTCTCAGTGTCAAAGCGGCCGATGGAAGCGGCCGATGCAAGTAGCCGGAATTCTCTTAGAAGTGCTCGCTTCTGACAGCTCACTGTCCAGGTGACATTCAGAGGAGCCGGAGGGACGGACCCACGAGCAAACTCGCCAACTGCGCCGCCCGACAATTCCGTAGGGATATTCAGCCGCAGCAAACACAGCCGCCAACTGGATGCTGAGTCTCGAGCTCAAGCCTACCTCATCATTATCGCATCGCCCTAGCCCATTCAACTCTGTACAGTATTTCTTATTCGGACCATCCTCAGTCTTGCGAGGAACTCACAGGAGGATCTGTTTCACCAAAGCCATCTGCGGTCGGAGGCGTCGCGTCACATCAAAGCCAAGCCAGCCCGGCCACTCATCGAAGCCGTCCTCAAGAACAAGCTTTCATCTACACCAAGAAGGTCTTTGCCTGCATACTTCCCACACATATCCAGCCCTCACTAGCGGTATAGCAGCTACGGGGCTCGGATCATTCAACGCTTCAAGAAGGAATTGGACAGTCATCCGGGGACCGATCTCATTGCAAAACCACTCCAGTCTCACCAGCCGCATATTTCATCAACCTGTTGCCTCACACGACCGACGCCGTGCTACTATCAAGATGCCGGCATCTCACACGATAGAACTGCATTTCCCGCTTCCGGCTTACCTGTCCCCGGATCTCGTCGTGCAGCACCTCCAGGCCTACGAGCCGCTCATAACGCCACACCCGTACCTGCTGCGATACAACCGGCGGCCAGTGGACGAGATCGACGTCACCACAGACCCGTTCTTCACGGAAGACGGCGCCAGGATAGAGTGCTACGAGGTCTTCGAGCGCATTGTCATCGTGCCCCTGCTCGGCTTGTCCAAGGACATCAAGATCCCGGCCATATTCCAGTCCATCCCGGCCGGCGTGCGGTGCCGCGCGGACGCGCAGGGGGGCGTGCGCGTGTGGTCGACCTACGAGGTGCAGCGGCGCGACCTCGGCGCCGAGTTCGAGAGGGCCGGCCGCGCGGACTCGGACGGCGTCGCGAGGGACGACCTCCATGACATTGTCGACGGCGCAGGGCTGAGCTCCCCCGGCGCCGGGGAGTGGGAGCTGGTCGAGTACGCCAGGGTGGAGTGCAATCCGATCGTGAAGCCCTTCGTCGTGAAGAGCTTCGAGGCTGCCCACAAGGACCTCTGCCAGAAGGTCATTGATGAGCTGAAGACGAAGACGAGCAAGGAGCATCTTGCGCAGGTGCAGACACATGCCCAGCGGGTGCCTGTTGTGGTGCCCACTCCGGGAGTGGTGGCTTAGGTTGAAGGATGGTGTAGGATTGAGTAGGGAGGTCCTTTTCGGTCTTCTCTTGGGTGTTTAGGCGTTGGCAAGGAGCGACATGGATGGGATCTTTTGTGTATTGGCCGATACCCGCACTTGTAGGAGCTGGGTGTCACTCGTATGTAAATGAACGTCTTGAATTGTGACTATGTATTATATGAGAGCTGAGTCTCATTTCCAACAGTTTTCTGTGTCTGTGTGCCCCGAGCTCTGGAGCAACATGTTCATGTATACTTCAGGTCGCACCAGGAGAGCTTGTGCGGCCAGAACCTAGTCCTTCGGGACCATTGAGCCATGTCGTGCTGTCCTTCTTGACTCTGAAACATTTAGACCGAATCCGTACCATGCGCTGATAACATGTATTCACACCGTAGGCTCCCGACTAGCCCTCGATATATCTTTAGATGTTAAGTATCCTGTTCGGGATTCCATAATTAGCCTTGAAGTAAACGGCCAAAAGTTATGAGATATCCATGAACTAGTGGAACTCAACATGGATCCACGTGGACGCTGAAAGATCAAGCCTTTTGAGGATCGTCGATATTTTAGCTATAAGAAAATAGCAGGCATACTGAGCTGCGGCGGAAGCATACAGTCACAGTTGTTTTCTGGAGATTTATATGCACTGAAAGCCTCTTACTGAACATCAGCAGCAACAGCATGCTCCATTCTGACTGCTGGTTTCTATTATATAGCATCATCCTGCCAGAGGATTTCCCAAGTGCCCGTAGAAATCAAGCCTAAAGCGTGTAGACCAACTTTGTGCCACTCACCTTCCCCTCCTTCAGGTCATCCAACCCCTTCAGCACTCCCCCCAGGCCCTCCCCGCCCTGGTTGACCGACGTCCGGGCAACCTTGAACTTGCCCTGCGACAGCAGGTCACCGCTGAGCTCCCAAAACGCCGTGCCGAACTTCCTATCCTCGGCCTTGGCGGGGTAATCCCGGCCGTGGCGGCTGAACGCCTCGCCAAAGACCGTGTAGCCCATCGTAGACCCGCCGGAGACGTTGGGGTTCGCGGACTTGAGCGCCTCGTCCTTGACGGGCAGGAGGGCACCGTAGACGCCTGGCTGGGAGTCGCTCATGGCGAGTGCCGAGACCCGGGTGGACTCGGGGGTGGGCGAGCAGTCCCACGCGAGCGTGAGGTGGTTGCTGGCCTGGGCCTTGATCTCCTTGGCCAGCTCCTCGGCCGGGGTGTGGTAGTCAAACACGGCGTCTGCGCCCAGGGACTTCAGGTAGTCGAAGTTGTGGGGCGAGGCGGTGGTGAGGACGGTGAGCCCGGAGAGTTTGGCGAACTGGATGCCCAGGATCCCGGTTGCGGTGCTTCCTCCGTTGATCAGGATGGGCTTGGGCGAGGAGAGTGGGCTTGATGGGAGGGGCAGCTTCAGGAACTGGTACAGCCCCTGGCCGACAGTTGTGATGCCGACCCCGAGAGTGGCAGCTTCTTCGAAGCTGACGTTGTCCGGGATTTGCAACTGTATGTCAGAATCTGCGAGGATGTAGTCTCCAAAGGCACCGCGCTCAGCATCGTTACTATCGCGGCAAATGTTAGAGCCCTTCTTTCTCTGATGAGCCCGTGCCAATTGCCTCGCGATTTGTCACATCAGGTCATACGGTGCGTTTCTAGTCCTCAACGAAGTGACGACCACCAAGTAGACACCTGACAATTGGCCCTCTGGGTCATGGCAGGAGGTAATCAACTCACGCTCCGTGGGCGAATCCGCAGACTCGGTCCCCCTTCTTCAACGGCTTCGTCACACCGGGGCCGACTTCTTCAACCACGCCTGCGTAATCGCACTGCCGCGTGTCAGCCTCTTGTGTGCACACAGAAACCCCGTGGTGTCGTGAACGGAATGAAAGGATTGTCGCGGCACGGCTAAGCTATACATACGCCAATCTTCTTGCCTTCCGCGTCTCCACTGTGAATTGACTTCCAATCCGTTGGGTTCAAACCAACCGCCTTGACCTTGACCAGAATGTGTCCCTCGCGAATGCTGGGGACGGGCACTTCCTTGACGGCAGCTTGCCCCTTTCCGGTACAGATGATGGCCCTGCTGGTGGTTGCCATTGTGCCTGTAGAAAGGGTTTAACAGTAGATGCAGAACCTAGGCTTGACGATGAGGTGACGGGAGCATCGATTAAAGTATCTCGGACTAGCTTGGGGGTATCTCCGCTCGTTGGATGTGACGCAATCTATCATCCCAAGGACCTTCAATGTTTCAACGTCACGCCGATTACAAACCTTTTGTTGTCCATATACTGCGTGGTTCGATTACAAATCCAGCCCGTTTATCCGTAAGAATATCCGCTTCCGACATCAGCACCTGCTCACCCTTCCTACCTGCAACCCTCCAAAAAAGACTATAGATTACTCTGCAGAATCACTGTTCGGGGCCTCTGGCTTTGGAAGGGTCAGGGTAGCATTTAAGTTTGGATTCGAGTCTGCCTTCAATAATTATGAGATGTTGTGTTGAATTTTGTAGCAACCTATGGTGGAAGTATACAAGTAGGATTGAGTGGAGGACTGATGATGGTTTTATTGTAATACTTCAAGCCTTCCTTGCAACACATGTCAATGCATCCCACCTTACCTGATAATCTATTATGCCGGGATCATTAATATCACTTCGCGAAGAAATTCCTGCATCGTCTAGGGAATTCTTTTTCAATACTCATCATTTGCCTGATGGTCTTGTTTGTGTTGCTTGAGTAAAGGAAACGCAAGCACCATTCGTTTCTTGCTGCATCGACCCGAATGGAAACCTACTAATGATAACTGGAGACTTCGGACTACTTCAAGATTTACCTGAGAGCTAGTTGAGGGTGACTTCTGCTATCAAAGATCAGTCGTCTTGACGAGTGCTAACTGGATGTCCGCGCGTGTACATTCAAGCGTAAACGTTGCCATGCACACAGACTTAGTCGTTCGGGTCGCAGAGAGCAGTGGATTCCATAGAGACCTGAGGGCAGATTTATGCTATCAATTCTATACGCCAACAAATAATACATGTGAGCTCAAACCCATGTCTAATTCACTGAATATTCTGCAAGATGCCCGGCTGCAGCTTCTCCAGCTTCCCGCAGAGCAGATCCCACACATACGCGGCTCTTTCATCGTCCAAGGCAATAGGAGCACACGCTTGCACAGCGCCAGCCCGCAGGTACTTTCCATGAGTCTGTTTCCCCGCCGACGCAGCCTGGACCACCAAGCGGGAGCCCTCCTCAGCGGTGCGAGCTGCAAGGAATTCGAAGATTTTGAAGAGAACCCTGGCCACACCTCTGATATTTCCAGAGAGCCCCGTTTTACAAAAACACGGGTCAACAGAGTTGATGACAATTGTGGCCGGATCGACGGCGCCGCACAGCTTTCTGATGATGTACAATTGCAGTAGCTTTGAGAGGTTGTATCTTGACGGCGCGATTTCGGTCAGAGCGGTCTCAGAGCTAAGAAATATGAGAGGCGAGAAACTTACTGATTCATCTTATTTACGTGCGACTCATCTTTGAACCAGGTGAAGATGTCTCGCCCATGTTTCTCGGGATACTTGGCCACGTCGTACAGGGCTGATGTTACAATGGCCATATTCGGCGTGGTCGTGTATTCTTTGGCCGTCTTCTTGAGCTTCGGTATTAGTTGTATCGCGAGCAAGAAAGTGCCGATGTCGTTGACAGCGAGGGTGCGCTCGGTGTCATAGACGACCTTAAATCCGGCGGAGCCGATGCCAGCATTGCTGATAAAGCTGTCTAATCGAGGCAGGGCATTGGTCTGATCAACGAACTTCTTGATCGACGAGGGTGACTCGAGATCGAGCTCCCACACCTCAATTACATCAGGAGAGCAGTGTAGAAGGGCCTCGACCTCTGATTTGGCCTCGTTGCCCCGGGCCAAGCTGCGGCAGCCAAATATGACCTTGCTGGCGCCGAGACGGATGATGTGTTTGGCGATCTCCTTGCCCAGGCCTCCATTGGCGCCGGTGACGATGACGGTCTTGTGGGCGAAGGAGGCCGAGGGCTTTGGGATGTCAAGGATGAATTGGGTGTGGATGAAATCGCCGAATGAAGGCATTGTGATGGTGAAAACGGTCGTGGTTCTTTCTGTCCGAGTTCCACCCACAACTGGCCCTTCTGCTCCATTTTTATGTATCTCTCAGTCTGGCTGTAATCGCTGAAAGGGGCTATCGGCGATACACGGTGTGTAAGTCCATGGACTTATACGGGCACTCGCGGCGGCGGGACAGGCCGTCAGCTCCGCGGACTTAAGATAAATACACCTAACCCACGTCCAGAACTTCCTGCTGCGACTTCTTTCCTCCTTGGATTGCACTCGAGCCTTACCAGCCGCAACCCCGCCCCTCATCGCCGAGACCAATATGGATTCCCAAGGGGATGCGCTGTCCGCCCAGTCTGCGGACCAATCTCGCAGGCGTCACCGGCGGTCCCGCGTCCCGCTGTCGTGTGACCCCTGTCGCGCCAGAAAGTAAGTAGACCTAAGTATAATCACCGGCCCAATGTTACGAGCGACCTGCTCACGGGAGCCGATTGCTGATAGACCTTCAGACTTAAGTGTAATCGCGAGAAGCCCTGCCAGAATTGCACAGCACGGAATGAGCAGGCATCCTGTAAATTCCGCGGATCTAAGCACAGTGCGGCCCCAATTGCCTCCCGCGGCAATAACGGGGATGAGATGCGTCAACGAATCGATCACCTGGAGGGCCTGGTCAAGAAACTGATCGCCCAGCGCCAGAACACGTCGTCGCCCAGGGGTAACATTGCCGAGACAACTGGAATCCCCAAAGCTGAAGCCGGACCAGCATCTGATGTCCAGGGAACTGCTGGTGCCAGCAAAATGCTGGTAGATGGTGTTCGTTCTATGTATCTGAACGGAGACGACTGGCAAGTTGTGCTCCAAGAGGTATTATAGTTCTTCCTAGTCTGGCATTCTCGAGTCTCCTAGTCTGAGCACTTGACCAAACCTATCATGACTGCTGCCCTTTTCTTTTCGTGCTTACCTTTCCTTTTCATTTTCCTCTTTTCTCGGTCTGTAAGGCCACCTGCAAGGCCCTGGCCATCACGAACCGCACGTCACAAAACATAGGAATACGCGGCTAAATTCGGTCAGTCAGATCAACCAGCTGAAGCGAACATGGAGCCAAGGGCAAGGCGGTGATAGCGAATATCGGTTGCCTCCCGCGCCCTCATACACGGTCGACGGGTCGAGCCTGCTCTTCAACCAGGTCAAGCCAATTGAGCATATGGAGGTTCTATCCGCTCTGCCACCCAAGGCTGAGGTCGATCAGCTTGTGCGCAAATTCTTTGACCGGAATAGCTTCCCTATAAGTGTCCCCCGTAAGTCACTCATCATGTGCCGGGATGTGCGCCGCTCACAAATCACAGCTATACTTCATGAACCAACTTTCATGCGCGAGGTATGTTCTACAGCTGGATGTATTCTCTCTCTGCTCTTCTTCACCAACGTAACTAATTGAGACAACTGCTGTACTAGTACAATGAACACTGGAAGAATCCATCGCATACTAATTTGATATGGCTGGGCCTCCTATTCTCCATTCTAGGTATCACCATGCTGGCGTATTACCAACACGGAGAGCCACCACAGTATGAAGGTATCTCGGAGTCGCTCTTCCAGATGTACCGGATGCGCACAGCACAGTGTCTGCTGAGCGGTGACATTTCCAAGTGCCTGCCGTACACCGTGGAGACCTTGCGCTTTAATGCCACCGCCGAGCTGAATCGAAAGGACGACAATCGCCGAGGGCTTTGGATAATGACCGGTGTCGTTGTCCGCACAGCCATCAATATGGGCTATCAACTTGACCCTTCCAACTCCCCGGGCATCTCTGCGCTGCAAGCGGAATATCGACGACGCACATGGCTGTCTATAATCAGTATGGATAACATGGCTTCTTTCTTGGGCGGCTTCCCTCGGATGGGATCAGCAATACACTCGGACACCAAAGAGCCCCGCAACCTGCATGACTGGGAGTTATCCGAGGAAACTACCATTCCGCCTGCGTCTCGACCACTCACCGAGCCTACGCCAGCGACGTACCTCATTGCCAAGGGGCGTCTATTCTGTGCGTTAGGGCGCGTTGCCGATGTCAACAGTGCTCCAGGTCCAGTCTCGTATGAGACCGTGCTCGAGGTAGACCGCGCCGTGCATGATGCGTTTCAGAGTATTCCTCCGCATATGCAAGTGGCTTCCATGATCAACGATCACAGAAGCCCCTTCCCATCGTCATATTTCTCCAATCTGAGTCTGCTATGCATGTACCACAAAGGAATGTGCATGCTGCATCGAAAATTCCTGGCCAAGGGGAGAGCCGAGCGTCGTTTCGAGGTCTCTAGAGACAGATGCATCACGTCTGCGCTGGCGCTGCTGGATTTCCAGCTCGGCCTACAGCCGTCATTCTACAGGATATCGCAGACCCGCCAGATGCTGACCCTTGGAGCGATGATTCTGTTCCTAGAGCTGGAGCTGAGACGACAGACCCCCGATGCAGAGGCGTCTCCGGACAGCGGCTCCCTTTTGCAGGCGCTGGAGCGGTCATGTTCCCGGTGGGCAGAGGCGGTGGGAGTCTGTGATGACGCTCGAAGAGTTCATCGGTTTCTGGAGGGTATGCTTGCGAGCTTTCATCCTGGCAGTGAGACCGGGTCTTCTCAGACGATATCGCCCGAAGCACCGGTTGAGTCTTCGAGGCTAAGCTTGCAGTTCAACCCATCCACTTGGCACATTCCGTCAGAGGACGACTTGTCCACTATGGAGTTTGACTGGGTTAGTATACCATTTCTCAGACTAAAAGTACTCTTTATTAACAATCACAGGCCACATGGGATGCTTTTATCGAGGAGGCGAGTCAACAACAAGGGCCTACATACTAGAAAGTCTGTGAAGGCAAGGTGTGTGGTTAGGACATGTTGCTGTATTGGAGTTCTAGTATGCGTTCCGTGTTTCCTTTTGGACCTCAACGTAAATCAAGATTCTCCAGAAGTCGTCATAACTCCTCGGCGACACCCAGCCTCCCTCGTTGCCGTACCTATTCTCTACGCCGATGCAGCCTACTCCATCCCAGAAGTGGGTTAAATCAGGTCCCCAACCAGGCTCATGATCGTTGTGACAAGCATATGATTCCATCATCGATCACAGCCAACTCAGAGCAACAGTCGCCCGAGCCCCGCCTGCGAGCGCATCAGGCCCTCGATTTCCTCCGCCTCGCGCCCTGATCACGGGGTCGCTAGGCGCCTGCTGGCGCGCAATATCTATCAGTGATTTAGCGGCGTCCATGTTGCCCAGCACGCGCTCTATCGACGCGGCCCGGAACGACAGCTTCGCCATCTGCTGCAAGCTCGGGCGCCAGTCCGTCGTGAAGTTGTCCCCGGCTGCCATGGCCGACTTGACATGGTAGTCGGCCTTGCCGCAGTAGTACTGGATCTTGGTCTGGTCGGACTCTGACGTCTCCCGGAGGAAGACTAGGATGTTCTGCGCGCAGTTGAGGCATATTTGGGTAATACGTCTCGGCAATCGCATGCAGGAAGCTCTGGCCCCCTTTGGCAGCGACTTGTGGCCAGATATTGCCGTTCCTGATGAGCGCGACCTTGATGTAGCCTGTAGTGTATGCTTCCGCAGCCTTGTGGAACTCTTTCTGCCTGAAGAAGCGGTTGCCTAGATCTTTGCTTCGTTTGAACTCGGCTACGACCTCTTCGGGCTCGGGAAGATTCTCTTCGGCAACGGCCTTTTTCACAGACTCTGCCAAAGAGGCGGAGAGGTTGCCATCAACCGAGAAGTGGGAGAACCCGCGCAAATGGTGGCGATAGGGCTGAAGGAGCCGCTCCTGGTTCTTCTCGCCCATGAAACCCGGGCTCAGAGTAGAGTCAAAGGGATTGTGAATAGTCAGGTTATGTTTGGTCAGACTGCCGAACCCCCTGACCATTAAAGTACCCCTGGTGGCAAGGGCTTCGCAGAATAGATCGAGGTCACGATGCAGGATGACCAGGTCAACGTCGGTGTCTTGCTTAGGCCCAGGGAAATCCTCAGGCCGATCGGACGTCAATTCGATAGAGTGTGTCATGACGTAGCCCTGGAATCTGTCCCTTGAGAGTGCAGTAGTGCGAACAATGGGAATTTGCCTGGCGAGCAAGAAACCCTTGATCACTTGGCCCACGCCTCGAGCGCGGATTCGAATGAACTGATTGCCGCGGAGCATGACATCTCTAGCTTCCGCGTGGACTTGGCGGCTGGCCTGGAGGATTTGCATCTCGCTCGGATGTGTGATCGTTGCCATGCCTTCAGGTAGCCAGAGAAGGTCGGCCTGCTCGACACGGCGCAGCTTCGCAGGCGGAGGCTCGCAGAGAACAACATGGTAAATCGCGTTCCGGACTTCGATCGGGAGGTCGAGAAAACGGAATGGTTTACCAGCGGTGCCCGCCATGATGTTGCCTTGACAGAGGAAGTGACCGTGTCTTCATGCCAGATTCTCGAAACCAGCTTTATTGATACTGTGTAATGAGTTATAGAACAGGGAGGAAGCTTATGGAAGCTTATCTTATCTCGTGGTCAGTCTAACAGGGCTTACCTCAGCAGGTTCCGTTTATTGCTGAGCTGGCTTATACATTCAGCGACCTCAGACAGCAACACAGAGTTCATTTCAGATGCAATCGGAGTAAGCTCAACCAGCTTTCGAGCGACAAGAAAGAAAAAGCACGACAGGTTTGATACTCCGCACTTCGCAGTCTGGGTATTACGACTCAACTAATAGCTGTTGGTATCTGCACACGAAAAATCAAAATCGACGTGAAATTGCGAGATGAATCGCAAACAAGAACGAAAGTAATTTGAGCTCTCCTCAAACCCGGTTGGACGGTAAACCTAGGCAACTTGTTTCTCGAGGTGCTGTTCCACAACACCGTCCTTGATCTCGCCCACGTCACCGATCTGACCCATAGATGGTGTCCAATGGAGCATGACCTTGTCCCCGGTGAACAACTTGTCAATTTGCTCCAATGTTAGGTTCTGCGTCTCTGGGTAGAAGAAGTAGATCAAGGGCAAGAAGCAGAAGTTGAAGACTATGAAGAGGTCAGTTTTGATTGCATCGAAAAAGTAGATCTTGCCTGTCCAGGCGTGGATATACATACTGCAGAAATAGATATATGTGCGATAACCAATGTTGCCGATACTAACTGGTGTGATCTCGACCACCAGGAACGTGAAGATCCAGTTAGATGCTGACGCAAGTGCAGCCGCTCTCTGACGAATCGCGAGCGGGGCATATTCGGCAGGAACTATATCGAGGTCAGATCTCAGGAACAATGACCAAGGTGATACACACAGATTTCAAAGAGCGGAGTGAAGACTTACGCAACCAGGGAATAGCCAGCAATCCGATCGCGAAAAAGAAGTTGAACGCGAACAGCATGATAGACGCGACAATTCCAGCTGAAGCAGAGCCATCAGACACGGTCCCGGCTAGGATTGCCATGCAGCAGCCTTGTCCGGCAGCGGCGAAGAGCATAAGCTTCCGCCTGCCCAGCCTGTCGATGACCCAGATCGGGATGAGTGAGCTCAGGAAATAGGCGACGCCGTTGAATCCAGCCAGCAACATGGACATGTTGTGGGTGAGCCCGACGGACTGCTGGACTGTTTATAGATGTTAGCTGATGAGCGATCGGAAAAGATATGCCTCTGAAGTGATGGCCCAGTTTTATAAAGCTACCGAGCATCGTGCAAGCTCTCGATGATATGTTCAAAAATGGGAGGCAAGGTGGGAGAAAATGCAAGGAGAAGACGCGTGGTTGCTTACAGATGACAGGTGCATAGTAGGTAATCAGATTAATCCCTCTGAATAGCAATGGTGATTAGCAATTGTACAAGGCCCAGTGGCGGAAAGGAGGAGAGAAAAATATGATAGGAATCGCATACGAGAGTTGTTGCATAAACTGGCCTCCAATACCCAGCATTGTTCGATAGAAGAACTTTTGGGGCCCATTCTTAAGCAGTGCTTTGTACGAGCTGCCATGGGCTGCCTCTCTCTCCTCGTCGATTGCGTGTTGGATCTCTGCCATCTCCCTGTTGACAAAATCCTCATCGGGTCTCTTGTTGGGGAGCAGGGCTACAAGGATCTGGCGTGCGTCGTCGTGTCGGTCTTGCGCAATGAGCTGTGTCCCCCGAGGATTGGTTAACTTTTGAAAGCCCCATAGCATTGAAAGATAGATTATTAACTTACCCATCGTGGTGACTCTGGCAAGACTAGCATCAGGGCAATTGTGAGAACAGCGAAAAGACATTGCAAAGCCAATGGGAATCTAAACTGTGCGTGGTTGTTGACGTAGGACATTCCATCTGTGAGGAGACCCTTGTTAGCGATTTTCAAAACAACATTGAATATGAGCAAGGTAGAGGGGTTGTTAAATGAGGTTGCTACTGAGATGACCCTGGTGGACGATCCGGCTTGGAGGTAGCATATGGTAAATAGAAATCATGGCGCGATGTGCACTTACAGTCCACCCAGTAAGCCGTCATAACACCGAAAATGTTGATGGCGAGCTCAATGCTAAGCTATAACACGTCGTCAGTGGAGTGTTCATGTAAAGAGCAAGGCGCGGTGGTTGACTGTCAAGCTTACCCCTTTACCACGCTTATCCGCCTGCATCAATTCGGAATGCCACACAGCTTCCGGGAGTGTCAGCCCATCAAAGGGATCAATTAAAGAAACATCAGGAGATGCCCAGACGCAGAATGAACTCACGGATGGTACTAGTGTTCATTCCATTCCCGAGACCCGCCACAATACGTCCAACGATCATGTGCGGGATCGAGTATGCAGAGGCTTGAAGCGCCCCGCCAACACATAGTATAAGACACCCAATCAATATCGTCATCCGGCGGCCGAGCTTCTCTCCGAAGACGAGGGCGAGGATGGAACCGAAGAAGCACCCGATCTCGTAAATGGCGACGACGGTGCCCTGAAGGGATGCGCTGCCGTTGGAGCCCTCGTTGGTGTCGATCTCGGGGAACTGGGCTGTGAAGGCTGAGCCTGTCAACAGCCCTGACATGACGCCCTGGTCATATCCGACTACCCATTGTATGAAGTTAGCAGCTGCTCGTCCGGGAAGTATTCGGGGACCCCTAGAGGCAAGGCTGTCCGGCTCTCTGATTGTACATCTGACGATACCAGCCTAATGGCGGCGAAGGGTCGATAGGTTGAAGATATCTTCACGTACACAATAGGAAGCCGGAGCCAGCTGCAGCTGTAATTGCCCAATGCAACGGGCGGCCTGTGAGGATTGTCATTTTGATGGGGTTTGATGCACGAGAGAGGAGGACGATAACAGCGTTGGAGTCAAGGATACAGTCGTTGTTATATATTTTTGCTTAAACCCGCCGGTCAGGCCCGTGTCATTGCAACTGAAGCGAACGCGCCAACTCTTGGATACCCCAGCTGTGCGTAAATAACCCGGGGATCGTGGGGAATAACATCACCTACACAACCATCTTTCCCCAACACTTGGCTTCAAATTCTAATTAGATTCCTGAAATGGCCTTAGGAAGAAGCCGCGTCCTATGTTTGATGACGACGTTGGTATCCATCCTCATCGGGCCATTTCTCCCTCAGAGCAAACTTCGACGCCAGGGGGGTAGGGGTGTTTGATCCACTGCCGCAGGTCCCCCCTGCCGGTTTTCCTGGGGTCCCCGTAACAAGTTTTCCGGGGAAGAGGAGGGCCCATGACCCCCCTGGGGCAGAGTCATGCAGGCCGCGCTTCGACTTTCCTAGTTCGCCGTTGGGGCAGGGCCGTGACCGAGCGGGGGCTTTCTCGTCCAAGTTCGAGGCGGGCAGATTCTTTTTCCACGTGTTTGCATTAGTTGCTCTCATTAGACGCGAAAAACATCAGGCTCAAGTGAAACTGGTGTACGTCGAGGCATTTTTGAATGGCCAAACAGGCAGCGTGAAGCGATAGTGACCCGTTTCTAGGTCCCGCCGCCGGGCATCTTGACAACGTCTCCAGATGGAGCAAAATGCTTAGACCTACGATTCTAGGAACGGACGGATACCGAATGCTCCAACATGTGGTCTGCGGCGAAAGCCATGGTCGCCGATACTGATATGACGATTGCTTCTAGAAAATCGCTCTCCTCCTGCAATTTTCTCCCGTAGTAAAGATCTCCTCTTCCATTCTCTTCCGGTCAAACATAGATTGTCGTCATTCCGTCGCTTTTGCAGCTTGCTCGCTTTAGATTTTCAGATCACATTCCCTCTCAACCGCCTCTCAACACCCACAACTCTCGTCCTCCCCCACATATTCGTAAACAATGGGTGAACAAATTGCCGACTTGAAGCTCCCGGCGGACGTCCCAGAGTCCAGGGTGACACCAGCAAACGTCTCACACACAGCCCTGTTCTCGCTCAGCGGCAAGACCATCGCGATCACGGGCGGCGGCCGCGGCGTGGGCATCACACTCGCAGCAGCCGTCCTCGAGGCCGGCGGCAACGTCGCCTGCCTGGACATCCTCGAGACCCCCGCCGCGGAGGAGTGGGCCGCGATCGAGAAGACGGCCAAGACATCCGGGCTCAAGCTCTCGTACCGCCGCGTCGACATCACGGACGAGGAGAACCTCTCGAGCATCCTCGACGAGATAGAGAGGGAGGGGCGGGAGGCGGGCGCCCCGTTCTACGGCACGATCGCGTGTGCCGGCATCCAGCAGAAGACCCCGGCCATCGAGTACCCCAAGTCCGACTTCGAGCGCATGTTCAGCGTCAACGTCACTGGTACCTTCCTGACGGCGAAGCACACTGCGAGGATCTTGATCAAGAACGGTGTGAAGGGCAGCATTGTGATGATCGCCTCCATGTCTGGTGACATTGCCAACCGCGTAAGTCTGCCCCTCCATCACTTCATTCGGCCTGAGTGTATTTCGACAAAAGCTGACACCTTTCCTTCCAGGGATTGACATGCTCCGCCTACAACAGCAGCAAAGCCGCAGTGCAGCAACTGTGCCGGTCCGTAGCGCAGGAGTGGGGCCAATACGGCATCAGGGTGAACACCCTGTCCCCAGGGTACATAAGAACGGCCATGACAGACGCGCTCCTGGCCACGAACCCCGACTTGGAGAAGGTCTGGATGGCCGGTGCGCTCCTCGGGAGGCTCGGGGCGCCTGAGGACTTCAAGGCCCCGGCCGTGTTCCTCCTGTCGCAAGGCAGCTCGTTCATGACGGGCGCGGACCTCAGGGTGGATGGGGGCCACTGTGCCTCTGCATAGGTAGGCAGGGCTGTGTTAGGAAAAATGCCAAACAAATTCGTGAACAGTTTCAGCCTCCGTCGAGGTCTCCCCAGAATGTCCTGAGGTCATCGGCCCGCCACTTTGCACCCCAGCCGGTCTCCTTCTCGATGAGCTCGTACGTCTTGAGTATCGCGCGGTGCTCGGACGGGTTGGACATGATGCGCCCTGCGATCCAGAGAGGCTGGATGCAGTTGGTCCAGCAGGCGTGGTCGGTGTTCGATATCGAGATGGCGCAGATCCTACGAGCGTGCCAGAGCATGGACCGAGTCCCGGGCGGCAACCTCGTGCTTCGGGGGATTCTCTGCAGCATGAGGAGAGCGGCGGTATGGTACATTTGGTTCCCAGATATGGCGGACGGGTTTGAGAATAGAAGGATTGGGAATGGTCGTTCAGGCTCAGTTTCTAACTGTGGTAGGTCGAGAACAGGTCTCATCTCCGGCGGACGCAAGTGGTACCAGTCGTTGAGACGTGAGAAGAGACTGCTCCAGCGACGGTTGAAATCCTCGCGGCCTTTTGTGCTGTCGGCAAATAGGTCCATGGCCTCGGCACAGAGGTGTACGATGTAATTGGCGTACATATCAAATCCAGCAGCACTGTAGGCGAGGTGAACATTTTCGTTCGCAGCTGGCTTCGGCAACCAACTCTCGATCGGAATAATAGTCCGCTCGTCTGAGATGAGTGCGCCGCATAGATCTGCAAATCGAAACACATTGGTGAGAAGCCCGAATCGTCAGAGATTTGAAAGGTAGGTCATCGAGGACTCACCCATGCGTGCGAAGCACCAGAAGAGAGCCTGCTCCAATCCTCCAGAGAATCCATTGATGCCCAGTGACAGGATCAGGCTGGCGGAGCCATCAAGATGTCGACGCCACATTTTTGGAGAGCCTGGATCCAAGTCAATTATGAGAACCGGAAGGCCAACTCGGGCCAGCATCGTCTGAGACTTACAGCTCATCATCTCAAGAACACAGAGAACAACACATGATGCCACCACAGTCGTCGTCCTTGTCTGAAGCTGCGGAACAAGCTGGTGGATAGCTTCCTGGTAGAGTCCTAGGCTTGTGGCAGGCCGGTCTGGAAACTTTCGCTCCAGCTGCCGAGCTGAGAGTGCAAGCATCGAGAATCGCAAGTGGGGATGTTCTCGTGCCAGTGGTGGCAAGACGCGAACGAACCGTCGCTGGTTGTCAAATTTGTCAAGCTGAATGAGATGTGAGTCAAGCGAACTATTTGTCTGCTGAAGTTGATGGTCGATATGAGAGGCACACTAACCCATGGACCGATTTCGTCCACCCAGTTCTTCCATAATTCAAATTCCTCCTGTTGTGACAACTCGCTGAGCCTCGGAGTTGGCCGGGATAAAGCCACATCGTCTAGCGCCGATACCGTGTCTGTGTGAGTATTCGGCAGTAAACATTCCTGGACGGACTGACCTTCAGCTCTTGTCGCTGCGTGCGCTGTCTCTGGGCACTCTGGCGTCCCGCATCGACTGGGCAAAGCCGAGCGAGCCGCATAGAAAGTATGACTTCTCAAAGCAGAGTGGAATTCCAGGTACGCCGAGCCAGGCAAGAAGATGCCATCGTGTGACATGCCCTCGGAGCCCGGGCTGGCGATACTAGGGTTGCTGCTATGGGTTGCCGGGTGCAGCAGCGCATTCTGCGATGCATCGACATTAGGAGGCGCCCCGGGGGCTGAGCACCCCAAGTCAAGCAATTGGGCGGCTGCAGAATGAATCATGTCGTACGAATGCGGCGACGGGATATTTGCTGAGCCCTCAAGGTTTGGAAGATGGCCTGGGGCCGGCGTCACAGGTGCTGAGGCAGCATCAGTGGCATGTCCCGAGCTGCCTGCGGCGGTCAGCGAAGCCACGTCGTCCCTCTGGCCAGACAGCGTGGAAACTGTGCTGTCTTTCGAAGATTTCGGGGATCCACGCCGTTGTTGATCCCTCAGGTCCTGCTGATCTGACGTCCTGCGAGGTTGGCCTGCGGCAGGGCGGCCGCCGTTGGCGGACATGTTGGGCTCATTCCAATAGTCTCGGATGACCTCGCTGGTCACATCAATGATCTAGCATAATTAGAACAACATAGTGCCGTGGGGCCTTTTTTTGTCGAAGCCTTACCTCAACATCTCCGCAGCTTTGGCTTTTCGCCGTCTCAAGCATCGACGGGTGGCTGGCGGGAATGGACTCGACATGCTCAGGGCGGAACACAAGCCGCACGCCCCATTCGCACGGCACTCCCCTCAGCGAGCACTCCTTACAGGATGGTCTCTGCTCGTCGCCTGCTCACCATTGCATCTTGTTAGAGAGGGAGAAGGAGACGTCATGGCTTGTGGATATATGGCTGGTCCATTCACGCCGTGCTGGGAGACTGTGTGGCGATATAACATGGCTGCGGTGTGCCAACTCACATTTCTTGCGCTTACGCCTGCAGTTCCAGCACCCGGTTCGCGTTCGCACGTGCTTGGCTCGCGGGGTGCGACGAGTCTGTGCCGGACGAGGATCGCGGGCCCTCCCCCTCGCCCCTCGGGGGTGAGGCCGAGGCGCTGTCGTCGGTCATTGTCACCTGCGGGACTGGTCCTGTTCCGCCTCAAAGCAGTCTGTGGAGACTGTCGAGTCGGCGGTGGCTTCAAGAGCCCCCCTCCCATCGTGTGCAATGACAGTGCCGGACCCGTGACGGAGAGCCGAGTAAGGTGCGTTACAGTGACCTCCGCACTGTCGCGATGAATCGCCGACGTCCCCGCCACCTGGCAGCCTGGTGAACCACCTGGTCGACGGCTGTATGCTGGTCGGGATATAAACCTTGGAAGAGAGCAAGACACTCGGATAATAGCAGGCCGGCTTGCCTGATCCGTCGGGTTGGGTATGGGTCGAAGTTTGGTGCCGCATGACAGAATTGCCTCTAGCCTTCTCATGGATTGGGTCGCATTGGGCAAACCATGGTTTGGTGGGGTGCCTGGGGTCATGACTCTCCTCCACTCGAAACCGCTGGGCGAGGGAGGGAAAGCCGTGGCGCTCCATAGCAGCGCTTGGGACTTCCTGAAATGCAAAGAAGGCAAACCGAGACGTGCGACGAAGGCACCGTCGTGGCTCTTCTCCAACGTCATTTGGCCACCCTCGAACAGTAGACATCGTGGGGAGCATAGACCACGATATATGAACGACGGGTCCTCATCATGGCCGGCCAAGTGATGCGGTCCTTGCCATGGACAAGACACATAACTCTCCCACTCCAAAATTTCCAAAATGGCTCCTTCAGTAGTAGATGTCCCCGCAGACACAGTCTCCCATCTGCCGCTGAAACTCTCAGCGGACGGTGACAAGACAAATGGAGACGGTGCCGGCATTTCGACACTCGAGCTCAAAGATGTTGCTAAGACGGATTTTGTCCTCCGCACCTTCAGATGTCTTATTGCCGACCTTTGTGAGCAATTCAAGGGCGGCCACCCTGGGTATGTATCTTGTGTGTCCCAATTCTCATGAGTGGGTGATGGCTGATGAGCGGCGGTTTCCGCAGGAGTGCCATGGGAATGGCAGCCATTGGTGTCGCATTGTGGAAATATGTGATGCGTTACTCGCCAGAGAATCCAAACTTTTTCAACCGAGATAGATTCGTTCTTTCAAATGGTGACTTCTTTCATCTCCCGACCCTGTCTTTCGTCCAGGGTAGAGATGCTGAAAAATAACACGTCTAGGCCACTGTTGCTTATGGCAGTATACGTTCATGCACCTTGTCGGTTACAAGAACATGACGCTTGACCAGCTCAAGTCCTATCACTCAGACCGGACCGACTCCATCTGCCCAGGACACCCCGAGATCGAACACGAGGGCATCGAGGTGACGACGGGACCCCTTGGCCAGGGCATCGCGAATGCCGTGGGCATGGCCATGGCCACCAAGCAGCTGGCTGCCACATACAACAAGCCCGGCTTCCCGGTGGTAGAGAACACGACATGGTGCATGATCGGCGACGCATGCCTGCAGGAGGGCGTCGGGCTCGAGGCCATCTCGCTGGCCGGCCACTTCAGGCTGAACAACCTCGTCGTCGTCTACGACAACAACCAGATCACCTGCGACGGCTCCGTGGACCTGACCAACACCGAGGACGTCAACGCCAAGATGACGGCGTGCGGCTGGAGGGTCATTGATGTCCTGGATGGCAACCACGACGTCGAGGGCATCGTCTCCGCCCTGGTCGAGGCGCGCGCCAGCACCGACAAGCCCGTCTTCATCAACATCCGCACCGTCATCGGAATCGGCAGCAAGGTGGCCGGCGACGCGAAGGCGCACGGTGCCGCCTTCGGCGCGGAGGACGTCGCCAGCATCAAGAGGAACGCGGGCTTCGACCCCGAGAAGCACTTCCAGATCTCACAGGAGGTGTACGACTATTTCGCCGAGATCAGGACCCGGGGCCGTGGCTTTGAGAAGGAGTGGGACGAGCTGGTCTCTTCGTACGGGGGCTCATACCCAGACCTGGCCAAAGAGTTCGGGCATCGCGTGCGCGGCGAGTTCCCGGAGGACTGGACAAAGCTCATTCCCAAGAAGGAGGAATTCCCAACAGCACCCACAGCCTCGAGGAAATCCGCAGGGCTCGTCTGCAACCCCCTGGCTGCCAAGTTGAGCAGCTTCACGGTCGGGACGGCCGACCTGAGCCCTTCGGTCAACATGATCTGGAAGGGCAAGACAGACTTCCAGCACCCTGACCTCCGGCCCACGTGCGGCATCACCGGCGACTACTCGGGCCGCTACATCCACTGGGGCGTCCGCGAGCACGCCATGGCGGCCATCTCCAACGGCCTCGCCGCCTACAGCAAGGGCACCATCCTGCCCGTGACATCGTCCTTCTTCATCTTCTACATCTACGCGGCGCCGGGCATCCGCATGGGCGCCCTCCAGCGCCTGCAGGCGATCCACATCGGCACGCACGACAGCATCGGCACGGGCGAGGACGGCCCCACCCACCAGCCCGTCGAGCTGGCCGCCCTGTACCGCGCCATGCCCAACCTGCTGTACATCCGCCCCTGCGACAGCGAGGAGGTCGCGGGCGCCTTCGTGGCCGCCCTCTCGGCCCGCGACACCCCCTCCATCATCTCCCTCTCCCGCCAGAACCTCGAGCAGTACCCCCAGCACTCGTCGCGCGACGGCGTCCTCCGCGGCGCCTACCCCTTCATCGAGGACGAGGAAGCCGACGTGACCCTCATCGGCGTCGGCGCCGAGATGGCCTTTGCCGTGCGCGCCCGCGACGCCCTCCGCGACCGCCACGGCCTGCGCGCCCGCGTCGTCAGCTTCCCCTGCCAGCGCCTCTTCGACGCCCAGCCGCGCGAGTACAGGGCGGATGTGCTGCGGTACCGCGGCAGCAAGGCCCCGCCCCGCGTCGTCGTCGAGGCCTACGCCGCCAACGGCTGGGAGCGCTACGCCGACGCCGGCTACTCCATGAGCTCCTTCGGCCACTCGCTGCCCGGGGCCGCCGCGTACAAGTACTTTGGCTACGACCCGGAGCTGATCGCGTCGCGCGTCGCCGCCTTCGCCGGGGAGTGGAAGGAGCGCGGGCCGGAGGAGTTGAGGGGGGAGTTCAGGGATCTGAACCTTGGGGCTGCGGACCACTAGGCTAGCTCCTGGCCCCGCTGTTGTGTACACAAATCGATGATGTCGGAAGATGGAAATGTAGACGACCTGTATGTGTAATGAGTCTAGCTTTTGCTGCTTCAACCCACTCTGCCACTGGGTGGGTGACTGAAAGGACTGTGCCGCTGTTTCGAAGCCTGTCAAGTCGACCGCTAGAATTCTGACAGAGGAATTGCTTGATTGAGAGCTAATTTGGACTAGTCGGATCATTCTACGCTTTTGAGATCGGATGAGCGTGTTCCCCATGCTGAGGTTAAAGAACATTTAATTTTGTTTGCGCGTGCAAGAGAAGAGAGTCCAGGTGTTGTTTTGAGAAAGGAATTGATACTGGTATCTAAAATGAATCCTAAAAAGTGCTCTATCCAACCGAACCCGCAACATCGCGTTCTCCAGAAATGTGTCAGGGATATTTCCAGCCCGTGAAAGCCCGTCTCCAGATGTTTTCCAATATGGGAATCATGAAACGCCACTGTCGAAGGTCTTCCCCCAAAGATCGAGCCCGATCAATGACCATGGCCGGGGTGAATCGAACGAGAACCCAAAGAAAGCTGCATAACGCCGGGGAAGAAGTATATCCAGAAGCCACAAGATGACAAGGCTTAGCGGCCGCCATAGTCACTGGCATAGCCAATCTCGCCGAAACCCTCAGTCATGCCGCCAGGGCCAAAACCGGTCCCTGGCCCGGAAACATAGCCGTCATCATTCTCATTTTCAAGGTCAGACGCATCGAAGCTCGACCGACCGCTGAGGTCGTCTCCCATGTCGCTCACGTCGCCCTGCATGTTCGCTGCGCCCCAGTCCATGTTGGCCAACGCTGGGTATTGCGCCAACAGCGCCTGAGGAAGCATGTATCCGCCTGCAGATGGGTAGCTTGGGTTCTCGAGGGCCGGCGGTGCCATTAGACCGCCCATTGCCATCTGCTGATGTTGTGCAGCGGCGGCCTGCTGTGCCGCTAGTCGCTGCTCGCCCCATTGGCGTTGCCGCTCGATCATCTCCTCATCGAGGAGTGGCTTGATGCAGATACGGCCGGCTTCAGACCGGAAATGCCGTCCAAGCGCGTCGGCACGTGCAAAGCGCCTTCCACAGCCCCACTGTCCGCCAGCCTTGAGATCACCCTTGCAGACGAATTTCTTCTCTCCTGAATGAAGGCCCTCGTGGCGCTTCCGGTCATGCTGTCGCGCAAAAGCCTTGCCGCAGACAGTGCACACGAAGGGCCGCTCGTCGGTGTGGGTGCGCAGGTGAGAGCGCAGGTTGTACGCACGGGTGAAGCGCTTGGGGCAGAGAGAGCATTGGAAAGTCGCAGGGTGTTTCTGCACACGTTTGGGGCCTCCGGAAGTGTCCTGGCTGCCCTCGCCCTCCACGAGGCGAAGCGCGATCACATTGTTGGGCACTGCAGACGTTGATTGACGTCGCCTACTGGGCGAGGCAGACTGCTGGCGGTCAAGAGGCGACAAAGACCGAGACGAATCGTCCCTATTGGGAGAAAGTCCAGGGCTTAGATGGGGAGACATTGAGCCCCCTGGTGACTGCCGGTAAGCACCGCTGTTGTAGGGATCGGTCACGGCTCTGGGCCTGGCACGCTGGCGACCTATTTCAGAGTAAGCCTTGGGTTCGAATCACGACCTGCGCCAAAAACTTACCTCGTTCAGGAGGTGTCAGAGCATCAGTATCCATCGACGATCTGCCATCAAAGTTGCTCCGCACTGGTGGTGGGGCGTAGTCGATGTTGATAGTAGGGGCCGCTAGTTGCGGCATGCTCTGCGCTGCTTCGCCAGGCGCACTAGTCTGCTGGAGCTGAGGGAAAGCCTCGGGGGCCTGCAGACCGTACTGTTGGGGCGGAGCACCGACGAAGCCATTGCTTCCGAGGGTGAAGCCGTGTTGAGTGACGTCGGCCATCTGCTGCTGGGGGAGTATCCGGGGAGAGATGGCAGGGCTGTGAGACGGGCTGCGGCCTCTGTCAGAGATGGTGAAGCTGCCGATGCCGTGAAGTTCCTGGAGTACAGCTGGGTCCTGAGGGCGTTGCATGGGAGAATGGCTCGGGTCCATATGGTCGAAGCTGTCGTTGGCGATCAGGTTCGGCGAGTGGCCGACTGACGACACGTCGGAGTATTCCGAGGGGCTCCTCCTGTGCGACTGGAACTGAGGCACGTTGCTCCAGTCCTGGCCGGGAAGCAGGGCAGCCTCGACGCCGAGGGACGCGTTGCGCGAGTGGCCTCTCGGGCGCTGCGCAAACTGGTGCTGGTTGAAGTTGGGGGAGTGGTGCGCTGACGGGGCTGACGTTGGCTCCTGGTTCAGAAGATGAGGTGGGGTGGGGCTGTGGTGAGGTTGCGCCGATGCCATGCTGTTGTCCGGACCGCCAAGGGCCGGGTTGAGTCCCGGGTCGCCGGCGAATAGCGAGGTGCCGTACTGCTGCTCTCCCGTGGTGGACGGGAAGATGGTGAAGTCGTCCTGGAAGTTGTTGGCCACGGTGTGCTGGGGCACCTGCTGCTGTTGTTGCGCGAAGGACGAGAGGTCGTTGGTTCCCTCCAGCTGTGCTGTGAAGCTCTGAAACGACGGGTCCCCCGAGAAGGACTGGCCCTGCTGAGGGTCAAGGAAGTTGTTGCCGTTATAGGTGGAGTAGTCCGAGGTGCCGGCGGCAAAGGGCTGTGCTTGAGATTCCAAATCAATACCCAGGCCGATGTTTGAGGCTTCTGCAGGGTATGGTCGGGCGGGTGAAGGCGAGTGGCTTTGGTTTATATGAGGCTGTTGCTGATGTGCGGCAGCAGAGGGGGAACGACCCCTTCCCTGCTGTTGGTCCATGGTGATGTGGGTGTGATATGTACTCCGGGACACGGCTCCCGGTCCACCAGGGGAACTTGAACCCCAGGGCCCTGTGGCACTGGAAAGCTTGGGGTAAAGGAGTGGATAGTAGGTTAGGTTAGGTGTGGTTTGCCTGTTGTTTCCGTCTTTAGAACAGCAGGTATCTGGCAAGGCAGTTTCCGGGTCAGCCTGCGAGACTCGGTGGCGGAGCACCAGTATTGGGGCTGTGCTGGACGCAAGAGCTGACAACCCACCCAGGAAACGGTCCTATCAGGCCCTACCACCTCAGGATGATGAGACAGGTATTGGCTTTCAGCAACCTGAGGGCCACCACACACACACACACACACAAACAAAGCGGGAAATGCTGCTGCTGCTGTCCGCCGAACCTTGTAAGACTGGGGTTGGTGCCTGGATGTCGTGCCCTGGTGATGTGTCCTAGTGCCTGACGGCATGCGCAGCCCGAGCGGTACACAGCAATTGCCCTCTCTCTATGCGAGGCTCTTCGTCCTGTCAGAGAACTTGGTCTCCCAAACCGTTTTCAAAACTCGTAGGAGAGTACTTTTGCGAAGACAAAAACCACTCGATCCCGGGTGTGCGCCGTCCTGCTTGGATAGTGATGCCGCTGTGCCGCGTGACTGGTCGCGACGGGTTCCTGTAGCTTATTACCCTGCGATCTATGGTCTTGGTCTGCAAGTCAGAATCTCGAGCACGTCTTGCCAGCCTGTTCGACTTGACATCAAAAGTGGAATGCGCCGGGTGGTGTCCCGTGGGTGGCCGTGAGGCTGGTGTCTCACGGTGGTGTCCCCCCACTCGCGTAATCCAGCGACAGCGGGAAGGCTGTGCAAGAACCTAGGGTAGATTGCCCCGGGCTCAGGGCTATCGGATCGGGACTGACCTCTTTTTGATCTCCAATCTTGATTCCGAAAACAATGTTTCCCCCTTGACAGCACGTATACGATGACGCGACGCACTCGAAGCGGTTGGGAGCTGGGAGCTGGGAGCTGGTCCACAGCCTGGCGCGACCTTGTCTCGAGCGTCGACTCGCTTCTGCCCCTCAATGTGTATCGCGCGGGACTCGGGGAGGAGCCTGCTTTCGACTGTCGGCACGAGTACTGGTGTCAAAACCCACGACGTCAGGAGTCAAGGCTGTCACGATCCGGCGGGAAGTGAAGAGTGGACTGAATGCGCGCGACGATGCGACGATGCGACGATGCGACAAACGGTTGTCGGTTGGAGGATGGGCGCTTAGATCGGGCGGGCGGGCGGACTCCGACTTTGGCCGTGCTGGATCGGACGGACGAGACTGACGGCCGTCGTATCGTGTCTGGAGTCGCAAGTGTATGAATATGACGTGTCGCAAGAGCACGTTATCTCGTAAAGGCCTGGCTATCGTGTACAGGGCAGCACTGGATGCTGGGAGAGTGTATGAAGAGTCGCGAGCTGGTGGCAGGATGACAGTGACAGCGACAGTGACAGCTGAACTGAGACCACCGAGTGGAGGAAACCCCGAGCCGGGGGGAGTGGTGCAGGCCTAGGACCGTTGACGGACGGGCTGCTCGAGGCTACTGTGCTCCTGGTTCCTGGGTAGGTAGGGTACTGTGCAACCCAAGACCCCTCCATCCTCCTCCGTCTCCACCCCCAAGAGCGCCCTGGAGATTGCTGTAGAATGGGATTCTCGTCGGGGCGGGCGCTTGGCCGTTGTCTTGTGCACTGTGATCCCTAACTGTCTACACAACACACTTCACCTTTAATTGTTAGCATTCCCCTGGCAAGATACAGTGTCCCGGAAGCCACGATGAAGCAGCATCAGGACCCTCAAGCAGACCGGAAACCGGAGTCGAGGTCACTGACAGCTGCAGCAACTAACTGACTGACTGACTGACTGACTGGATCCATACTGCAGCGCACAGCGGTGCACACACGCTCGCAGGGCCAGAGGCAGTGGGGAAGCATCCCGTCCCATATGACAGCACGGCATAGCACATCACAGCACTATTCATTCATTGTTTACAGTACATCTCGCTTTCGTATTCCTATTCCACCCGTAAAGAAACGGGTCACCATGCAGGGATGCCAGCAACGCTGCTGACTGGCCTCATCTCTGTCCTCCACGCTGTCACTCCTGGCGTTACGCTAGACCGAATGGCTGCCCTGACAAGGCGATTCAGGACATTTCCAGGGTTCTATCGTGACAACAGGTGGTATCATGTCGAGTCTCGGATCGACTCGAGCCCAGGCCGTGGGCTGGATATAATGCCTAGCCAAAAGGCGACAGGATGTCGTCCGGATAAGAAAGCTCCCGCTACTGATGAGACAGCCCCACCGTCTGTGACTTTTGCACAGTCAGGGCCCAGTTACCAGCACCACTATCCAGGCAGCACCACCAAGGCGACTACGTCCTACTATACGGCAGGACAAATTTCCAGCATTTTGGTACCGATCTGTCGGGCGTCATGGGAAAGCTGCCTGAGGAACGGGCGCACCAGCTCTCATGACTCGGTCACAACGACCAGTCTGGCACCACAGTCGCAACGTGGGAGCCAACATCCAGTCAGGCTGCACAGACGTGCACTCCGAGCGAGCCCATTGGGACGTTGAATTGTCGTGCTACACCAATACAGCCTTCGAAGACCAAGACGCGTACCATGTGGGCAACACGGGCGCGGCGCAGGCTATGAACGAGGCGGAGCAACACAAGCTTGACGGCTAGATTTCGATACCATTCATTGCCGCAAGCCCAGCCCTATCTAAACCGAGGCGTCATGCCGTGTCTAACATGTCGTCTTGATCGCCAATGTCTTAGACTTGCAGGCTGGACTGGCTGCTAGCCCCAGATTCCCCTGGGCGCCGCTAATGTTCGCTCTGGCCTCAACTCTCGCGCCCAGTTGCGTTTGCTGCCACTGCACTGCCCACCGGCAGTAGCAATGCCATGTCTCTGTTCGCTGCCACTGTCCCCGGCGCTCGGGCTCCCACGCAGATGAACCTAATCTCGTGGCATCAGCCATCAGCCCATATGACGATTGAGGCTGTACCTAATCTACCTGAAAAGTCTCCGTCCTCGACAGGGCTGCCCTGACGTGCTCAGTTACCATGGGAAAGGGGAACCGCTGCCTTTGAAACAATCAGTTAAAGGCCAGTCTCCTGCTCACCGGTAACGGAAGCACCGCAGCAGCTGCAGAGCATCAAGGCTCGGGGAACAACAACCGTCGATACCGGGACACAATCCATTTGACCTGTCAGCTTCATTTGCCGGCCCATCGCCGGACTCTGACCAATCAACATGGACAACATGTTACGCAGGAGTCTGCTGCCCTCCCCACCGTCTGTCTGCCAGTCTGCCTACACGCGAAGAGACTACTCACCCGCGGGCCTGTTTCAACCTTGCCCCCACCCCTGATGATTCTTGGACGGGCGATCGACAGGTGTGCCCTTCCCTTGTCCAGCTGGATGGCAGGGTAGCAGGGTGGACTTCGCTTCTATTTTGGAAGCCCTCCACATCTAGACCTCTTCGGCCAGAAAGCCTGACTTCCAACGGTATTCGGGAAGAGCTCTCCTCGGGGAGCATACACAGTAACACTGGGCGAACTGAAAGAGATCGACCACACCTCCTGAATGATCTCATACCCCCGGTCTACATTCATCCGAACCTGCCACTCACCAGTTCTGCTTACAGGATGGGTCTTCCTGAGCTTATTGCTTCGTCCGAGGTTTTGGTGATTAAGGGGCAGACCAAAAGCGCCAGGGGTGCCAACAAGGAAGTAAGTCATTGTCTCACTCGAAGCATCTTGGGCGAGCCTGCTGGTTCCAAGCATCCTAACTCCCGACTTGTCAGTCCGCTGGCATCGGACACTTATTGGCAATGGAGCGAATCAGTACAGTTGCAGCGTAACAGCACACCGAGCAAGACAAACATCCACACGTTCTCGCCATCGACGAGGCCCCCACCCCGCCCCTCGGCATTCAAATGCTGCAGGTGAGATCTGTAGGGCTGATTCATGCCTTTCTAGAAAGCAGAAAACGGCTTCGAAGGATTTCCGCCGGCGGGCTCCTCCAGCGCTTGCCGTCCCACAAGGTGTCCACCTGCCTAGCCCACCAGGACAAAAAAAAAACATTGGCGGATTCTAAAAGCTGCGAACAGCTTTGTACCTAGTTCCCTACTACCCCCACGCGCCTGATTCGGAATTTCTGGTGGTTCACCTACCCAATGCCAGTTGGCTGGACTGACCCTGCAGTCTACGGCTTACTTCTGTCGTCTTTGCACCCGTTGTCCCTGTGCGTGACCAGGGGCCAAGACTAATACGCGGACGTCTTCCGCAATGCTCACCACAATGTACAAATAAAGGATCCGATATCGATGCTAACTTGACTGACAAAATGAAGCACGCGCACCAGCTGGGAGGTGAGACCTTTCCTAGCCTAGAATCGCGATATACAAGCAAAGTGCCTGAATTGGGTGTAATCAGGCATACTAAGGCTCCCAAGACCGAGGGGCTCTCACCCCGGGGCCGTTCATTATCCACCAGTCTTTTGCTTGCCAATCGTCACCTGCTCCCAGGCGCCATGCCCCTGATGCCCGGTCCAAATGGTCGTACACGTGCGGTGGCCGAGACGTACCACGTCAGTAGGCGTGGTGTCTGCCTGTAGATCAGTCAGCCGGACCTGTCAGCCTTGTGGCTGCGTGAGATCGACCAGGCCGGTAAAGGAAAATGCATGTCTCGTGGCTCCGCTGAGGAACAAGAGCCCTGCGCTGACTGGCACGGAATCCCACAGCCGGTTTTTTTTTTTTTCCTTTTTGAGGAAGTGAGTCCATTGCTTGTCTCCTTGACAGAGCTCTATAGGTCTATTTTCAGGGTATCTTTAGAGTAGAGAAGTTCCCAGGACGCCGCAGGCCCTGGCCAGTATGCAAGTCTAAGAAGACTAAAAAAATAAATAAAAAGAGAGAATAACGCCCAAACCCGTTCGCGTTTTTGCCGTCCCTGAACGTGAGTGCCGTTGCTCTTTACAAAACCTCTTCCCTCTCCCATCCCTCAGCCTTCGTCATTGGCAGAAGCTTGTGGCCGTCCCTGTATGTGCTGACAAAGGGGTTCGGGTCCTCCGTCTGGTTCAGGTTGCCAAGCGTGTGGTTGACTCCGCGGTGGGTGGCCTCGTCGGCGCGGATGTACAGGATCAGGTCCCTCATCGTCCGCTTACCCTCCGGCATGTTCCAGTATGTCACGGCAATGTCCGGCACCTTGAAGTTCGGGTCTGTCCACTTCGGAAGATACCCAGCCTCGAGCTCGTGAATGCATCGCGTGTAGGTGTGGACGGCCTCCTCCTCGAGGTATCCGACGAATCTGTGGCAGATCTTGGGAGAGATCAGGTAGCTGAGGAACATTGCGTTGAAGTAGACGCCTTGCGCGCCCAGGATGAGGAACTTCATGAACCAGCCTGGTTCACACATCTTCATAAATGTCTACGAGGCAGTTGGTCAGCATCCTGACATTTGCAGGAAACAAGGATGGAAGGTGCAGGCACAGAGGAGACATACCAGGAGGTGCATTCTCTCGTTGTAAGACTCTTCGAGAAGCGTCTCGATCCAGCCATTGTCGCGCTTCAGGCGCCGGATCGAGTGGAGGTGTCGTAGCATACCGGCTATCATACCAGGTACACCAGCGATGGACTCGAGGAAGATAAAGCGGACCAGCCACTGTGCCTCGGTGAGCGGCTTGTCGGCCACCACCGCCGTGGTGGGGCTCTTCTTGTCCGTCTTCTGGTCCTTGCTGAGCCCGTTCACCGTGTCCATCCCCCATCTGCAGAGCCTCATCAGACGCCAGGCGAAGCGGTCCCCCAGCGTGACGGGCGGGCGATGGCCGGGCTCGACTGCCAGCATCGCGGCCTCTGTAGAGCCATGGTGAGGCCAGGCCGGGGGCGTCGTACGAATATTCTCGGTTTCTTTGGCGGGGAAGAAGTCGCGCAGGTGGTTTGCCGGGGTTGATGAGAAACGCCGGTGCTGGCTGGAGGGCGAGGCAGAGGTTGCAGCCAGCCGCAGGCCGACTACTGAGGAGGAAGAACCGGAGGATATGTAGGTCTGTAGCAGAGGAGCTACAGCTCGGCTGAGCTGGCTCGCCTGTTTTGGAGAGCAGATTTTGGTGTTGACCCGTGGGGCAAACATCGAGGTTGGTGGTTTGTAGGTGAGAGTAGAGATTGTCTTCAATAGAGATATGATGATGACTTATTCAGTCTTCTTTGGTTTGGACTACGGGAAATGATAGGTCCTGAGGCAAACCTCGCCTTGGTCTAAGCCGGGCTTTATACGGAAGGGGAGGCAGGTGCAAGTGAATGTCTGAGGCCGCTGCCGGCAGGATGAGCCCGCTCATTACTGCTAGAGGGAAAGACCGGAAAGAAAGATGACGCTGAAGGAATAGCAGCATAAATCAAGAAAAGAAACAAGGACGCCATGACCACGTATTCAGGCCGGCTTCATCCATCACAAAGGGGACGAGCCACCGGCGGCCCGTGAGTAAGCAGCCCGCCCAGCCCCAGGAGTGTCACATTCCCTAGCCTTGCCGTGAGCAAGTTAGTCGGCGTTCAAGGGTCGCCCCAATGCGCTGGAGCCCGAGGCACGCTCACCTCCACCGAAGACCAGCAGCAAATCCCGATTCGGTGGAGCATGAGAGAAGTCTGAGATGAGCCTTTGACAATTGGATGGGTTTTCGTGGTCAGCTGGCCGTGGCTCTTGTCAGCTCGGGCGGGAAAGGAGCCTGGAAATTCTCTGGCCTAGGGGGCCGAGCTCGGGAGACGCCGGGACTGCGAACGGCTGTGTCTTCCGCTGCCTTGTCGTCGGGCTCTGACCAATCGAATTACACGGACTTGTCTGCTGCAGACCCACCTTCGACATCGCTCCCCGACGCCTCCGCCCCGCCCAGGTGTTTGAATATTTCAGTAATCCCGAAGTGAGGACCATCCACGGGGATTCCTTACCGGATGACAACAATAGCAGACCCATCTTTGCAGTCAACCAGGAGAACCGTAACTTCCACAGTCGCAATAGATCCTTGACTCCGCGGGCCATGTCAAGCTGCGGTCGTTCCCGACGATGGGGTTCCCTTTGAAAATACAAGTAATATTAGAGGGTCTCCTTTCAACTGAATTTGAAAAACAAGTCTCGCTCACAATTCACGAGTGTCAGCTTCATGATATTGACAACTCATGTAGCATCAAAGGGAAGTCAGAAAGACAAGGGGGAAAATGAACTCTTGCCAGCTGTGCACCGGGACAGCCTCAGCCAGGGGTTGAATCGAGATACATTACGGTAATGGACGGATGGATGGATTTTTGACCAACTGAAATCCAAAGAAACTCTATTATTTACGGAATGGCGTTGGCTGTCACGGGTGGCGTTGGCTCCTCCGTCATGGCGCTCGTGTCGTGGCACGGAAGTTTGCGCTTTTGCTCCGCCCAACCAGTTGAGAAGTTCCACTTCGGGATGTGAATCACATCTGGTTAGGTATTGACAGAACCAGACGGGACTACTTCTAAAGGCTCACTCATCCATGCTATTCAGATGAAGCGATTTCACCACCTCTGTATGTCTAATATCCACCAGCGACACCGCACTAAGTCGGTCGAGCTCTGTAGAGGTGAGAAGGAGTATGGAGCAACTCACTGCCCTGTCCCATCTCTTCCCCTTGCCATGAAAATCCATTTTTTATAATACATAAATGGTCACCAATCACTGTGTGCTACGTGCCTGTTCATATATTCTCCTATCTGGGTGGGACGCAGATACAGCAATCAGTATTTAGCATGCGCAGTGTCCGGCTGCAGCGGTAGGTCGAGTGCCAAACACAGGGAAATACCAGTCGATGGAAAGGTTTCAGAGCACACGGCACTGTCTGAGAGGCTGGGATTGCAAAGACAACGAGGAAATAAAATGTAGCTCACTACTCGAAATATAAACGCTTTCTGGACGGAGGCGATATGTGTGGCGCCAAATATCAAACAAGTCCAAGGAGACTCTAGCCTATTTGAAATGAGTATCATCTGCTGCTGAGGAGATGAGTTCGAGATCAAGTGTTGACGCTTACTTCTCCCATGACTCTTGGTCTAATAGATGATTTCAATGCATCATAAAATTGTGCCACGGTCCGTGAAGGCCAAGTGGTTGTAGCAAAGTATAAGATCTGGATTGAAGTTCAGGCTAGAAATGACCCGCTTCTCTTCCAGGGGGCCAGAGGAGACAACCAGACCTGCCCAGTGTGCTTATGTAAACAGACATCCCCGCCAAAAATCTACCCCTCCAAATCCTTGCTTCCCGCGCCTAAATCGGTCACTCTTTTTTTCTGGCTTGTGCCCAAACGGAGCCACAATACCAACGCAACCGAGCTGCCAGTTGACATTGTCCCTGTCGACTCCCAAGAGCAGAGGCCCCGCGATCTCTCGAAACACCACGGTCCACTACTCCGATAGCATTCAAATCGCCCCTATCCACCTACGACCATCCGAACCATCTTCAACATGGCTGGAAAGTGGGGTAAGTAAGACTCATCCCCGAGTTGGGCACAATCCCCCGGTTGCCAGTCAGCTTGGTGCCTTCCTGTCACTCCGACAGCGCTCCATGAGACCCGCCCTTTGGAAGTTGAGAGTAAACAGGCCTAGGGAGGACTACATCTGCGCCGACCGCTTGGCTCTGGATCAAACTGACAACGTCTTCTGTTGGCAGATGACGAAGAGGGCTCCGATGCCTCCAGCTCCCCCGAAGAGACAACTCAGGCTGGCGCCGCCGGCCGACGCAAGTTCGACGATGAGGAAGACGATGACGATGTAGGCATCTCGCCGCCCACCTCAAATACTTTGTCGAGCGCCCAGCTAACCAGCCCATCCACAGGTTCTAGACTCCTGGGACGCCGCCGAGGACTCGGAGGTTGAGCGCGAGAAGGCAAAGAAGGCTGAGGAGGCCAAGGCCAAGGCTGAGGCCGAAGCGAAAGCCAACAAGAAGTCCAAGACACAGCGCCTGCAGGAGAAGATTGCAGAGCGTCAAAAGCAAAACGAGGAGGATTCAGACTACGAGTCCGACGAGGATGAAGCCACCAAGAGGGCCCGTCTTGCTCAAGCCCAGAAGGAGGCCGATCTCAAGCACGCCGAGGATCTCTTCGGGGGCGATGTCGGTGGTGTCCCGTCCTCTCGCAAGGCAGTCATCAAGGGCTCCACTGTGCCTGACCCCAAGGATCCGAACCACCTGATCGACTTGTCCACGGTGGCTCTCTTCGACCCCAAGACGAAGGCGCAGTTCGAACAGCTCCGCGAGGTGATGGGTCCCATCATCTCCGGCAACTCCAAGAAGGCCCACTACACGCTGTTCCTCGTCGAGTTCGCCAAGCAGCTGTCCAAGGAAATTGCCCAGTGACCAGATCAAGAAGGTCGCCAGCGCCTTGACGACCCTCAGCAACGAGAAGCTCAAGGAGGAGAAGGCACAGGAGAAGGGCGGCAAGAAGAGCAAGGCGGCCAAGACGAAGACCACCCTGGCTATGTCTCGGCCTACCACTACCGACACCAATGCCTACGACGACAACGAGTTCGGTGACGATGACTTCATGTGAGGCATCGAAGCTAAACAGATTTTGTCGCCGGCCTAGCACAGGCAACAGGGCTACTGTGTGACTAGGTACCTACCTAGATGGGCGTCAGGTAACCGACCCCGCCCGTCAGGCCGTGCTGCTCCCGAGCAGTAGCAGCCCCCACCCAGGAACATTGGCCAAGGTCAGGCAGTGGACATCCGCACCCCCGGCTGGCAAGGGACGACAGTAGCGTCGAGGTGCGGGATTCGAGGTGTTGTGGGTGGCACGGAGCAGGTTCAGGCAGACGCCAAAGGGAGAGATTCTTACAGACTGGCATGGCATGAGAGCAGCATAGATTGCAGGCGCTACTTGGACAACAGAATACTTAGTACAAGATTGTAGCTCCTCCAAAGAACCTCGTTGGAAGTAACCGACCTCAACCGCCGCCATCTATTCTAGAACGCAAAATCACAATTTACTGTCTGGCTTCTTCCCGGTCTTGATGTTCTTAGAGTGCCCGGTCTTCAGGAAGCCGGGATACTGCATACCTTCGTCAAGGCCCACAGCCATTGCGCCGGGGCTCCTCCACGCTGCGCCGTCGACGACAAGAACGTGACCGTTGACATAATTAGCAGCATCACTGAACAGCCACACCGTCGCATCCGCAATATCGCGGACGGTGCCCCACCTCCCACTCGGGATGGCAGCGGTGGCTGCCGCAGTGTGGGCGGCCGTGCTGCTGGCGAGCCGCTCCAGGCCCTCAGTGCCGTCGATGCCGCCAGGCGAGATGACGTTGGCGCATACGCCCATGGGCCCGTACTCGAGGGAGACGCTCGCCATGATACTGTCTACGCCGGCCTTTGCGGCGCTGACGTGGGACTGGAGAGGGAGGCCGGTGTAGTGGAAGGTAGCAGACACGGCTAGGATCCGTCCTCCCGTCCCGACCTGGCCGGCGGGTGGTGGGTTTGGGTTCCGCTCGGCTGATTCGACCAGGTAGGGCGCCGTGGCCTTGACGGTGTTGAACGTGCCGATGGTGTCGATCTCGATGACGGACCTGAAGCCGTTGGGGGACAGGCCTGATATGGGAGCCACAAAGTTGCCTGCTGCGCCCGCGCTTGATGTTGAGGACAGTCAGTACGCGGAGGTCTACCATTCCGATATGAATCACTTGTGGGGGACAGACATGACAAAGTCAATAGCACCAAGCTCCTTGACACAACGGTCGGCTGCGGCCTTGAGGCTGTCGAACTGTGAGCCTGGGTCAGTATATATTCGGGCCGGTGGCAGTCGCGGTGACGGTGACGATGATGGTGACATACATTCCTCACGTCAACACCACCAATACCGATGACCTTGGCGCCATTGCGGACAGCTGCTATCTCTTTGGCGCCGGCCTCTGTTTTCTCAACATTACGCCCAAGAATACAAGCGTTTGCGCCCAGATAGACGAGCGCCTTCGTCTGTACCTTGCAGATGGTACCTGCGCCTCCAGTCACGAAGACGACCCTGTTGTCTGGGAAAAGCAGCCGTGTCAGATTCCGGGGCATCCGATGTGATCTCAAGTGAGTATGCTTACTGAATATCCCCTCTTTGTAAATGCTGCTCAAGAACTCGGAGCGGTCGACAGCCATGGTGTCTGATATACCGAGGCAAAACCAGGTCAACGCCAGCTGGAGATCCAGGTATTCAAGGGGTCAAGGAAGGCCGTGTAGAATGGGGCTCTCGTCTTTTGAATCTCTTGGTCACACGACACTGCGAGGAGGAAGACGAGACTGCCGACGAAGAAGTACGCGCAGGATTCGTAGATGGCGAGCCAGGTAAAGCTATGCATTGTTCCTATTGACGTTTAAACACCGCGGGTCTGGGACGGACCGCCCAGAGAGAGCTACAACGATCCCCGGCCTGGATCCCTTCCACAAGGTTAAAGTGGAGAAAGTGAGCGGGCCTCGGAGGACATGGGCCTCGGCTCCTGCTTGATCAGAAATCGTGGGGTCCGGGACACTGCTACACAAGCAAGGGATTGTGATTGCCTGACCCCTCAGGCACGATTGTGCTCACTGCGACCCCCATGCTGGATTGGCCGGGATCTGTGCTAACACGTCTGTGGTCTGGGCTAAGCTTTCGCACTGTTGAACTCTCCCCACTCGTTGCCCCGGCAGCTGCATTGAAATCGTCTTGTTCTTTTCGATTCTCATTAAACACGGCCCCTCGACACGCGCTCCGTCTGGCGTCGCGCCCATCGCGACAAGCAAAACGCCACTTTGCAGCCGAATCAATCATTTCTAGCCCTTCTCGAACGGCTCACCCCTCATAACACCGCCTTCAAGCTGCTCTACTTCAAGTTCGACTGCACGGTAGTGGCCAGCCCTCCAGAGCTTTCTGGCTGCGCTTGCGCATTCTCTGGTCGCATTTCCTGTCGCATTCGAGTTCACGACCCCAGTAGTCAGGCCAGGGCTTCAGTCTGGACACCCGTCTGGAGCGCCAACCTGACCAGGTCAAAGCGCATCCGCCTTTCACAATATCATCATCAGCCTGCACAAACAACTCAAGAGCTGACACCCCACTATGGCCCACACAATGGGCACGCCTGTCAAGGCATTCAAGAAAAAGAAGGCCTTCGCATTCCTCAAATCAGCTCCCAAGCCATCGCCAAGCGTCGAATCGAACGGCGAACACTTCGACAAGGAAGCTGGCGAGGATGATGATGGGCTCGACTTGTTCAGGCGGTCCCGGGATTTCTTCCCTGTCGTGGTGCAGGAGCAGGAGCACCGACAGACTACACCAGAAGAGAAAAGCGAAGAGAGAAATCGGCTCTCCCAAGAAAGCACCCAATCTCCATCCCCTCCGTCATCCAAGCGCCGCAAGCTCTCATCGCCTGCGCACACATATGACCCCAGGGACGCCGAAGAAGACCTGTACGGGCCACCAACTCCCCCGCGTCGCGTTACAAAGTCTCGTTCGCCACCCCCACGGAAATCACCGATCAAGCAGTCAACTCCATCGCCGGTCAAGAGCAAAAGGAAGGAGAGGATGCAACCGTTGCAGAGTGACATCCTCCTCACGCCTACACGGTCGAGTTCCAACCAGCCCTGCGCGAACGAGGTAATCGCCCTGGACGACGACGAAGACGACGACAATGGCGTTGTTGTTGAGGAGCTTCCTGCGGGATCACCTGCAGTCACCAGGACGGCCAGCACCAGGACAAGTAGGACTATTTCAATGCCTCGGGAAGAGAAGACACCCAGTCCTGGTCCAATCACGATCGATGATAGTGACGACGACGTGTTTGAAACCCCTACCGATCCTGCAGATGATGACGACCCATTTGCGCATTTCATTCAGCGAGCTCGTGAGCGCGAGGCTGCCGCCAAGGCTGAAGCGGCAGCGGCGGCATCGTCCAGATCTGAGATCCAGCCCTCGACCCCAGAAGGCGCACCGCGTAAAAGACGGGAGCCTTTGATCGAGGTCAAGATATTCGTCCAGTCACGCATGGCAAGGTTCCCGGATGTGCCACCCTTTGGCGCGAAGCGAGGTATGAGCCAGAATCTGGGGGTCATTCGGAGGTCATTTCTGTTGTGGCTAAGGAAGATGGGCCATTCGGTCTCGGAGGAGGACGAGGCGAACATCTTCCTCACCTGGAAGCGCCGCAAGATCTATGACGTGTCCACGGGCGTCAGCCTGGGGTGGAATCCGTCGGTGGCTGAGGACTCGAGCTCGTCCTCGACGCCTGGTTTCATGCGGGGAGGCGTCCTGCTGGAGGCCTGGACCCAGGAGGACTTTGACGGGTGGCTCGCTGAAGAGGAAAAGCAGAGGATGATGAAACGGGGCGATCTGGTCGAGGACGTCTCCGACGAGGAGCCCGTGGAGGAGCAGGTCGACAACGCGAGAGTCCGGGTAACCATCAAGGAAAAAGACCAAGAGCCCTTCAAATTCACCGCCTACGTGGACATGGAGATCCGTCTCATGATTCTTGCCATCCGACAGATGAGGAAGATCCCAAACGACAGGGAGATCAAGCTGAGGTACGAGGGAGAGTGGTTGGAGGGAGGTGTGACAGTCCAAGAGGCCGACATTGAGGACCACTGCACGGTTGAAATGTATTTGAGATGATCCACAGCTGCCGCACAAGGACATGGCAGCAGCAACGAGACGCATGACTTTTTAAGGGTTTCAAGGCGGCATGGCGGGATCTTTGATTTGGACCAGATACCCCATTCTAGCAGGCGTTCCTCTGACGCCGCATAACCAGGCTTTGGGCACGGAAGCAAATGATCGTCGTCGGCATTGAGTTACATAATATGTCTTGGTAGTGACGTTTTCAGCCTCTTTGGACGAGACATGCTATCTCCAGGTATCCGAAATCCCTCTAGCAAATGTAAACTTTTCGGCCAGATCTTGACCCCCTTAAAAAAAAACGCCGGTTCGCCTTCATGCCAGGTATAATCGTGAAATCCCAACTCTCCACAAGCGCTCAGAACCTCTCCTTCATGCGGGCGGACACCGTCCTCAGGCCGTTGTAGACCTTTCCTGGAGGCTTACCAAGGATCAGGCTGACGATGGACTCACGCGCGATCCTCGTGTTCTTGAAGGCCCCGAGGATGTGGATCTTTGAGTCGGCGAGCACAACCCGCGTCCGAGAGGCGTTCTCGATGGCGTATCTGGTCTTGCCGTCCTTGCCTGCGATACGGCCGATAGCACGGGCGAGGTGGTCGCCCTGGAGGGTCTTGACGTCCTAGGAACGGGAACAAAACATGTCAGTATCTTCTTCCTCATGACTGCAGCAGGGTGGGTCCGCCGGCCTACTTTTATCTCACGTCTCGATGTAGAGGTCGTCCATCCGGAGCAGGGCGATGGCGTCGTCGACGTCGAAGCCCAGCGCGAAGGCGCGCACGAAGTCGGCGCCCTTCTGGATGGCGCCGTTGTCGGTGGTGGCCTTGGAGGTGCGCAGCTCGACGGCCTTGCTCTTCATGTTCATGCGGCACTGCAGCTTGAGGTGCTCGACCAGCGGCGGGTAGATCTTGGGCCACGAGGCCTTGAGCGGCGTCATGCGGTGCGGCGGGATGGGGACCTTGCGGTGCTCGACGCGCACCGCCTCGGCCCTCGCCGACGACGGGGCGAAGCGCGGCCGGCCCTCCTCGTCCACGGCGTCGTCGAGCTGCATTTCCGTCTCGGGTTGCTGGGGCGCCTCCCCCTCTGCGTCTGCTGGTGCTGGTGCGGCGTCGAGGAGGACGTCGTCGTCTTGGGATTCGTCTGGGAGGGGGATGTTGGCTGCGGGCTCCTCGGGGGCAGCCTTGAGGGCTGTTGGCGCAGGCATGGTGGCAATGGGTGCGCAGGCTATCGGTAGGAGGAGGAGGTCCGCTTCGTTGATAAGGCGGGGGTCAGACAGCGATTTGGGTTCCGGATTGTGGGTTGTGGAGCGTGCGGTCTGATATCACCGATGATTCAACAATTACTACTGTCCTTGAATATTTGTCTACCGGAGGTTTGTCGAGGGCCAGGAATTGTGAATGGAGGGTTTCGCAAGTCTGAGACTGGAGGTTGATCGGTCGGTGGATTGCAGCGTGCAAGCACCCTTGAAAAGTTTCTGGCAGGGCGGTGGGATGCAAAAGTTGTGGTCCAAAGACGGTGGGGCTCGCAGATCGACGATCAGCTCTTATCGGCATCCCAAATTCTGGCTAGACAGTCTACATGCTACTGTAGAATAGGTACCAAAGTACTTGTGGTGCGGGCTAGATGACTGTGACCCCTGCTCCCGTTGTAGCCGGGGATCCTTGGTGTCTAGCGCGTCATCGCTCCGAAGTTCTCTTCATGCGAGCTGCCTCCCGACCTAAAGGTTCTCCGGCAGAACAACAGAGGTATACCAATCACACGGAGACGTCCCCTCAAGCTGTCGCGGCAGCATAATCTCTCATTTGGTGACTCATGGGCCTCCGGCATGCGAAGTGTTTCCATCCATATTTGAAGAGCGCGGCCTGTTTGTACAAGCAGGCGCAGTTGCGACGCAAGCACTTCTTCTTGGTCGAAAAATCCGGTGATAACCCACAATAGACCGGCGCATAGGGTGCCGGCCAAAAACCAAAAAGTTCGACCAACCGCCAGAACAGGAGACAAACGGCGCAAGCAACTAGTCTGGTTGTAATTCAGCACTTCTACGGAAGAACAAGGCACTACCTAGGTAGGCACTTGAGTAGTCGCGGTCACTAGCGGCACACTCCCAACCACCATCCGACGTCAGTGCTGCGCAACCGCCGCCATCTCGACAGACGGACGACCATACAAAACACCACCCACCGCGGTCAGCCAGCAACCTTGATCCAATACCACTTGGTGGGATAATACACTCGCTTCACCATGAACGGCTTGCACTGCCAGAAGAATGTCTAGCAGCTCGACAAAATTCGGTCGCGTCGTCTGGGAAAGCATCGCCCGAGGCTTTACTCCAAGAACGGCCCAGAGACCGTTCGCCTTCAATTTCCCCCCTTTCAATCCACAGATCCGATCGATATCCCAGCACAATGTTCGACGCAACTGTTCCGGCGGGCTACTGCTGCTCGCTCTCGATGCCCCGCCATCAACGCAGAATGTGCTCGCCAGCTGTGCCACGGCCTCCGAATCAGTCGTTACAGGAACCACTTCCAGCCACGCCGCGGTCGTCCGAATGGCAAGACAGGCATGGGCAAGAGGCATCCACACATCTGGCGCTGCTGGACAGATTCAAGGAAGGCGGAACAAGAGCTCAAAGGCGGGAGAGGAAGGAAAGGCAGCCAGTACACAGCAGGGCCCACAACATGCGACACCGCAGGGCAAGGACCATGAGGCCGCGGGGAAGAGTGCTGGAGAAGGGCATGACAGCCTCACAGACTCAGTCTCAAAATACCTGCATCTCCCGCACCTGCCCAAGATGCCCCATCGGCCTACCAAGGAAGAACTTCTGTCCGCGGCGAATGGGTTCTGGCAGAGGCTCAAAGTACGCTTCAAGTGGTTCTCTATACGAAGTGCGAGACCTTTCAATGCCGACGAGTGGGGCGCCTTCTTGTCTTGGATACTCTTCGGCCACTTTGTCTGGATTCTTGTTGGAACCACTACGTTCTGCTCGCTCCTTATTCTCTTAGTCAACACCGTCTTCGCACAAGGTCAGTATTACTCTCAGACTCTCTTCGCTACAGCCGCTGACAGTCGTCAACAGAAACTCTCGCTCGATGGGTTGGTGACTACCTAACTCAAGCAGCCGGAGTGACCGTCGTCTTCGAATCAGCTATCGTACCAAAGTGGGGAGATGGTGTCATCACCTTCCGGAATGTTTTTGTGTCTCGCCGCCCTGGCCAGGTCAAGTCGTCCGTCTCGAAAGGCTCTCCTACAGATGCGGCGGCGGCGGCGGCTGCTCATCCCGACTCCCAGGCTATTCATGACGATGGAAACTATACCCAGTTCGATCTTACCGTTAGTGAAGTGAACGTCACGCTTTCTTTCGCCAAGTGGTGGAACAGCACGGGTCCTCTTCGAGACGTCGAGGTGAAGGGAGTCCGCGGCGTTGTCGACCGCACGTCTGTTTTCTGGTCAGGGGAACAGAAAGACCCTCTGTCCTATCGCCACGTCTATCAACCGGGAGATTTCGAAATTGAGCGCTTCAAACTCGAAGATTTACTGGTCACGGTTCATCAACCAGGTGGCTTCCGCCCATTTTCCGTGAGCATATATAGCTGTGAGCTGCCTCAGCTGCGCAAGCAATGGCTCTTCTATGACTTTCTCTCGGCATCCCATATGTCAGGTTCTTTCGACGGGTCATTATTCACGATTCATCCGAAACAGATCCACGGCACCGCCGCTGGCGAAGAGAAGTACGCTGCAGACAACCTTGGCGAACCGAGTGCTTGGAAGAAGTTCACCCGGCTCCGCATCGACGGGCTCAAAATTGACCATCTGAACCGCGGTGTCCAAGGCACGTTCGGGTGGATCTATGAAGGAAACGTGGACATTGTGGCGGATGTGATGTTCCCGGCAGATCCCGATGAGAGCATTGGCAAGGTCATGAGTGATTTCTATGACAAAATGGAAGATGCGGTCACCAGCAATCGGTATCTGAGAATCCTGGACAAGGACAGCGGATCGAATGTCAGCTCTTACAACATCAACAACGAACCATCGAACCCAACAAGGGGTCATCTCTCAGAAAACACCGAATGCCACGGGGAAGAAACGTGGACCAATGCGTCAGATACAGACGAGTCATTGGATCCGGCTCAAGAGGAAGTTCCTCGTTATTTGGTCATGGATCTCCGCATCCACCTCAATGACGTCCGGGCCTCAGTACCAATGTTCCATGCCACCCCGGACATCTCGTATGTCAACCAAAACTTGGTGCGCCCCATTGTGGCCTATATCAACGCCAAGCACACATACATCCCGATCAACTGTCGCATCGTAAAGCGGCACCAGGACTTCGACGGGTCCTGGACGATATTCGACTGTGGTCTGATGGACGACATGTCCGCAGAAGTGTACACCGCATTTGCCCGCGACGTCGAAAACCAGCACTCACGCGTGAAGAGGCTCAAGAAGGTCGGCTTCTGGGCCGTCAGCGTCGCGCTCCAAGCTTTACTCGTGGGTGTTGCGGGTGATCTGATTACTTGAAAGGCGAGCTAGAGACATAGTCTCTGGACGCGATGTGTGGGCAGTTGGTGGCTTACCGGGTCTATCTGTGATGGACAGCCACGCCCTGGGCTCGTCCTGTGTGACAATGACCCTACCCATCATTCGAAGACATTCTAGTGAAAACGATAGCATGTTTGGGGCGGGCTTGCTCGCTCGAGTCTCGCTTCAGACCTCGCCACCACGCTTTCATGGGGTCTCTCAAGCGACAAACCGCGCGATTCGGTGAAAATTTTGAAACAGGTACGGAATGATGGTGACTTTAGCAACTTCTCTACTCAAAGTGTCTGAGACGCGAAATACGTGTGCATGTATACAGGACAGCAGCCATGGCGTTGGAGTTGAAGAGATGGTATTTCTTCACTTGGAGTTAAAGGGATTGTTTGCACCAGCAGTCAGGTCATGGCATTGATTGATACCCTGACGAATTACGTACTGTCCGCGGATGAGCGTGTACACAAAAGGTTATCTCTTTATATACGGATAAATGGCAACGATGCAATGTCACAGATACGAAAATGCTCAGATGCCCTCCAGGCCATGCTATCTTGTTGTTGTAACAACTCTTTTGCACATGCCCGTATTTTCTGGCCCAGTGACCCAAACAACTCATGGTCCCTGAATTCTTTCCTCTGAACTTTGTACCTAAGGATTGGCCCACAACGATGTGCTGTGTCGGTCTATCACAACTCCAAGCTCAAAGTTGCCTTTCCTCCACCCGCCAGTCCTTTCTAAAAGAAATAGCGCTCAATTCAACATCTGTATCCGTGTTCGCGTCGACATGGCTGTGGCGACTCATAGCATCATAGCGTATCGACTCGGGCCTCAGCTGCGGTCCGTCGTCGGCCTGCCGCGTGATGCAGACCTCGTCCTCCAACACTTTGAAGCGCCGGCTGCGCTTCTGAGTCACTGTTCGCGACTTCATAGTCGGCGGCCCCAGCTTTGCTGTCCCCGTCGGCGTGTACCTCCCGCCCAGTAGCGGGCGGAGGAGGGGGATGCACGCGAGCGTGATGGCTAGGCACGGTTCCAGGGCGCTCCACACAATGGGCATCAGAATCGAGTATGTGACGTCGGACATGTCGACGTGGAGGATCGAGTAGAGACGGATCGCGCTTATGATTGCAACGCTGTAGGAAAGGGTGGTTAGTTCCAAGCACGAAAGGTGAAATCTCGGTTGTAAAGTGCTCACAAGAGTCCCAGGCCGAATGTGGCCATCAGCACCAATTTCTTATACAGCGCCAGTTCCAAGCTGTAGATGTATGGCATGGGGAGTAGTAGGACAATCAGATCTGTCACAATGTTGAGAACCCCGTGGCACATCCATAGAGTGATGGAGCTGCCGCAGTGGCCGTCGATAGTCTGGTCCCAGTTGAATTCCAAAGGTTGACAGATGAGAAATGATCCAAGTATAACCACCAACATCCTGCACGAGACCCAAAGGTTAATCGAGCTGAGGTTTTAGGCCATTTAGGGGATGGTAGAAAGAATACGAACCACAAGAAAATTATAAATGCGGTAACTTTGGCGGCTATAATGAAATAGCTGACGGTGAATATTTTCGAGTACAAAGTGAGGATCGATGTTTTGGTGAACGTCAGACTTGTGGCCCAGACTATTTGTTGAGCCAGTATCATCTGCGTTCAAACTCTCCTGTCAGAATAATGAGTCGGGTAATGACTCTATTTAACTTTACCTTCAAAAACAATGTTGGCCCAGAATCAGAATGGAATCGGTCATGCAGCTCTGCCACGTGGAAACCGCCTCCTGCGGCGAGAACACCTAGCGTTTCGATGGATTAGCATGTATTCAACACACTACCGTGTATTTACACCTCAATGCAGTGCGTCTGGTTTGGAAAGACTGAGGCAGGCGCAGCAGGCTTACAAGAAATGTTCAGGGCCTGGTACCCAACGACGTTGATCTGCCAAAAACAAAGTCAGTAGGAGTCGGTACCGAAGTGAGAGTCACAGACTCACGCAAGCAGCAATCATGAGATAGTCGCTCAAGTCAATCTTCCTGTTGGACATGCGTCGGGCTAGTAACCGTAGCCCAACAGCTGTCATAGGTAGGAGACTGAAGATGACTGCGCATGCTATCAGAGCCTTCTGATTGGAACGCTCCACCGGGAATATCATTCTGTGATCTAATAGTGAGAGAACACAGTTCAGGCTCAAGATGGAAGCGATAAGATGTGAAAACGTAGTGAGCTGCTGAAGGGGTGGTAGGAGGCCGCCAAGCTCAATGGTTATCTGGCAGAGCAACTTCAAAGAATGTCGCGAAATATGAACGATGGGAAACCCATTGAAATTTATCACAGGCGCTTTAGAAAAGGAACGAAAGAAAGCAATGCTATTCTACGTGCATTCGAGTTATTCCAAGGTTCCAGGCCAGCCACAACCACAGCCCCTGGTTGTGAGATGGGGTTTGAAGCCATAATGTGACATGTACTTTGGGGCTCCCCGTGCCAAATTCTCGAGGTGACCCCCGGACAATGCCCCGAAGGATTGCTCATGGACTTGTTGCAGACTCGACCGGGAACTTTCGCTCACCGGTGGATGATCACAAAGCCAACATATTCGAAGATCCTAACAGTTCAGGGCATCTGAAGGCTTTTGAATCACATGGCCCGCTGCTGTGCATGAAAAGTTTGCGTCACATCGCGCCTCCCCTCGAATATCCATCGTTCTTATATTCTCTGCACCTTGAACCTCGTGATACCAACAATTGCAGTGCCCGTGAGCGGGACCCAATACATTGGCAACGTTATCTGCGAGTGGAATGGAGACACTCGACCTTGCATTACTATGTGGTACAATAACTCAATGGCGACCTACAGACCTAGGCAGTGGCTTTATAAATGAGCACGCAGTTCGCCAGTGTAACCAAAACAAAAGGTTCCAAAAATTGTGGGGTGAGGGAAAATCATTGCAGGAAACCGAGGTTCTCACAGCTCTCACAGGACGCAACCAATACTTCAAAGCCTTCTTCCAATTACCTCCACATGAACGCAACCGTCTGTTGGCCGAAGGCAAGTTTCAAGCCAAGATTACGTATTCTCGGTAGACAACCAACAGCACTTGAGTATACCCCACCAACCCACTCTACAGCCACTTTCTGTGCAAGTATGAACCAACAGTGGCATTAGCATATTGTCACATTGTCCCAACAAGTGCGTATCGTTGGAGCCCATACCCACTGACTAATCCTCTAGGGGTGCGTAGAAACAGGTCACGAAGAGCAGCGCCCTCTGACGAGGAGAGTTCGGGACCGAGCGGTAATATGTCTGAGTTCGGAGACGGGGACGGTCTCCGTCTCCGACGACAGCAAGCCTCAGTCGTCTTGTTCTGGGCAAATGCGCAACTAGTTTGGATACAGGGGCGTGATCGACTGGCACCCTTCCCTAACGAATATTGCAGGGCCGATGGGAGAGGACACCCCTTTTATCCCACATTGGCTTTCAGGGCCATGTCTTCTGTTGTCCATGGCTCTAGACCCAATCGAAATCTGCTGCTACGTGATGCATACCTTAAACGGTGCGGACTTCTTCATGTGATGGGAAGGTTCCTGGTAGAATAAGTGGGGCAGTCGAACAAATATTGTGATACTTCATATACTCGCACAAAGACCGTTGTTCCTCTTGGCCCACAATGCTAATCTTTGCCTGTCTAGATTTCCTGCTACATGGGTTTCCTGCAGTTGGCATCCAGTTCCTGAGCCCAGTTCGCTGAATCCAATGTTAGGATGCATAATGCTTGACACCTCACAGGTGAGTGGTGGAAATCTCCCCTCTTTGCGACGACCTAAGGCCGAAGAGGACAGGCCACTGTAAATCTATGGGGACTAGGTATGCAGGCAAGAAGTCTACCATGTTTCGTACCACTATTTGCCAGTGGGACTTCGGTTACACCAATGTCAACCACACCCGAATTTCGTAATCGGTATATACATTTTCATTTTGAACTTTTTTGTTTGCTTTCTCATCGCAACAACATCGACTGCGTCGTATTGGTCCCTGGGCCGCAGCAAGCCACTGACAAGCAACATCATCCCGCAGGATGGATTCGATCACGGACTCCCTGTGGTATCGCGAACTGCGCAATGCTGGGCTGCCGATCCAAGCTGCGGTGTTGATAGCGACCGTCATCGTCCTGACTGTGATCCGACGCCGCTTCTTCTCCCCAATCAGCTCCATCCCTGGCCCGTTTCTGGCTTCCATCACGCGGCTTTGGCATCTCAGGCAGATCGCCAGTGGGAAGCAGAACCTCAAGCTCATCGAGCAGCATGATAAACATGGTATGATCCCCTGAGACCCCGCAGAGGGGTCACTTCCTCATCTCCTCGACGTCTTGGACTCACCATGGGGCAGGGCACTTCGTGCGCATGGCACCCAACGAAGTCAGCGTCAACCACCCGGATGCTGTCAAGGCCTTGCTCCTGACCACTCTCCCCAAGGTAAGCGCCGTGAGCCATGTATGTGAAAACGGGACGCAGGCGCTGAAGCTCGGTATAGGGCGACTGGTACAAGATCGTGTGCTTCCCGGACTATCGCTTCTCGACGCCTTTCAGCATGTTGGACCCGAAGGACAAGAACGAATGCTCCAAGTATCTCTCGACCGGCTACCTGCAGCACAACGTCAGCAAATCCGAGCCAGCGATGGACACGAACATATCGAAACTTATCGGCTGGATGGACAGATTTGCTCAGGAGAAGAAACCAATGGACCTGGACAAGTTCTTCACTTATGTCTCCTTCGACATTACCGGTGACATTGTTTTTTCCAAGCCCTTCGGTAAGTCGGAGTCTAACATGTCAAATACCCTGAATGAACCGAAAGGCATCAAGCATCCAGACACAGTCCGAAGATCAGACTGACAAGGTACCCCGACAGGGTTCATCGACCACGGAAAGGACCTCAACAACTCCATCGCCATGAACACCGGGCTGGAGATCTACATCGCATTCGTCGGCTACCTCCAATGGCTCCACGTCGTATTCGCAAACCCCTTCGTCACCTGGCTGGGCGTCCTGCCCATGGGCCACCTCTTCGACACGACCATGACCGCCCTCAAGGAGCGCCAGAAGAACCCCGACGCCCGGCCCGACCTCGTGGGCCACTGGTTCAGGGGCCTGGAGAAGGCCAAGAAGGACAGGAGCCGCCTGTTCAACCAGCGCTGCCTCGAGTCCTTCGCCACCGCAAACGTCGGCGCCGGTTCAGACACCGTCTCCGCAGGGCTGCAGAGCTTCGTGTACCACCTGCTGCGCGCGCCCGGCGGGTGGCGGCGCGCCCAGGACGAGATCCGCGAGGCGCGGAGGGGGGGCAGGTGTGGGGGGCAGGTGGTCTCGTTCGCCGATGCCGCGAGGCTGCCGTTCCTCCAGGCGTGCATCAAGGAGGGCATGCGGGTCCATGCGCCCATATCAGGTATGTGAAGGGACCCATCTGGCCAACCGGTAATACGTCGAAATTTTGCGACTGAGTGATCTTAGCCGGCCTACCCCGTGTCGCCCCAAAGGGAGGCGTCACAATCGGCGGCACCTATTTCCCCCAGGGCGTGACCCTGACCGTCAACCCTTCGGTGATCCACAGTTCCAAGGAGATGTGGGGCTCGGACGCGCGCGAGTTCAACCCGGACCGGTGGCTGCGGCCGGACGCTGCCGAGAAGGAAAAGTGCTTCATCCCGGTAAGTCTGCAAGATCCCTTCTCCGCGGACCTTCATGCGAATTGGTTATTGAACTGATTCTTGACGCAGTGGGGCGCTGGATATGCCTCGTGCCCAGGCCAACATGCGGCTCGACTTCAGCTGTCCAAGATCGCTGCGACTGTCGTGAGGGATTACAATGTAAGGCAGGTCGATCCGAAGCAAGAGTGGACGTGGGGCGCGTGGTTTACCTCTGTGCCACACGATTGGCCTGTGTATATAGAGAAACGCGTAGACTCTTGAGTTGAGGTTTGGCATTTATCTGTATATGTAAGTTCATACTACATGGACTAGTCCCAACTTTGTCAACATTGCTTGTATGTGCGGTGGCACAGTAGTATAGCTTTCTGTCGACGCCACTTCCTCCTTTGTGAAAATATTGACACTATGGAAGACTGAATGGTGGGAAGGCTAGTGGGATTTGGTATCAAATTATGTTCAAAGATTATACTGCAATGATTGTGCTGAGCTATTCATGTACACAATGATGCCAGAGGGATATCGTGACCGGTAATCTTCCTGACTATAAGCAGAGGTGAGCTATCCCTCTGAGTCCATAGATGACATTCTGCCTTCGTATGAGGGTCCACAATCCACAAGTGTGACGACTCCGTCTAGCATAGCCTGCACTCGTCATGGACAGGCACCACCTAAGCTTTCTTGCCAGCCTCCACCGTCGACGGAGCCGGCTCTGCCACAGATCGCTTGCCCTTCTTCACCACTCTGAAGCCTGCAAGTGCTGCCCCCAGTATCAGGAGCAAGACGAGACCGAGCAACGAGCAAACTCCCACGGCGGCCGCGGCACCTGCACTGAGACGAGACTTTGAGCTGGAAGAAGACGCTCCAGATCCCGAGTCTGAGCCCGACCCGGAAGAAGACGCCGAAGCGCAGACACCAGTGCTGTTGCCACAGGCTGTGCACCATGACTGCGTGTCCCCGATGGCGAACCTCTGCATGTTCGTCACAAAGTCACTCCAAGGGATCGTTGTCTCGCTCTGCCCAAATAGCGGGTATTCCTGAGCCGGCGCCGAGTCCGAAGCAGAGCCGTTCGCGAAGAGGAAGCGCACGGAGACGTCGTCCGGGTTCACCGTGGTTGGGGCATCGGTCCCATTGACAGTGGCATTGGTGACCAGCTCGAAAGTCATTGAGCTGGCGTAGTCGACGATTCCTTTGAAGTCCTCGCTTGTGGTGGTGAGATTCGACAGTCCGAAGAAGGACATGAAAGTTGCGTAAGCGCCGAACTGCACATTGAAGCGCTCGGCCGAGGATTTCTTCAGAGAGGACTCCATTGTGTCGTTGAGGGCACCCAGGATCTGAGCGGCGAGGACTGCACCGGCGATGGCTCGCACAGGCTCGGATTCGTTAAAAGCAAGGCCCAGCTCGTGGATGTTCGCCAAGGTCTGAAGCTGGACCACGGTGTCGTTTGTGAGCAGATCATCACTGGAGATGCTCGTGTTGTGAATTTGCGAGACGTGGACATAGTCAAAGACTGTGGTTGTCAGAAAACGGTCTAGTCAGCTCTGAAAAGGTACACATACTAGCATAGGCGTTCTTGAAGGTCGCCTCCGATGACTCAAAAGTTGTGTTGTACACGGGGAGCAGATCCTGGTAGAAATCACGGGTCTGGTCCAGGAGATCGAGGTACTCGGAGCTCGAGAAGTACTCGTTGCTGCTAACGACGGCCTTGGCGCACCCAGAACTGCCCTGCAGCCATGGCTTATCCTCAGCGCCCGAGCTGCTAGCAGCAGAGCTGACGATGTTGACGGGGATATACTGATATCCGTTCAGAGGAGCCTGGACCTCCTGTCCGTTGGCCAAAGTCTGGGTGGCAGCACTGCCGGCTGGGGGGTAAATGGCCTGGGTGAAGACCTCAGCCGATGCCTGAAGGACGTTGTCCACTGGCGCAGTTATGGACATCTGTGACAGGACGGCGATATCTGAGGCAATGTTCAAGATCGTGTGGGTGCTGTTGCTCGCGACATAGCGATTACGGTACCAATGACCTGAGACATAGACCTGATCTGCGCCCAGAGCCGTCAGAGACGTAGGCGGCCATGACTTTGTCGTCCTGTCGCCATGGCGGTGGAAGATGTAGGCCCCCAGAACGGTCTCAGTCAGGGCCTCCGCCGGTAGTAGGGAGAGAAGGGCAACGAGGTGCTTGATCGCCATTGTTTCTTGACGCCCCCAGGAAATGCTGGTCAACAAGAGCAAGTGTCAAACTATGGCCCAGGGAGTTCTGGCAAGGCAGCTGGCTGATGTCACATGAAGGAAGTGCATGAGGGGCAGAGGTCGGGTCTTAAAGTAAAGAAAACAAGCAACTCCGATCAGCGGGAGTGCTGGAATGCTCTTGCACAGATGGAGGATGGCCTCGCCAATCAATGAGAACAAAATCCACTGGCCAGGCCTGGACGACCACATGTTTGGCCGGCCGGATCAGACGAACGACTGGTCCATGGCCGTTGATACATGGTTGTGGTGGGTAGTCATGCAGTAAACATTGCTCGGTTGCATCGTCTGCATCGATAATGTGGGCCTGCATACTACACCAGTGTGCTAGTTGGTAGACTGGCCAGCCGGCTTTGCATGTGCATCTCCGGGGAGGAGGGGACGAGGTGTCTCTTGAAGGAGCTTATTGCTGTCACTTGGTGCAGAAATTACATGATACCCCCTCCCCGGAGATACTCGATGCAGACCCATCCCCGAGAAACGATATGCCCCCCCCCCCATCTTTGACGGCAGTCCAGTCGTCTGCGGATTCTCAGGCCACCCTCTTTGTTCGGCAAGGCACCAAGGGAACGCACGAGGAGAGCGGCAGAAAACCTGGTCAAAGATAAGCCTGGGATAGCTTGCCCCACTGCGTCCTGTCGCTCATCTGGCGCTTACGCGTGCCAGGTCTTGATGTTGAAGTCTGATGAGATGCCGTCGTAGGGCGTAGTGATAGCGAGGCTTTCGCTGCCGCCAGTTCCGGATTGCGGCAGAACTAACGCATCGTGGACGTCCGGTCACGGTAGGATTGCCAACTCTTTTTGGTGCCTGCTTGGGAAAGCTTATTAGCTCAAAGAGATACGACGGTACCATGGTGCAGTCAAGGATGCTTTTCTGGTTCCAGGGTTCAACCCTCAAGAGTGTTCCCGAAAGTGTGGTTGTTTGGGATGGGCAAACGAATTATTGAATGCGTTGGCGCATTTGCAAGCAGGGAAACCGGATTTAACATGGTCACTGTTGGAGTAACTCGGGCATTGGACTGCTTTATCGAAAAGAATTGCCTGCGCTCCACGAGTGACCATGAGTCGTTGTGAGGTGACGTAGTGTTGTTTCTCAAGTCGACACCCGACATCAGAACCCCTCCATGGCCCGGTGTAGCTTCACCCCACCACCATCAACCACTTCCAGCGTCGACCCCCATGCCTCCCCCTCGGAATCTGCGAGCCTTCCTGGCTCTCGCTCGCAAGAGCTTGACAGCACCTGCGGCCCAACGACAGGCACCGTTGACCTTTGTCGTCGGCAATGAATCTGCCGGTACGGCCCTGGCCTCCTGAACATGTGCATGTCCCTGCCCGTCCGTTGAGCAAATGCTGACCCGGCGCACTCTTCCTCCCAGACCTCGACTCCCTCTGCTCGGCCGTCGTCTTCGCCTACCTCCGCAGCCACACCCACCCCAAGTACACACTGCACATCCCTCTGGCCAACATCCCCCGCGAGGACCTCCCGCTGCGGCCCGAACTCAGCAAGGCCCTCGGCTATGCCGGCGTCGGGGCCGAGGACCTTCTCACGCTCTCGGATCTCGAGGAGGTGGCCAAGGCCCACGGGCTAGAGCCACAGGATACCCGCTGGCTGCTGGTGGACCACAACGCCCTGACTGGCACGCTTGCAGAGCGCTTCGCCTCGCGCGTGGTCGGGTGCGTGGATCACCACGAGGATGAGGGTGTGGTCTCCCAGGACACGGGCAACGAGCCGCGTGTGCTGCGGAAGACTGGTAGCTGCATGAGCCTCGTGATGGAATACTGTCACGGCGCCTGGGAGGCGCTCTCCACCACCAGCGGCCACGAGGACGGCGACGGAGATCTGGACTCCCAGCTTGCTCGCGTTGCACTCGCCCCCATATTGATCGACACAAACAACCTCAAGTCGAAGGCCAAGACAACTCCCACGGACGTCAAGATCGCAGAAATGCTTGAGGCTAAGATCGGAGGCAAGGAGGACTTCGACAGGAAGAAGTATCACAAGAAGCTTAGTAAGCTCAAGGAGGAGATCTCTCAGTTCTCCTACCGAGACAATTTCCGCAAAGACTTCAAGTCCTGGACCGAGGCCGGCCTGGTCCTGGGGACGTCCAGCATCCCTCAAGGGATCAAATACATGCTCGAGAACATAGGTGACAAAGAGTCACTCCTACGCGAGTTCCGCGCGTTTGCCCAGGACAAGAAACTTGACATTGCGGCTATAATGACATCCTCGGCCAAGGACGACGGCGTGTTCAAGAGGAACCTGCTGGTGTGGGGCCTCAACGAGAAGGCTGTCAGGGCCGTGGAGAGGTTCGTCGAGGCGCAGAAGGAGAACCTTGGGCTGGAGCCTTTCCACCACATCGACTTGAGCGGCGGAGATGGTCAGCGCGAGGTGCGGTACTGCTGGAATCAACACCAGACCGGAAATAGCCGGAAGCAGTTGGCGCCGATGTTGAGGTCTGCCATGGCGGAGGCAGCGAAGCTGTGATCGTTGGATGATACCCCTTGGCGTCGGGATGCGGGCTGATATGTTTCTCGGAAATATATGTGTTCTAGACGTTGACCAGACTATGACTCCGTACTTGAGGTGTAACAATTGCTACGTGCACTGTAATTTTTCGCCTCGGTCAACAGGACGGCACCGCCTGAGGTGGACAATAACTGTCACTGCATGCTATTACTTGGACGCCCATTCACTCGATAACACTCTTGAGATCAGTCCAGCGGGATGTGAGCAGTTGCAATGTGGTGCGACCACACCTTACAGTCATAATGTAGTCATCTGCATGGCTGTAGTCCTGGCTTTCATCAGTTACACCCTGGGAGACAATAAGACATATTCTGCAACCCGCCGCTGAGTCTATTCGAAATTCTCATAGCAGAGCCTCACACAGCCGCCACAATTGCGTCCAGCCATTTCGCAAGCCTGCAATAAATTGTTAGCCTTTGGCTGATCTGGTTGTGGTGGCACATCTGGACACGCACCTGTAACCCTGCTTCGCAATTTGCAACTTGATCACGGGGCTAGCCGTCGTCGTGTAGGCACCGCCCAGGTCGTTGCTCTCAACGTACGAGATCCCCTTGGCCAACACCGTGCTGCACACCGCAGCGTTGCTCTCGGTGGCCCACTTCAGGGAGGTGGTGACCGCGTCCTTGATGCTGAGGCCGCTCACCCAGCCGGCTGCGCTGGACTTGTACGTGCCCGTCTGGATAGCTGTAACGTGGTTGAGTCGTACGGTCAGCTTGGAAGTCCTCCCGCCGGCAATACCAGCTCAAGCATAGACTTACCTGTCGTGAGCGTGCTCGCCCAGGTCTTGGCACCGCTCAGGGATGAGCTGCCGGCGACGGCCTCAGGGATCTGGGTGTCCCAGATGGCGTGAAGGTTCGTGCTGTCTCCGTCGTAGGTGACATCGATGTCGTTACCCCCGACGTCGAGGTTCTCGCAGTGAAGTGGCTGGCCGATGTCACCGATGAACTTGTAGACGAGGTCAGTATCTCACTGACCCAGGATCTCCTATGCGGGGTCCAGTAGCTCACATGGATGATCATCTGGTACCAGTGTCAGTAAGTTCCAGTCCCGGCCAAACTGCGGTAGATGGGATAGGGTTTACATACCTTAGCTGCCACCTGTCTCTCAGCCTTACTCAAACCCGTGTTGAGTAGGATACTGGTCTACCGTGGACCCATTCAGTCTGTACTTCTTCGCAGATTCCGCCTCTCCATGGATTCATCATGTACTCACGTAGTTGTTGATAGCACTGACAACACACCCTCCACTCCCACAGTCGCGGTTATAGTCCACGCCGCAGGAGCTGGGCGGGTTGTCCTGCGCATCAATATAGTGGAATGGCGCGGAGAACTTGCCCGCTGTCGTGGTCCGGTAGGAGTCCGCCCACGTGGAGACTGTCGCGAGATAATCCGCAGACGTGTCGCCCAGGAGTGACTGGAAGTATGTCTTGGTTGAATCCGACACAAAGTTAGTGGCGACATAGGCGACAGTTTCGTGGCCGAAGGCACCCCATGCTTGCGCGCCAGCCGGTAGGAAGCCGACTGTGCCGAGGAACAAGGCCAAGCAGTGAGCTGTGTTCGCAATCATCTTGGGCTGCGGAGAATTCTGAACCTAACGAGAAACTTCACTTCCAGTTTGGGATATCTTTGCCCTGCGCTGAGACAAGAGAAACATTTGGGCTACCTTGATACATGTACACGGCCCATCTCCCCCCCAAAATCTGGCGCATGACACCGCAGCAGCATTTACTCTAACGTCCTTCCGTCCCTGGGTTGGCTTCGCCGATGCAAATCTCCCGCTTGCCAAAACTAACGAACCGGAAGTGACAGGACAAATCTGAGAGAGATCAATGAGCGGACGCGGGAGAGAATCAAGCATTTGAGCTTGAGTGCCGGGCCAATCACGCACACACGTTGTCGCTAGCATTGCTCCCGATTTGGCAGGTGAGGCCCTCAAGCTAAGGGGCAGGGGCAGGGACAGGGAAGAGATCTAACTATCTTGACACACCGAGCCCCGGAGGTAGTCAAGATAAATAAGTTTACAGTGTTCACGCAGCTCTTTGTGTTCAGGACTTATTAGCTGAGCAGAGAACATATGACTGACCAGGCACTTTTCCCGGACCATCAAAGTAGGCTTTTGCACGGACAAGAACCCGAGGCTTCCTTGCAGTTGATTCTGCCACGCTTGTTATCCAAGGCTTGTGGTCACACCGTTCACTCACTGGGAACCTGCCACTGTTAGCTTGTTGCTGTGAAAATAGCATTGCACTCTGTGGAAATACCGCCTCCAATTTCCGTGCCTTCTAGATCGACCCATAGAAGGTTGTAGTGTTGGCGTTGGTGACTGTAACGAGACACACGAGGGCTTCTAGAACCAGATCAGGGAACTAAATGGGGTTGCTAATAGTTAATTTAATTAAAGTATCTTGCAGAGTATATATATATGTGTTAAGAGAAGCTAATGCTAGGCAGGCTATGAAAGGTATGGTATATTAAAAGAAAGGGGAGTGCTTAGTTATTCCTTAACATGCCTAGCCCTTAAAAAATGTATATATCTTTATGTATTTTAATATTATTAAATAATCTTATAATTACTTTTTCTTTAAAAGTTTTTAATCTTAATTAATTTATTATTTATTTTTATTATCTTACTTATTAAATTTACCGGCTTAATTAATAAACTTATTAAATTTAATAGCTTAATTGCTAGCTTAATTAATAAACTTATTAGGTTTAATAGCTTAATTAATAAACTTATTAAGTTTAGCAGCCTATTTAATAAACTTATTAAGTTTAATAGCTTATTTAATAAACTTATTAAGTTTATTAATTTATTTAAATTTAGCAGCTTAGCTAAATTTAGCGGCTTAATTAAACTTATTAGCTTAATTAATAGAAATTAAATTTAAATTTATAATAAGTATATTTATAACGGCCATAGTTAAAGCAAAAGCGTTAATAGCCGCGACTTAGGGGTCTTAATTAGCAACTTTATTATTATTTATAGCGTAAATATTAATTTATATACCCTTTTTTTCTTCCTTAAGTCTTAATAAATCTTTTTAAGTTTAATAATTTTCTTATTTATTAAGAATTTTTTAAAGTTATTTAAGTTTTTAATTTAATTCTTATCTTTTTTTTTATCCTTATTATTAAATTATTTAAATTTATTAAGCTTTATATCTTTTATTAATATAGTAAAAGGCTATATATTAAGCATTTTTAAGGCATTATCTTAAAATAATTTATTTAGTTAAGCTTTTAAGTTTAAGTAAAGTTCCTTTATTAATTTCTTAATTTTATTATAATTAGCGTTATTATTATTATTTTGCTAATTTATTTAGGAATTCTTTTTAAGCTATATAAAAGGATTTATATTAGGGTTATATTTATTATTTTCCTATTAGTTAATAATTTTCTTATTGCTATAGTTTTACTTAATATTTTACTGCAAAAGGTTAATAATATTAAAGTTTATAATTAAATTAAGCAAACCCTTTTCTTAATAATTGCGAGTATAATAACTCTTAAATTTATAAAAGAAATAAGTAAGCTTATTATAATTCTTTTAAGCAACCTTTTTAATAATATAATAGGGAATATAGTATTAATGGTAAATATTACCTTAATTATAAAGATCCTTATAATATATATTATAAAGTACTTAAGTTATTGCATATTAAGCTATAATCTTTACATTTTATTCTTTAAGCTTAATAAAAAAGTTTTTATTTAAAATGTTAATTAATAGGTATTTAAAGCATATTTATATAATGTTAATGCGGTTAATCTTAAAAAGGAATTTTATATTACTATCTTAAATAAAGCAAAGAATTATAACATTTTATTTATTATTAATTGCAGCTATTTAAATATAAACTTTAATAAGGTTATAATAAATTTCCTTATTAAATAAGGCTTAAAGGTAAGTCTTAATTTTATTAATTTAAGCATTATAGGGTATAATAATGTAAATTTAAAGCCTTATTAATATATTAATATCTAGAATATAAGACTAGTAAATATAAGTTACTATTTTTATTAATAGTTAAGCTTATATTAAATTAATAAAGCTAATGCCTTTCTTAATTATTATAAATTGGCATATTAAAAAGATATAATTATTAAAAAGCAACTTAATTATTTTATTATTAGTGAAATTAAAATTTATTTTAAAAGTATATATATTATAAATAAGCTGCTAAATAAATATATATTAAGCATAAATTAAGTTAAAAGGTGCATAAGAGTTAAAAATGGTTTATATATTTCCATTATAAAAAACATTAAATGCAAAATCTTAAAGTTCCTTATGTTATTAATAGTTTTTTATAAAAAAGGTAATATAATTAAATCTTATGGCTATAACTTAATGAGAAAAGAGTATTAAAAGCTAATTAAAGTAAATATTTTTATGTTTATTATTCTTATTATATTATTTATTAATAAATAATTTATTTTAGCAATAATTATTAATAAGCATAAAAAGGTGGTAGTTAAATGCAGTTTACGCTTAGTAAATATGCAATTTAAATTCTTGCAATGCTTTATTAATAAGGATAATTATAGGGTTTATAAGTTTCTTATATATTAAGAATTAGGTAATAATAAATATATAAATAATAACCTTAGCTTTATTAAGAATTTCTTTTATAAACTTATTAATATTCTTATTTAAGATTTTTATTTTATTTAAAGTTAAAATATTAGCTAAATTGCTAAGTTAATATAATAAGTATATTAAGCTAAGCTTATATTTATTTTATAATTTTTAAAGTATAATATTTTTTAATTTTTAAATGCTATTATACTTATTATAAATAAACTCCTTAATATAATTTATAAAATTATATAGCTTTTTAAGCTATATACTTAAGCATAAGATATTAAAAATTCTTAAGGCTTAATATATACTCTTATTATGCTTAAGGTAAAAGCTTTTCTTTAATGCCTTGCTTTTTAATTATAAATTAATAACATAAATAATAAGTTTATTAAATTGCAAGTTAATATTAAGTATTTTATATATTAAGGCTATAATATTATTATTATTTATATTTTAATTAGCAATAATTATAACTTAAGAATTATAATTAAGGTTTTTAAATTTAAGCTATTTAGTTTATAAAGCCATTTTTTTATAAATATTATTTATAATAACTATCTTTTCTTTAATCTTTATAGCTAAGATTATATTATAGGTAGTTTTATTCTTAAACCTTATTGCTAATAATATTAATAAATATTATAAGTTTTAATACTTTTTATAAATTAGCTTAGTATAATTATTTATTATTAAAAAAGAATAGCTATGGTTAAAGTTATAATAATAAGTATTTTAAATAATAGTAAATAAAGATTTATAATATATTTTTTACTTTATAATGTTTGCTTTAATAAATTAGCAAATATATTGCTATTAAGCAAGACTTAAGCTAAATGTAAGGTTAGGAATTTTATAGTAGTTTTAAACTTCTTAACTATATTTATTAATATTATCCTTGCATTACTTGCCTTTAACTAAATAAGCGTTATTATTATTATTTAAAAATATTATAATAATTAGCTTAATATTATACTATGTATTATCCTTATTAAATTAATGCTTATTATTTAAGAAGCTAAGATTTAAGTTATCCTTATTAAGGATTTTTACCGCCTTTAATTAATAAATTATATATAATGCGTTTTAAATAAATAAATATATATAAGCAAGAAGAATAATATAAGTTAATATAGTTTTGCTATTATTAGGAATGCCTTTAATGATTAAAGCTGCAAAAGGCGCCTTAATAAGCATAATTAAGACGTATCTTTAGTTCTTAAAAAATATATGCAATGCTTGCAAAACGCATTAAATAATAATAACTTTATAACATTAAAACTTTAATATAATAATGGCAATAATCTTATTATTTATATTTTAAAGTATTTTTAAGTAGAAAAATTTTTTATACTTATCTTAAATATTGTTTAATTTATAAAATAAAAGGATTAAGTTATAATAAAATTAATACATTGTTTAACTTAAGATAAAGAAAATTTATATAATATTTATAATAATGAAATTACCATTAAATATAATAAATTATTAAATTAAAGGGATATTTTAAAATTCCTTTATTTTAAAAAGGCCTTAAATCTTTAATTTAATTATAATATCGTTATTAACTTTAATAAAATAAAGGTTAATTATAAACTTTTTTATCTTTTCTTTATTAAAATTAAAGATTTTTATAAGTTCATTTAATTTATTATATTTAAAAAGTTAAGGTTGCTTAAAGTTAAGAAATAGGGCTAAAGCTATTGCTAATTTCTTCTTAAGCTAACCTATTTATTTAAGCTAATATATTATAAATTAAAAATTAAATAGCTTATTTAATAAATTATTATATAATATATAAATTAATATAAATTGCAAAATATTAGCTATTATATTTACTAACAATATAAGGTAGTTATAATATTTATTAACTTCCTTTATAATTTTAACGTAATGCTCCTTTAAAGTCTTACCTTTAATATTATTCTTTTTATTTATATAATGCTTTTAAAGCCTTTATAAAAATATATAAGCAAAGCTATAAA